GCCTGCCTCACGCCAAGCTTTTTCCTTGTGTGTTCATCTACGATCAAAAGACTTAAACTAAATATAAATTGTACACACATACGTGCAATACACTACTAAACACTAAGAGGAGTTTAAAAAATGTTTTTAAAGCAGGATATTTGAAACAAACTGTGATATATCAACTGCACGAGCTGAGTGCACTCAGACACACACACACACACTGTGAGGGAGCGGTCTGGGGTGAGGCACGCAGGAGCGCTGCCTCACCTCGTCTCTTTGAATAGGAATAACGGGATTTCGGCGATTTTGACTTCAGAAATGATCAAAACTGATGGGAACCGTGCCGAATATACATTAAAAGCATAGGACAGTGGATATAAATTATATATTTAAACTAAAATAATTATTAGTTTCCAATAATGGCAGGTGAGGCTCTGCCTCCCCTGCCTCCCCTGACTGCACGTCCCTGGTCCTGACTGAGCACCAACAGGAGGCCAGTCCCTGTGCTCCTCTGAGTCTGTTGTTGGTTCATATGGCACTATGCCGTGGGAATTCATGGCTGTGAGCCAAGCAGAGGTGATCTCTGTGGTCACATCCTCAAAAGCCTCAACTTGCATGTTAGACGCAGTCCCGACATGGCTCTTCAAAGACATACTTCCTTTGATAATTGAGCCTATCGTAAATATAATAAACGCATCCATACAATGTGGCTATGTCCCACAAGCTTTTAAAACCGCGGTAATCAAACCCCTTCTGAAGAAAACAAACCTGGACCCAGAAATACTTACAAACTACAGACCGATCTCAAACCTCACTTTTATATCTAAAATCCTGGAAAAACCGCTGCCACCTGCAGGAAAATGATATGTTTGAAGTCTTTCAATCAGGATTCAGAGCTCATCATAGCACTGAAACGGCACTAGTCAAAGTCACAAATGACTTACTACTAGCTGCCGATAATGGACAAGTGTCAGTGCTGGTCCTACTGGACCTTAGTGCTGCATTTGACACAATAGACCACAGCATTCTACTGCAGAGGCTAGAATGTGATATAGGTCTTAGAGGAACAGCCCTTGGCTGGTTTAAATCCTATTTATCAGATCGATATCACTTCGTCAATGTGAATCAGGACTCGTCGCCTTATTCTGGAGTGGAATTCGGTGTGCTGCAGGGTTCGGTACTCGGACCGATTCTTTTTACTCTCTACATGCTGCCACTGGGAAACATTATTAAAAAGCATGGAATTAATTTCCACTGCTATGCAGATGACACACAGCTTTATCTGTCGATGAAGCCTAATCAGACAGATCAGCTAGAAAAGCTCAGTGCCTGCATAAAGGACCTTAAAATGTGGATGACTCTTAACTTCCTACTTCTCAACCCGGAGAAGACAGAAGTGATCCTACTCGGTCCGAAGCGCCTGCGTGACTCCCTCACTAACCAGATGGTTACTCTCGATAATGTCAGTATAATACCCAGTAACACTGAGGAATCTTGGAGTCATTTTTGACCAAGAACTCTCCTTCAAGGCTTATATAAGCCAAGCAACTAAAACGGCGTACTTCCACTTACGGAACATCGCTAAAATTAGGAATTTCCTTCCTAAAAGTGACGCGGAAAAACTCATTCACGCGTTTGTCACCTCAAGGCTCGACTACTGTAACGCTTTACTGGCAGCGTGCCCTAAAGCCTCTTTGAAGAGCTTCCAGCTCGTTCAGAATACAGCAGCTAGGATCTTAACAGGTACCAAAAGGAGGGAGCACATAACTCCGGTGTTAAAATCACTCCACTGGCTCCCTGTGGAGTACAGAATAAAGTTTAAAATCCTACTCTTAACATATAAAGCCATAAATGGCTTGGCTCCCTCTTATCTCCAAGACACGTTAGTGTCGTATCAACCAGGTCGAGCGTTGCGCTCACAAAACGCCAGACGTCTGGTGGTCCCTAAGGTCTCAAAGGTCACTGTTGGTGGCAGAGCATTTAGCTACCAAGCTCCTTTACTGTGGAATCAGCTTCCCATTTATGTTAAGGAAGCAGATACGGTCTCCACATTCAAGGCCAGGCTTAAAGCACTTTACTTTAATTTAGCATATAATTAGGTAATATATAATATGTAGTGTATATATTATATATATATGCTGTATTATGTTATATATTATGTTATATATTATTCAATAATGTATTGTGTTATGTTGTATATTATGTTATATATTATGCTGTATGTTATTCTTTATTCAAGGCTAGGTTTAAAACAGTCCTCTTTAGTTTAGCATATGGCTAGGAAGGTAAGACTCGGAGAAGGTTAAACTCCTCAGAGTGTTAGTCAAGCTGCATAGGGAGTCAGTTTGCTGGGAGAAGTATGGTAACTTGAGCACTATCCTCTCCTCCTTCCTACTTTATCTGTTTAGCATTTTTAGGATTCTGACTGTAGTTTGTTCATTGCTATTCACCCGTTGTCCCATTGTCTGTTTCATGGTACGATGACGGGATCTCTGAGCCTGGCCTCTTCCATCTACACCTGCGGACTGCCCCGCCCGACCCGCCTGGGAGTGCTTCAGTCCTGCACCGGACCTGTCCACGTTCAGCGTCCACTGGTCCACGTTCTGTAGCTAGCTTAGGTCCTGGATCATTAGTCTGTCCGTCCGGAGGAGCGGATCCCTTTCTCATATGGGTCTCCCTCCCTGTGGGTTTCCCTAGTGCTCCCCAAGGTTTCTCACTTTTTCCCACTGGGTTTTTTAAGAGTTTTTCCTTGTCGATGCAGGAGGGTCTTGTTGGACAGTTAGTGTCCAACAGAAAGGATTGGTGATGATCAGGACACTTTAGCATTCTACAACATGTATGGACATTTTCTTCTGTGTGTGCTTTATACTGTATTCTTCATGTGTTTTAACTGTTGATTCTCTGACCTGTGTTGGTGATTTCAATGGTTTTGTTAAGTCCTCTGAGATGACTTCTGTTGTGACCTAGGGCTATACAAGAATAAATTGTATTGTATTGTATTGTGTATCATGTCACAGGCCATGGAGAAACTTGTACAAAAGCAGAGCTGGTGGTTGTTTATTCTCTGAGCCACAGGAAACTATAGTGCAAAGACCTGAGAACTGGACTAATGGGATTGTACTTCCTGGTTCAAGTCAGAACAATAAGTATGGAATAGTAATTAAAACACACCTTTTGAAGCAATGAGCAGCTGAAATAACCCAGAGTGGTGATAATATGGCTCCTCCACAAGCAGGCATTTCGACAAAGCTCAGAGAAACCTGCCAGGGCCATGATTGAGACCAGGCCTCTTCTCCTCCAACGATTCTGGTCTCAACCACTTCTTCAGGTAAGAAGCAGCGCAGCCCAGCCACTTCTAAGGAGCATAACAACACAAACTGTTCACAACTGACCACACACTCGGAGCTTCACCCATGTCACACACTTTCACTCACCACTGTAGGACCACAGTGACTGATCCTCGGTGTGATTCAATGCAACTCCGTGTTCAACTACAACAACCGGGCCATTCATCTGAGTACGTGTTTTAATGATGCCAGGCACATTGTTTTTCTTACCGGCCCACACGGAAACCAGGAGCAGGAGAACCAGGAGCAGCTCCATGTCTCCTGTCAATCAGTGGAAACACCTGCTGATCTCCGGTGAGCTGCTGTTCTCTTTTTTGTGTGGTTCGTTCATAATTTTTTTTTTTTTTTTTTTTTTACATGTACATCGAGTATTTATTACCAATAATTAAAGGATGAATCATTATATCGTTTGCTCACTATAAAAATGCTGTATGGCATTTAATTTTTTTTCTTTTTCTTACAAGTACTTTTTATTTCTATGTATTTATTTCGAACCTGTACAATAGATATTTTTTACATTTATCAATATAACAGACACATAAATTGTACTTGGTTTGAAATCTGATGGCCGCAGTCTTCACCTAAACCTGATTGTGAAATAATACCAACTTAAACATCTGGTAGCATAGCATACTGCCAGCAAAGTGTCATGAGTATGCCTGGCTTGAGTGGGAGGACATCATTTAATGATGTATGTATTCTAACGCAGCAGTCCGCAACTCTTTTGTCTACCACTCTCTCCTCCTCTGCAAAGTGGGTTCATCTTTGTGTATACCCGCCTGTTATCCTCCTGCCAAGCCCTCATTCCCCGTAAATCAAAATGCGAGAGTCTTCATCAGACAGGAATGATCTGGTTTGGAAACTCAGAACAATAATCGGCCAACACAACACATGTGTGATGCTGTTGTGTCACATTCTCATCTCACATGCGGATGCAGAGTTGTAAACGTCACAAGCTTGAAGACGCGTGCGTTCACAGATACCGGTTACCCGCGCAGGGAGCGCGCTTTGAGAGGCGTGACGCGCCTTAACCGCATCTCCAGAATGGCACTGACAGGTAGGCTCTCCTTCCACTTACTATATGTAGTGTTACAATAAGAGAACGAGGCGGCGGCTGCGGGTGTAACCGTAATAGTCGTCAATGACTGATTCTGCAGGTTTGGATCCGTAGTGAAATAGTAGCATGTCGTCTGCACAGAGGGAGGCGGCTCCAGTGGGCACCCTCTCTTTCTAGGTTATTCTGTTCATCTTGATCTATCACAGTCGGTGGACCGAGCTCGACGGCACTGTAGCCATTACAATATAGAAAATGCACATGGCGTGATTTGGTCACGGCTGAGCCCAGAGCATCTTAATTGCACGCTTGATTCGGTAATGGGGTCATTGAAGAAGGTAACAGAACCAGGGAGGACAGGTTGATTCGGGCCTGTGGAGGGAGCTAATATCACTGGAGCACTATGATGCATGCCAGTGTGATGCAGGACTTGGGGAGGATTGTGTTTGTGGTATTGTAGAATATGTGCGCGCCCATGTTATAAATAATGATATATTAACCCCCAATAGCTCTAACTTTGGGTTCTGCCGATAGCCCGTCTCGATCAGCCCTAATGGAAATGTGGGAAAGGACATGGACCCCAACACCTGAGTGGAACCCTGACGGACCTTTGAGCCATGGTCTTCAGGCCAGCACTCCTCACACCACTGCTGCTCCTGGCCCTGGCGGTCCACAGGCTGACGGCAGATCTGTCTCCTCAAGGTAAATCTCTGTGAGATACTAAGTGTGTGAATAGCTCTTCATTTTGTCCTCCCACTGACACTGAGTCACCACCTCCTCTCAGTGTACAGGATACTGTGCTCTCCTATGACTGTCATGCAGCTGTACTTGAAACATGTTTGATCATTTTGAAGTTTAATAATCAAACATCCATTTTGGTGAAGTTTAAGTTTTATTTACTGTCAGAGTATTTTTTTCAGCCTGAAAGCAACTCTGTGCACCTCAATATTTCCAGAGCACAACAACCTCAGTGTAGCACTTTCGTATATATATATGTTCATTATGTGTAATCTGAGGGCGTCATCTCCAGAATACCAATGAAGCGTCACGTTGCACGTGATGCCGTCGCGCACTGCGTCACTATGGCAACTGAGATGGATAAAAGAGGGTCAGTCAAAACTGTGCGAGCTGAACATGTATTTCAATTATAGATATATTTTTTATTTTCTATTATTTTCCATAATTACTCAGCTCAAGCAGCAGCCGGAAATTAATGAATGGGAGTGATTCCATTCAGCTTGGAGTTTCCTGAGGTCTCCCATCACAGCAGTCACATGAAGGTGATTCCACTATTGAGACTAGAGGTATTTTGTTGAGTTGATGAATGCACAGTTACTATGTTAGTGTTATCAATCTATTTAGGCATTGCATAGCACCAATTAATGCAAATTGGTTGATCTCTAACCAACATATATTGTCATATTATCTATGATATTATATGTTGTATGATATGTATACTGTATATCAGCTCAAACATTTAGAGTGGTAGCTTTTACAACCAATGTGTTATTAGAGTGTAATACATTATCAAATTTCCATCTTCTGCTCATTGACAACAAGGAAAGAAAGATAACCTCACATCATTTCCTTTTTTGTCTTGTGTGTGATGTTTAAATCACAGAAAATAAATTCCCTATTTTCATTCACAATCAATGTGCACACCAAGACTAATGGCACAGTCTTTTATGTGTGTTTGTAGATCGGCTCAGCATGAATAAGACGGAGGAGTTTCCATTGCCATCTTCCTTTTTGCCTCTGAAAGAGTCTGTGCGCCCCATCTCGGACCATAACTACTATGCTATGGGCGACTCAAGTTCAGATGAAGACTCAAAGACTGGCGCACAAGGCATCCATCTCCTTCTCAGACCACCAGACCTGCTGTCTCCCAGTATCCCACCGCCTCTGCCCCCGTACGGCCAGCCCACCATAACTCCCCCACACCCCTCGCTGGAGCACGGCCCGTCGTTAGAAGAGACTTGGGGCTCGGGAGATTACGTGGAAACTCTGTCCTTTGTGGTGCCGGAAGGGGATGACCTCGTCTTGGCCACGCCGATGCCCAGTCAGCCGTATGACGACGATGATGATGATGGTACTGACCACTGGGTTTCATACAACACGGCGTTACCCAAGAGGCCCACACTCCCCCTTGTCTCTCGCCTCTCACCATCCTTTTCTACTCCCACCATAGACCTACACACAGGGCCAGACCTGTTCCCCACGTGGGACGATGACTATGATCCAGATGACATGATGCCTCTGGAGCCCACTGAGCTGCTGCTGCCTGACATGAATAGTTTGGAGTATTACACTAACCTGCTCGCCCGGGAAAGGGAACGAGAGCGGGAATGGGGAAGAGAGCATACCGTAACTAAACCGTCCATATCTCCCACAGCTACACAATCTCCAACACACATTCCCCCAACTCCTTTGCCAAGCTCACCTGTCAGTACTGAGGTCAGCAAGCCCACACCCCCCCTAACCCTTTCCCCAACAGTGACAAGCACAGTCAAGCCCTCTGCTGCCCCTACACCTCCACCAAAAGTTAAAGATTTCACTCCTATATCGGTGAAACCCCCGCCTCCTCCACCACCAAACACGACGACTCAAGCTCCCCCTAAAAGCTCACCATCGTATCCAAAAAAGCCAGATCGGCCTTCAGTAATCACCGAAAAACCCACAACTACTACCCTTGCTTCTACTACCAAAACTACTCTTGCTACAACAACCAAATCGATTGCAAAGACCACCCAAAGGACAGTGGTTAGCTTCACCAGGACGCCGCAAGTTTCCACACCTCGCATCAGCCCGCCAACCAGACAGTACCTTTGCAATATCACCAAACCAGAGATGTTCCTGGTCAGAATAGGTAAACTACTTATGTTTAATATCTGTTGGCATAGAGATGTAAACCATGTGATTTTCTTTTTTTGTTTGTGTTCAGTAAGCTCAAAAGGTTCATCGGCAAGTTTCAGTCCTGTCAGAGAGCTGCTAAAAAGAGAGTTCAACCGCTCTGTGGAGCTCCAGGTAATTTTACTTGGATATAACTATATTTATTTTACTTTATAGGACTTGCATATATATTAATTGTTTGGTTGGTTCTTTCTCCCAAACAGTTTCTGAGAACACCATCAAGTTTTGCTTTCCGTGTTGTCTCTGGACCTTTGATCTACACGGCTATGTCTGTCATCAATGCGCTTCGACAAACAGGGCGTGGCTTTGGCCCGATACCCACAGTCTCTCCTCTCTTTACCGTCCCCGACCTGGTCTATCAGATCCACACCATTCTGCAGTTTGTACCCTCACACATAGATGTAAGAGTATGTAATTTCAGCCAGCGAGTTGAAAAGGGTTTGCTCATGGCCTTTGCTGAAAGTCGCAGACGGGCTCATGAGAATACCAACATTAGTATCCAGGTAAGTCAACACATCAATGCCATTATGAAAATATACATGAGACTGTATGTTGTCACCATTTCAAACAGTAATGTTGTTTTTTGGTTTTTTTGAATCAGCTGTTGAATATCACCACTGGTTTGAAGAGACTTGAGAAGCAGCAGAAGGCACCTGTGGACATTACCTTTGCTGTAAAAGATGGACGTGGCTACTTGACAGGATCTGAGGTCAGCGAACACCTGAGGAAACTCAGTCAAGTTGAATTTAGCTTCTACATTGGATTTCCGGCTCTACAGATCGCAGAGCGTAAGAAACAATAACAGTGTAGCTGTGTAAGTAAATCCATGCTTACACTTTGATTTCATTTGCAGCATTTCACTATCCGGAGCTTAACGTATCTCACCATTTGCGCTCTACATGGGTCCGCACAGGTACAAATTTACACTGGATTACTAAACTTAACAATCTTTTTTTACACTCATTTTACACTGATCCTGTTCATAAACAACTTATTCTGAGTATGTGTTTTGTGGTGGTTTCAGTGTTGTTGGGTGTTCAGGATCAGCAGGTTGCTGAGAGAAGCTTTAAAGCTCGACTAGAGAGACGTCTGGCTCTTCTGTTGGAGGAGGGTCTGAGTGGAGTCAGCAGAAGGCGCTGGAGGAGAGCTACAGCCGTCGCCAACAACAGTCTCCAAGTAAGACTTCAAACTTCAGACCCAAATGGTCTTTCAGAACCAAAACTCAGCAGGGCATCATGCATTATTGCAAGGCAGGGTCTGTTTAGTGCTGTGATGGGAGACTACTAATACCAACTGCCACAGTGAGGTGGCTGGAGCTGGGAAGTTAAGACTGTTGTGTCGATAGGCAAGACACTTCACTCTCATTGTCTGCGTGTGTGTTTGTATCAGTCTGCCCCAGGGCAGCTGTAGTTTACACACTGTGTATGGAGAGAAGGAATGATGGAATGTAAAGTGTCTTTGAGTTTCAAAAAATGAGTCTGTAAAATTTGGCATTATTATTATCATTATAAATAATATTATTATTATTATTATTATAAAATTCCTCTCATAAAACAAAGAATTTATCTTAATTTCCTTTTCCCAATTTTAATCTCTCAAAGTCTAAATCACAAAAGTAAGGAATTGTATTCCTCACTCACAGATCTATTTAGCATGACATACTGACACACAAACTGGTGTCTGTTTCAGGTGGTGCGGGTGGCAAAGCTGTCTGGGGCAGAGCGCCCTCTGGAGGTGTTGTATTTTGTGGAGGGCCCAGGTGGTGTGCGAATACCTGCAGAGGTCACAGCTGCCACTCTGAACCGTCTCGATCTGCAGAGGGCAGCGATCATAATTGGACATAGAGTTCAGAGGCCTTTGGCTCAATGTAAGGCACTTAGGAATACATTTTTTTTCACTTTTTATTAATTTGATATCAGAAACTTACTTCTGTTTGTGTCCAGCTGTGGAGATGCTGACAGTGCCTCCTGCAGAGACTCAGGCCAGCAGCATCTGGCTCATTGTTGGTGTTGTGGTTCCTGTCATCCTGGCTGTCTTCATTATCATCATTTTGTACTGGAAACTGTGTGGTTCAGATAAGCTGGAGTTTCAGCCGGATGCAATCAACACCATTCAGCAGAGGCAAAAGGTCAATCAGGAAGTGTCCATTCTAGTTGATCGTCATCATCGTCATCATCAATAATATAATGTATATTTAACATATTTTGTGCTTTTAGCTTCAGGCCCCCAGTGTTAAAGGTTTTGACTTTGCAAAACTACATCTCGGCCAGCACAGTAAAGATGACATTATGGTGATTCAGGAGCCTGGATCTCTGCCAGCTCCTGTCAAAGAGCCAACACCTTCAGATGGCACAGATCTTAATACTCCAAAATCAAAAGGATCATCCACTAAAGTTGCGAGGTCTACCCGACGTAGGGGCAGGTCAGCGCTGAAAAGCCATTACTTTTGGAAATGAATATCTTTGGTAAATACAATTTTACAAATGTTTTTAGAATGAGCCCATCCGATGGAGACTCACTTGGCAGTGATCAGTCTAGTGGCAGAGAGTCAGCAGAGGAGAGTACTCGTCCCGTGGCAACTCCTGTTGAGGGAAAACAACAGAAGAAGCCCAAAAGTGGTCAGACAAACACATGATGCTGTTTTTGTAACATATGATCTAACAATGTGTATTTATTTTTGTTCCTCTTTCATTAATCACTGAAGGGAGGAATAAGATTGGTATGTTTGTTTAAATATAATATTTTATTATATATAATTACGTGATGGCGGACATAGTGTCTGGCATCTCGTAATAATATTTAGCTATTCTTCCTAAATTTAACTGTTTCATACACTTTGATCTCAGGCAGTGGCCCAGACGAGCTGCTCTCCTCCTCATCCATATTTGACCATGTTGACCGCGTGTCAAAAGGGTCCTCTGAGTGTGCGCGCCGTCCAGCCAACAAGGTGCAGTTAATTGCGATGCAGCCGCGCCCCAGCCCCTCATCCCAGCACACACCTGCACCACACAGCCCCACTCATGCAGAGAAGGTCAGCCACACTCCACCTGGCCTTTCACACCATCTTCAGGAGTTCACTTTCTGCTCTGTCTAAAGCAGGTGGCTTTGCGGCAAAAGTCAGAGATTGAGCATCATAGGCACAAGCTGAGGCAGCGCGTTAAGAGAAGGGGCCAGTGCGAGTTCCCCTCCATGGACGACATCATGGATGCATTTGGGGACGGCCCGGTGCAGAGCGAGGCAGCTCAGCGTCTGTACAGCTCTGCTCATGATCACATGGACTGTATCCTACAGCCTGACACCCCATCACCCCCAACTCCCTCAGACTCCAGGAAGAGGTTTGACTTTGTCAACAAATACATCTTTTTCATGATGATTGAAAAGTTAATTTAACAGACAGAAACATGGAAACATGAGTAAGGACAACTTATTGATGTTGTTATCATTACAATTATTATTATTAATATTATTATTATTATCTAAACAGAGGGAGACGGTCACCGCGGGGTCATCGCCCTCACCAGGGTCCTGGAAGTCTACCTGATACAGACAGAGACAGACTGCTCATGGATCATGGAAGTGCCACATACAGAAAATATCCAGGCTTGAACAATGTGGCATACATGGTATACAAGAATTACAGAACCATGTACAAACATGTATTGTAATTATTACTGTTCAGAATAATAACTTCTTCTGAACCTGAAATTGTAGTCAGACCCAGATCTTCCGCAGGACCATGGAAGTCCTTCTCCCACAGACGAGGTGTTTGACTCTGCTCCTCCACCACCGCCCTACTTGCCCCCGCAGCCGTCTATAGAAGAGGCCCGGCAGCAGATGCACTCCCTGCTGGATGATGCCTTCGCTCTGGTGTCTCCATCGTCGCAGAGTAGCGCTGGGGTAAGCGGGTTAAGCCCTGCCCTGCCTTGCCCGTCCCCACAGGTCCGCCGGCCGGGCAGGCAGTGGGGCTCTTACCCAGCCGCCCCCACTCACAGCCCTTTCTCTGCTGTGAGTCCTACGCAGAGAAACCGTGAAGCGCAGTGACAGTGCAACTAACACCTTATGGTTTGTTCTTGTGTCCTTCAGAGATACGCAGAGCTGGGGATGTCACCCACTTCAATCCAGGGTCTTCTGCAGAAGTCAGTGTCACATTTTGAAGAGTTAGCTACTGTATGTTAGCAGACACGTTATACTCACAATATCATTTGTACATTCAATACAGACAAGGTCTGAGCTCAGGGTATGTTTCAAGTGGAGACCAAATCCCTGAAGTCTACTTGAGCAGAGGTCAATATGATGACCCCCCCTCCTCTTCCAGACCACGACCTGTAGGCGGTAGTACAGGTAGGCAAGCGCTGATAGTATATGTAATTATTTTAATTATCAAAACTATTGTTAAATATGCTAAATAAATAAAGGAATTATTATCCCATGAATCAAGATGTTTGATATATTTTTTTAATCTTAGGTGCACAGCTCCACCACCTGACCCAGGTGGGTATCTCCAGTCAGATTGGTGCGTACCCTGGGGTTGGCCGCAGTATGTCCGGCCCCACTGGCTCTAGTTGGATCCAACAGCATTCAGACCAGGAACTCTCCAGACCTGGAGCAAGTCGAGAGAGTGTGAGTGTCTTAACAATAGACTTTGTCATTTGGTCCACAGTGGGGATATTTTAATGCACATTACAGCAGTAATAAGAAGCAAAGAGAAACATTCAAATCTATATGAAAAGCTAAAAATATTTAACTCAAATATTTATGCTTGAAAATATATGATGGAGAGAAAGAATCCCACACACCGTCTTACTTGCGTTATGCCAACAAGTTTGCTTGATGAAGGCATAACGCCGAAACGTCACACTTCAAATACAGAGAGTAAGAGAGTGTGCGGGATTCTTTCCCTCTATCACATTCGGCTATACAGGCCTCTCCTCCGACGCACCCGATCTGTAGATATTGATGTGCAAATCCCTACTCCAGTGCTTGAAAATATATAAAATTATACTCTTAAGAAAAAGTATACAAGTACCCTTTAAAGTTCGTTCAGACTAATAATTAATCACTAATTATTGGTCTGAACGAAACTTTAAAGATCTGTTACATATGAGCAGATATTTATAATTACCAAGTGTTTATATGTGTCTTTTATTCTTTTTCAGGTGCTATCATTCCCGGAGTTCTCTTCGTCATCTGTTTTCCAGATGCCTAGTTCATCGTTGAGGGACTCTCATGCTCCTCCTCTCCTCTTGACTTCACCGACTCCTGAGTATCCTCCAGACGACGCGTCTCCCTCGGCACACACCTCAGCTTCTCTAATAAAAGCGATCAGGGAGGAGCTGCGTCGCTTGGCACAAAAACAGACAGCAGTAACCAGCTATCCCTAAAAACTCATTTGGAATAACTAATCAATCTTTTTTTTAACACCACATTTTTAAAGGATGGATTATAAACGCTGAAACATCTCAATTTAAGACTGTGCCAAAAAGACAAAACAAATCATTGTGATTTACAGGGTCTCATTGATCCACTTATCACACATTTTAAATGTCTCATCGAACACTGTCTCCAGATTCCACCAAGTGCTTCCTGGAGTGGGCTGTCCATTCAGTAAGACAGGCAGTACCACTCCGATATTCTTCAAGTGGATCATACCTCTGTTTTGTCAACACAGGATATCCTTTTTCCAACGGAGTAAATGATCTATCAGTGTAGTTACACATGGTACCCCTTTATGTGAGCTTCATATCCTGATTATCGCAGTAAAGATGTTGAATCACTATGTGGGATTATTACCGACTGGTTGTACGAGTGAGACGCTTTAAGGATCCCTGGAAATCCTTTTAGCCGTCACACAGTAGTTTGTAGTTTGGGCTGATGTTGTGTGTACTACTGCCTTGGTCATGTGCTCCACAGTTGATGGTTCCTTATATATTTACGTGGTGCTACCATCAGCCCCCTGCAGTCCTCTCATTACCATGCATTGCCTTCCACTCCCACCTCAGCTAAGGAGAAATCCTCTCTGCCCATTCGTACATAAGGGATTTGCACTGTCAACAGCTGGAGGTGGCACACAGTTCTCGTGGCATGATGACGAAAAGTCTATTAAGAATATTTATTTAAGAATATCTATATAAAGTTACTGTAAATTGATACTATGAGCACAATATTAATGTAAGTATCAAAGTATTGAGATGTAATTTATTTTTATTGCTTGTAGAGTCTATGAAAGTATATGTTATTATTTATTTATTTTATTTCAAATCAAAAAAGATAACGCTACTTTTTGCTGGCTATACTCTAATATTTGAGTTGTCTGTAATATTTGAGCCAAAGTTATTGCTTGATAGCTGCTTGCTTGTGTGCTCATTTGTTGGCGCCAATGACAAAAAACTGCTTGGGCATTGCTTTCACATAATGATTCGTGTGTTACAATGTTGCAATTATTCATAATTATGTATTGAAGTTTACATTGTAATCATAGTTAAAGGTGTTTGGTCAGAAAATGTGAAAAAAAGTAAAAATGAAATATAGCTATTTATGTTGCAATTCCCATACTATGTCATAAGCAAAAGCAGATGTGACCCAAATACTCATAGCATATTACTTTAATATAAATATTAAGTTAGTTTACAAAACAAATCTAGACTTGGTGCTGTTTGGTAATAGTGGGTTCCTTTGAGTGTTGGAGAGCACACAAGGGTTTGTCTCTGCTTCATGTTCAGCTAGAATGAACGTAGCTGTTTGTGATGTGCCGTTAACGTTGAGCATGCTGCAAAAAGACTTTTTTAAAATCAGAAGTACTTCATCACGTCACATAGAGAAAACACAGTTCTATTTTTACAGAGTCATTTTCCATTATACTGAAAATACTGTACTAGTAGTTATTATGAAGCGTGTTTATTTTCCAAAATGATAAACATGAATGGGGATCAGAAAAGCAGTAACAAATCCTTCACTGTTCACCAGCTGGAGATTTGCAAATAGGACTTTGACACATATGGTGCTATTCAAACTCAACATGTGTCTAATCTGACATCACTGTCCTCCTGAAGCTGCGCTCCTACACTCTGACTTCAGTTCACGCAAACAAGTTGATGTTTTTGTTAAAATATTTTGTAAAATAATGTTTTTGTTACTTGCTGTTTGATCACACTGGTGTTTCAGACAAAACAACTCAGCTTCTTTGTCGTCTCCGGCAACAGACCAGTTTTGTTGCATTGGATATATTTCATTTGCTCGTCAGTGTACATAAAGATTACTACAGCGGTAAATGTACTGTATATGAGCAGTGAGGACAAAACAATTATGTAGCCTAAACAAAAGACTAAACACACCTAACAGACCCAATGTGATCTTTATCCTAACTGACCAACCTTGTATCCAAATGTCAGCAGTCTGTGACATACAGGACTGTAATTGGCTCAAGTTAAGTTTGCTTTTATGAATCTAAAATGTATGTGATTGAAAAGTCATCTAGTGTCCTTTGAGTGTCCCCTGTTTATAATGTTTTGCACTTTATACCTGAAAATAGAGTATTCTGTAAGAAGGGATTTGGGCCTTGGGAAAATATCAATGTAAACCCGGTCGAACATGTGACTGGACCTGTTTTATCAAACTGTCTAAGCTGCATTCTGTGTCGTCAAGAGTCAAGAGATTGTGATAAACATGATTAAAGTTTCATTGAAATTAAATGGTGTTTTGGCTTTAATGAAATACTTCCAGCAGAGTTTGTTGTGGAACAGTTACAGTGAAAAATAGTGGTCTCTCTTGACCATGCTAATTCTTAATTCTGTTTAGTCTGTGCTATATTATTGTGGTAGGAAAAGATTGTGTAATTGAGTTTGGAGGATGGGGCGGCTCCTAACCTCCTTCAGCCCACTCCTTTTGAGCAGAATTAATACTGCTCAAATAAACTGTATTAATAATGATAGTAATCCAAATGTAAGACTTGTTTCATGGAGATTCATCAAAGCAACATCAAAATTAAAAAAATCTCCATGAGAACAAAATGTTTCAAACTCTACTTAAATTACATAGTGCCCCTTTAAGTGTAGCCAGTAAAGATCAGGTGGAATTCTATTGTGTTGGAGCAACCTATTCCTGGTGTTTGTTGTTTAAACCAAGCCTCTTCAAAGTTGGGTGACTAGATTTTCCAGATAACGTCACACGCCTGAGTACTACAGACGTAACAGTATAATACAATTATATTGTATTATATTATATTATATTACTATTCCCGTTTTGGGAAAGTTACTCTGAAATTATATTAAAACGTTTGTATTGTATTTGTATTACAATACTAGCATATTTAAAATGTAACACTACTGTAGACTACTTTTAGTTGGTAAAATATAAAAACAAAAATTATCAAAAATGACATAAGATAAGGCTAAGGTTGGTTAATCTACAGATACAGATAATACAGATAATAGAATACATCCATGGTTGTTTAGCTGTGCATACAACAGAGGGATTTTATATTTTTATCTTTCTTTTTAATGTTCTGTGATTATTTATGATTTTAATGCTTTCTTATTTTGTTCAGCACTTTGAATTGCCTTGTGTATGAATTGTGCTATATAAATAAACTTGCCTTGCCTTGCCTTGCCTACATGGCACTCCAGCTTGTAGATGGGTTGTCTGTTTTCATTGTCCTGATCTCAGTTGATTAAAATATCGAGCAAACTCAACAAAATTTGTGTTCGTTTCATTCACAGTTGTTTGTCTGGTTCACTTTAACTGGACACGTTTTGGTTCTGGAAAAAAAAAGCTTTATTTGTGGATGCATAATAAGTGAACGCGTGTCCAGTTAACGTCTACTGAAGTGACCCAGACTTGGTCCAGTCATCTAAGAGACACCTGCATCCCTCTTACATATTTATTTTAGAGGCAGATTCATGGTGGGTGTTGTAAGAGTCAAATTAGGGAGCAAAATCAACACATTACTAACCAATAAAAATCTTTATAACCAATAAAGAACAACAGATTATTTAAACAAAACTGGGACATGGTGTTCACTGCAAAAAATGATACAAAATTAGGAAATAATTGCGTGGATTGAGTTGTTTTTACCTTAATTTGAGCACATTCTGATGGTCTTAAAACAAGATTTGCCAATGGGAGGCATTAGTCTTATTTCAAGAACTACTTTCTCATTCCAAGGGTTGTAGTGTTGTTGTATCATTTTTAAACACGATAATTTTGCTTGTCCCATAGGCAAATCTTGTTGGAACTATTTTTTTGCAGTGTTGGGTTTTGCATACATCTTCTGCTTGTGACACAGGGCTGAAGTAGTGTCTGTTGCCTATTGTTTTGGTTTCGTTGTTTACATGTGTTAATTATTCAGACCACAAGTGAACCTGATTCCTGGGTGTGGATCTCTCCTCTTGTGGCCCCGCCCTGGGCTCTGTCTGCCTCCCTAATGACGATGCCACTTCCTGATACACCTGCACAGGTCAACAACATCTCCAAGCAAACACGGCGAGCAAGGGACTTTTTTTACCCCGTGACAGCATGAGACAGAACGGCTCTCCAAAAGCGTCTCCAGAGATTTAAACAACTGCGTAAGTATCTTCACAATTAAATGTCTCCGTTTTTGGAAGAAAAAAAGTTTGCTTATTCAGATGTCACACGTCCGTCTTTCGTTTGATGTTGCTGTAAACTTCTGATCACTGCTGCACCATACTAAAGACAGAAGTGTGTGATCCCGGAGGCAAAACCTGCTGGACTTGATTTGGCGTCTCTAGTCTCAACTCCTGGCTACATCCGGGGGAGAAAAAACACTCCTTCCTTAATTTGTCGCTATCCTGTTAACCTTTACTTAACCATGGTTGCGTTTAAATAGAGCTAAATGTATGCAAAAAGTCTTAAAACGTCATAATTTTTACTTGAACAAACTTTGAGTAAAGGAAGAATAAAGAATTTACGATTTTGGATGCAGCCAATGTCATTTGGCTGCATCCAAATTGCTGGTGCGCATTGGCCACTGTGGCACATTGGTTTGAAAGAATGACAAATATTATTACTATTATTATTATGCATATGAAGCCGTATAAGGTAAATTTAGCTGTATGGGAAGCTTATAAGTTTGAATTCTTCCCATTCCATTGCGTAAACAAAGTAATCCCTGAAATGTATGTATATGAATGTTTGTTGTTTGTTGTATCATGTATAAATGTAATAACTGTAAATTACAATAATTGATTCCTGTTTATACGCTTGAAATAAATGAACACCCTGATTGTTTTAAATGGTCTACTGTCAACATGTATTTTGAGAGGGTATTAAACATAAATCCAATATCATTTTTTGTTTAGAATGTCTCAAGGTATGAAGACTCAGCTGGTCAGCGCTATCCAGCTGCAAGAACTGGAACTGCATGAGAAACCTGTCAATAATAATGAAGACAAGCCTGACAAAAGCACGGGTGAGGCTGGCTCTGTGGTCAAATTGTGTACATTGTAGTCCTAATATGCATTAAAAATAATACTTTTTTCACTTTAGCGTCCAACCCAACACAGACCTACAGTGTGGAGGACGCCGTGGAGACCATAGGCTTTGGCCGTTTCCATATTCTCCTCTTTGTAATTATGGGAGCCTCGAATGTAAGCTTATTGATTTCTAATGTGTCAGTTCCCTCCGCTTCACTCACAAACGCTCATATTTATTAAGATTGTGGAGGCAATGGAGATCATGTTGCTGGCTGTGGTGTCTCCGGAGATCAGATGTGAGTGGCACCTCGAGGACTGGCAGGTGGCCCTTGTTTCAACGGTACATAAAAAATGGTATTTACAGTATAACATTCATTTACATTCATAGCTTAATGAAGATCTGTGTTTTTTTCTAGATGGTCTTTCTGGGCTTTATGGTGTGTGGTGTTCTTGCAGGGTACTTAGCGGATAGATATGGACGCTGGACAGTAAGACACATATTTGGCTGTCAGTACTTTGTTGATTACTGTCAAATAAATTAAACTCTGTTTTTTTTAAGGTGGTGTTTTGTGGATTTGTATGGAGCGCTTATTTCTCTCTCCTTACGTCCTTTGCACCGACGTATGGCTGGTTTATCTTCCTGCGCAGTATGGTGGGCTGTGGAGTGGCTGGAGTGTCTCAGGGGTCAGTTCTCTCTCTCTCACACACGCACACACACCCAAAGCCAAGTACCTAACTTTTTATTTCATGAATGCAACTTGTTTGCTGTTGTCTGTTGGGGAAAACACTGGTGCCCGCGCACATTTCACCCTTATCTGTCTCCTACAATAGTAAATACTAAATTAAAGTGACTATCTATCTATGTATCGATCAGACAGATCTAGGGAGCTCTTTTACACTTTTCTGTATAAAAAAACTGAAAATACATACATGAAACCCAACAGTTTTAAGAGCAAGGTCATTAGGAATCTAATCTTATCTTTGCTCCTTTGAATGTACTGTTTTTTATGATAATGCCTTGTGTCTACCTTGTTTGGTTAAGCGCTTTGAGTTGCCTTGTGTGAACTACAAATAAACTTGCCTTGTCTTGTACTGCAGCTTTAAAACTGAAATGATACGAGGAGAATCAAACTGAAAGATACTAACACCAAAAACCTGTGTTTTTTAAGGTTTGTGTTGAAGACTGAGTTCATCCCTGCAAAGCACAGAGCGTTCCTTCTGCCTCTGGCCACTGTGAGAGAACAGACACTTTTCTTTGAATAAGTTTATGTTTTTGCGGCTCAGAGAGAGATGTGTTACTCTTTGTGCTGACAGATCTTCTGGATGCTTGGCTCCATCCTCATCATAATCCTGGGGATGCTGGTGGTCCCCACACTGGGCTGGAGATGGATGATTCGCTTATCTGTTGCACCAAGCGTGATTCTCATTTTCCTGTTTAAAGTGAGAAAAATCATGTGTGACATTTTTACAGCTTTTGTTTCATTTTTAATTCTTAACTTCTATTTAATTTCCCAAAGTTCATTCCAGAGTCTGCACGTTACCATGTTTCAGCAGGAAACCTTCCAGCTGCCGTTAAAACATTGCAAAAAATCGCAAAGATGAACAGAGCATCTCTTCCACCAGGAATATTGATGGAACCTGCTTTGGTATGTGTCATTTTCAAAGACTTTAAACCTAACCAAGGAAATGGAAATTATTATTTTGTTCACAATTTTAGACAGAGAGAGGGAATTGGAGGCTTCTGCTCAGTCCATCCTTGAGGAGGACAACTTTACTGCTCTGGTACTCTTGGTAAGAACAGCCTAAAAAATCAACTTGATTTTCATGAAGTACATATGAACAGAATAATGATTATTTTTTTAACAGGTTTGTAGCTTCATTTGCATATTATGGCTCAGTGTTGAGTAGTTCAGAACTGTTAGAGAAGAACCTGTTGTGTGTAAAAAATGCAGACCACGAGCACCAGATCAAACACCGCCAAGAGGACGGACTGTGTTACTGCATTCCATTTGCGTACAATGACTATCAAACTCTGCTCATCAGTGCTTTTGGAGAAGTTGCCCGTAAGTAAACATCAATAGGAACAAGCGTAACTTCACAGTTGCTTATAAACATATGGCACTTTATGGATCCCTCTTTTCCCAGTCGTCCCACTTAACATTGGCCTTTTGAACTTGTTTGGAAGAAAGACGAGTTTGGCAGTTTTACAGTTGCTGGCAGCTGTATTTTTTTTGTTAATCAATATTTGCACCACCATGTAAGTCTTTTTTTTGTTTTTGTTTTTTTACATTTGTTGAAACTTTGCAATTGTGACGACCAGTATAATTATAGGCCGTGTTGTTTTATTTGATTTATTAACAGTTGTGACCCGGGGGCACTTGCATCTCATTTGTATTTATTAGACACCTCTCCTCGATTCTTCCATTTTTCAACTATCTATGATGTCGTGCTTTCTGCCTGCTCCTCTCCTCGCTTCATTATCTTTCCCAACCCACAAAGATCCGTTAACTTTGCATGGATGAGATAGTCATCCATGCAAAGTTAACAGATCTTAACTTTTATTACTATCTTTAATATAGTAATAATTTAATAATTATTACTATGTTAAAGATGGAGACTTTATACTTACTTATTTCGATGCTAAACTTAGAGACATTATTTTTATTCTAATGTATTATTATTATTATTGTTAATAATAATAATATATTATTATTATAAATATATATATTATTTATTTCGAACCTGCACAAAACATTATTTTACATATACTTTATCAATAACATAGAACTAACAGAGAAATAACTTATACCTGGTTCGAAAAGGGGTTGGATGAAGCAAATGCTCATTTGATTCCAATCCCCATCAGACATGCACTGTTTTAACAATATCATGCAGTGAAATTTTCAAACATACAATGGTACATTACAAACAGTAATACCATTCTAACACTGATGGTGTAAGACAGAATACACAAAACACACACACACTCTGACAACACACAGGCCTAAACACTCTCCGACCCTACACCTTTCTACTCGCTCGGTGCTCAAGGCATCACTTTCTTTCTTCCACATGTTTCTTCAATACATATTTTTAAACATTGTTTTAAATGTAATCAGTTTTGAGCATGTCCTTGATTAAGATGATGGATCATTCCAAACAGCAGCTCCACGCACACATTGATTTTAAAGTAGTCCTACATTTAGCCACATACACCTTTTTACTTCCTCTTTGTCTATAACTATGATGCACATCTCTATCATGGAAGAGTAAGGGCTGATATTTTTGTATAGAGTTTGGGTTAGAGCGAGAGGACCACTGCCAGAGTGAAGGAGGCAGGTCACTTTTACAGGCGGTGGAAAGCGGTCACAATCTATTAATAAATCTAATCATCAACAAAGACGCTTTAGTAACTATGGTGGCCGTCGCACAAACACATGTGTGTTGTGTTGACCCCTCACTTTCTGTTTAGGTTCGGTTTCACGGTTCTGTTCTTCCTCATCCGTTCACTGGTTTCCATGAACTTTAACGTTGTTTACATCTACACAGCCGAGGTAATCATGTCTGTCATATGGAAATCATAACATCAGCCAGGGGTTATGTGTCCATTTGGGTTTGTTTGTTAGTGAGTTAGCAACTTAACTAATCGAAAAGCAATGAGCACATTTTGTCAGTAAAGTTAAGAAATTGGCCAAGAAACCATTACATAGATTTTTTTTGTTGGTGATTCGGATCAACGTCTTATTAGCACCCCTTAAAACAGCAGTTAACTGGTTTAAATTGTACTTGTCCTAGCTAAACCATGGAAATTCCACACCTGGATTGTGAATGAGGCCAAAGGAGTGATATTTTCTAATAAATTTATTTTCTATTCTTTTCCTTGGACTTTTCCTTCTTGTTATAGGTATACCCCACGGTTGCTCGTTCGCTCGGTATGGGCTTTTGTACATCGTTCAGTCGCATTGGTGGGATGATTGCACCATTCATTGCACAGGTATTTACTGTATAAACCTTGGTCTACCAATAAAACGTCAATGAAAGACCGGAAAGCAGTATTTTGACTAATTTATAATTCTAGGTGTTGATGTCCCACTCTGTGATAGCGGCCCTTTGTCCGTTTTCTGTCGCCTGTTTCATTTGTGGTTTAGGAAACTTTCTGCTGCCAATTGAAACTAAAGGACGAGCTTTGCTGGTATAATCTCCTTTGATGTCTTTATCTTCACTATTGTGGGATATCTTTTTCATTCATGTTCTAACAATTATTTATTTTTTCCAGCAAACCCATTGATGTAAAAGATGTTTTTTTTATATATAAATAATGTATATAAAGAAAATATTAAACACATTTTAGAAAGTGAACTGTTTCAGGAGTCTGTTAAACCAAATCAAGCCAGTTAATTATATTACAGTACATATTATGATTTCATGATAATGCATTACAATTTCCTACTCATTTCCTGAAGATACAAAATGAAGTATTGGCAAGACCCCTAACTGATGCTAGAGAAGACAGTAGCAAACCACTAATCTCATTTTGACAACATACTGCACCCTCTGCCATTTGGGTTTCGGCCACAGTACTCAATTGAAACGTCCCACTGAGAATCTACACCTAACAATTGGCAGGCAATACATTGAGTGAGAATGTGAGAGAATTCAAATATTTATGCCTAATTCTGGACTCTCACCTGCAAATTGACAGTCACATTAACAAGATTGCTTCAGATTAGGGATTGTTTACTTTTCAAGGCAGCCAATATTCTACACGCCATGATTTTTTGCAGATCAGTTACTGTATCACCTGCTGTCCCCATGGCCCACAGCCTCTACCATCAAACCAGTAAGAATGCTCTACATCAGAGCCATACAAATATTGGACAAAAAGAAAATGTCCGGTGTCGCAGAGACTACATTTTCTTAGTGTTGATAATTATAACATTTTGTAAATGTAAATTATTGTATAAATGTTTGCACAGTCGACCTCCTGCTGTTAGTGCACTCAGTTCCTCTGAGGTCCATCACACAAGGTTTGGAATGTGAAAGTGCCCCTCAGGAGAACCACTCCCCTGAAGGGCCAGGGGGAAAATGTCTTCAAGAATTCAAGCCCTCAGCTAAAACTGAAGCCCTCCAAGGGACAGACATCTGCCACCACTGAAGTTTGCTGTTGTATCCCTGGGCAAGACACTTAACCCCACATTGCCCAAAGCCCCCGCTAAACACCAAGACCGTATCTTCGTCAAAGCAGCTGCCATCTTCCTGTGGACCCACCACCTGCAGGAGGAACAGCAAGAGACTGGTGCTTTGAGCATTGGGAGGCAGCTCTGATTGCCACCCCCCAACCCAGAAATTGAATAATAAAGGGGGATGAAAATCAGATCAAAATCAGAATCTTCAAAACCTTTTTTTATTGCCATGTGAGAAACAGGAAGTCACAAACTAGGAAATTGCTTTGGCTCTCGGTGCAAACAAGTTAAATCAGAATAAAAACAAGAAGGCATGCATAAATAAAAATCTACATACATACTACATACAAGTGCACTAGGTGCACACAATAGACCCCTGTGAAATGACATGATGAAAAATATAGATTAACTGTAGATGTGGTGTATCCTTGAGTGTACTGGTTCCAGATAATGGCTTCAACGTAACAAACAGTGCAACAGAGTCCAGTTCAAATATTTATTGTGGGAATTGTCTTGGTCATGGAGTGGGAGGAGGCAAGGAGGGGAATCGTAGATAGTTGTTGAATATGGCAAAATATGGAAGTGGAGGGTGGAGGGTGGAGAAACTGGTCGTTCTACAAAGGAGAAATATGAGCGTCAGATAATCTGAGAAAGTAAAACACAAAGTAGCAGATCAAAACTCACAGGCATTTACGCAGTTCTCCACAGGAAAAGGGATTCTCCAAATTCAGGTCAGGAGTGTCAAGACAGAGAAGGTGCTATGCGACTGTGTTTATCGACTTGGGGGCGGAGCCAGGTGCCGCCCAGAGGTGGGCCCAAGTCAGGCAAAAAATTAGGGGAGGAAAGGGATTTTTCACACATGACATGAAAAGATGAGTTCAGCACACACTTTGTAATTTTCACAAATTAGTTGTAAATCTAAAAAGCCGAATGAAATGAAAAAAATAAAAAATAAGTTGTAAATCTGAAAAGCCATTTTTCTTGTGTGGAGGTTTTGGGTCCCCAGAGGTCCTTGGACCCCATTTGGGAAACGCTGCCATAGAGCAGACATGTGGGCCAATTGTATCCCTCTGTGTCATGTTATGTGGCCATCAGCCTTGAAAACACAAAGCAGTCTAGATCATAAAGACATGTTCACAGTGTCATCCAGGAAACATCAGCTCAGCCAACATAGGCATGCTGTACCTTTTGCGTGCTGACATTTGTTTTTGGTTTTGTCACAAAATTCTATACATAGTTCCTACATGACGTCACTACATACGGGGATTTGCCGACCCGGCGCCATTTGTGTTGGCATTCTGTGGGCAAAACAATAGAAAAAGAAGCTGAAATGTGTTAATGTCGTGATAAAGTTGAAAATGGTCATCTCCTGCTGGGTCAATGGATGTTCAAATCGTGCCGGAGGTTCCGTTAAACTTGGATTTTACAGTATACCCATCATTAGACTTCATGAATGTGAGAAGACTAAGCTTTTGTCAGAACAACCACGGAGGTTATGGCTTGCGAAGATAAACAGGCAAGAAACTCCCTCAAAACACGCAAGAATATGCTCGGAGCACTTTGTGTCAGGTGCGTATCGTATCTTATAATGTGTTGACAGACGTAATTTACTCAGTACTAACTTGTGTATGCTGATAGCTGGTAACTTGAGAGTTTCATTATTTAGATTACTTTATTATGAGGAGGATCGGTGTCGCGTCCGAGGCTCTCGAGGGCAACGTAAATGTATTAAATAGATAATAATAGTTCTATGGTGGGCTAAAACAATGTTCACAAACAGCATTGCTTCTGTAAAAAGATCTGTGTCATAAAATAAACTGCTCTTTACGCCTGGAAAAATCAGTTGCCCACCATTCACCAAAACATACGGTCAAAGACGCGGAAATAAACAATAACAGCAATCCAGAGTGTCCGTGTGGCATTAGCATTAATTAAATTAATTGTTAATATAATTAAAATAATTAAATGGAGCTCCAACTGGTATTAAATCTAAAGTTTTTGAGAAATGTTTGCATTGCTTGTTAATTTTTGCTGCATAATTTGATCAAATATGTAAAACATGTCCGTAGCACGTTAAACTGTGGTGCCATTGTATTAATATACAATTATTTGCTCAAAAGTTGCCCTTTTTTTCCAATTTGCGTTTGAATATCTACATTTATTCTCATTCTTCTGTTTAATGGAATGCACAAACACAGCAGCGTGCCATCAAAGATGGCGTCTCCGAGGAGGTCATGTGACATTCATTGGTCTGTGGGAACTATGTATTAATGGCATCAACAAAGCTGGTGAGAAGGTAATTTGTCATGCAGCTAACTTCAGCTCCATCATCGCTAAAGTTCTCAGAACAGCTCGAATCCATGCAAGAGTTTTACAATCCGGCTTGTTGACCCCTGGACAAGCCTGGTTAAGTAAAGTGGCCCTCTTACTAAAAGGTTTGGACACCTCTGGCCTAGAGCATATAAGCCTCTGGTAATTACAGATGAAGAATTGACAGGTTGAGTTTATTGGGGAAGTAACCTGGCTTTAGAGAAAAAGCAGGTGACAGCAGGCAGCTGTACCTGAAGCTCATTAGTTCTGACATCCACAGACGAGATTACTGTCATTTGTGGGCGGGGCTTGTTTTCTTGGACTCCGCCCACTGACCTCAGGCCTTCTGTGAGTGATTACAGTGGATTTAAACAACTAGAATGAGGCAGACGCCACACTCAGCACCTCACTGACAAAGTGTAAGTCTATCTTTTATTAAGTGTACTCAATGGGAAAGGCTTGTTTACGCTTCTGTTGGTCTTTGCTTGAAGTTAGAAGACGTCATAGTTGTTACAGTTAGCCTGATACTATAATGGATCCATGAGTTAGCCTTGTATTCTAAACACACGCTGAATGTTGCCTCTTGTGCAAAATGTAACACTGATGCCATTGTTTTTTGTAGATATAAAATTAATGTCAAATCAATGTATCTATTTGAAAACTTAATAATAATCAATTGTTAGCTAATTACCTATCCATTAATTCGTTACACTGCCTTAATATGTGTGATTGCATACACAGAAACCAGGTGTGTATGCATTTTGGTCTGTCAATATTAGATCAATAATATGTTTTTTGTTGACAAAATACTAATAAAGTTACGGATGTTATTATTGCTATGGTTTAATCTGGATTACTCACCAGCAAAATGAATGTCTACGTTGCATGCAAACAAGCCTTGTTGAACGTGTGACTCTGTGCTTGGCACAGATAGATCTATTCAGCTTCTTTACACAATGACAGTTCCACTAACTGTATTGAATTGAGTGTGTATATTCATCTTTACAGAGAGGAGGTGTGTGCCACAGAGAGACAGGCAGTTGATTAACAGGATTAAAAGTTCAGTAACTTTAAAGTATATGGAGACTGTGGCTGTTGCTGTTCACTGCAGGACATTTGTACCTAATCCAGCAGATTTCTCTCCTTATAAACAACTTAATCTGGTTTGAGGCTTGTCTTTTTCATGTAAATCTGTCTGTGTAAAAGGTAATTATATTTTAGGATAGATAGAGATATGGCAGGAGGATTATTATATTACATTACATTTTTTATTGCATTATAATGTATTATTTACATTATACATATTATATAAAGCTAGCTTTCCAGACACTCTTTTCCAAAGAGTATCTGGAAAAGTGGTAAATAAAACATAATATTTATTGTTACATTTTTTATTTTATTTTCCCTTAACCAATGCATTTTGATACAGGCTGTTTCCAGTTTCTCTAATGTCACAGGACATCCTGGATCCTCTCAGGACCCCCAGTAGTTGGCACCCCAAGTACATGGGACTGACATGGGAGAGGAATTGGACTCTGGAAGCCTTGCTCAAGATTTTTTTGATCAGTTTGTGTCAGCGCCCACATGCAGAGCTACACTGCGCTCCTTCAGCCAGCTCTGTGAGCACCTGCAGCTGGATGCTCAGTCTGCCCCTCGACCACTGTACCCCACAATCAAGCAACGTCTCTGCTACTGGAGAGCCAATGCTCTTTGGTCTAAACTGGACCGCAGGGCCGCCCTAAGTGAATATCAGAGGGGCCAAGCCTGCAGCAATGTCACAGTGTGTTCACATTACACTACAGCTTAATGCGGGGTAACTGTTTATGTGAGAGTAAAGGTCTGTGTCCTGTGCAGTGTGTGGTCATCGGTGCGGGCCCTTGTGGTCTGAGGACCGCAGTGGAGCTGAGCTTCATGGGAGCTCGAGTGGTGGTGTTGGAGAAAAGGGAGTCGTTTTCCAGGAACAATGTTCTTCACCTGTGGCCGTTTACTATTCATGATCTCAGAGGACTTGGGGCAAAGAAGTTTTATGGAAAGTTCTGTGCAGGCTCCATTGACCATATCAGTGAGTCTGAAACAAGAACATGTCATAAACCTGTAGCACTCCCATTGACTTCTCTAATATTTGCAGGTATCCGTCAATTACAACTCATCCTCCTCAAGGTGGCGCTGTTGCTTGGCGTTGAAGTCCATGTTAATGTGGAGTTTAAAAGTTTGATTGAACCCCCACCAAAACAACAACAAAGTAAGACAAGCTTTTGACCCATGCTGAAAACTAAAATAACCGATGGGTCCTTGTCTTTTGTGAACAGAGGTGGGCTGGAGGTTGGAGACCCACCCCAAAGCTCACCCGGTCAGTCAGCTTGACTTTGATGTTGTCATTGGTGCGGATGGACGAAGAAACACTTTGCCAGGTCCTTTCTATTATTCTTCCTAATTTACTGTTTTGACTTGAGTCAAAATTATTTGAACTTTATTTCTATATAAATAAGGTTTTAAACGCAAAGAATTCAGAGGAAAACTTGCTATTGCCATCACTGCAAACTTTAAAAATCGTCATACGACTGCGGATGCTAAGGTGGAGGAGATTAGTGGCGTGGCCTTCATTTTCAACCAACGTTTCTTTCAAGAACTACGGGAAGAAACTGGTATATCTCTTATAGTACGCATGCATTTGAGTCTTAGTATTTTCTGGTCTAATTCCACTCTTTGCTTTGCCCCAGGGATTGACTTGGAGAACATTGTGTACTACAAAGATGACACACATTACTTCGTAATGACTGCCAAAAAACAAAGTCTCTTGGAAAAACGTGTCATTCTGCAAGTAAGAGATCTATGTCAATATGGATTAGTGTTGATAATGGCTTTGACCACAGCCCGTCACAGTAGACAATTGTCTTTTACCACAGACGCTTGAATTACAGTTTGACCATAGACTGTATATAGATGGAGAATGCTAACCCCCGCTTTAACATCTTATTATCATTTTGAACTCTTATATTGTATATTAGGAGTGGACAAACCTATTGCTGATGTCACTTAGTGTTTGCCGAATGTGGAAGAGGTTGATTTGAACAAAAGCTAGCTGGAGCCAATTGCCTTATACAGGCATTTGTTCCAATTGCGTTAGCTTCGTGCTGTAACAGGGGCAGACTTTTTACTCAGCTGGTTGTTAAAGCAAGCTAGACTTCACCCTATCTCTTCATGAATGTGTTTCTTTTCTTTCTGTTAGGATTGTGTGGACACTGAGCTTCTACTCTCTCCTGACAACGTAGACCAGAATGCTTTGCAGGTCTATGCCCGCGAAGCCGCAGATTTCTCCACCAATCACCAGCTGCCGTCTCTGGACTTTGCCATGAATCACTACGGACAGCCAGACGTCGCCATGTTTGACTTCACCTGTATGTACGCCTCCGAGCACGCTGCCATGTTTTACCAGCGCCACAAGCACCATCTGCTGGTCACTTTGGTTGGAGATAGTTTATTGGAGGTGAGACAGGAAACGTTTTAGGTTGAGACTGAACTCGGAAATTTAACTTTGCAACTAGGGATCAATGGCAAGCTCTGGTGAGCCAAGATGTCTGCCTATTCAAATCTACGGCCTGTACTCACTGGCCTTACAACGGAGGTCAAAATATTAGTGGAAGTGACGCATTTCAGCCACCTGAGGTCCACACGGTCTTGGCAGTTGGTGTGCTGTTAGTGGTATTTCCACAAGCCGAGGCAAACACGTGACCGTTCTGACCAATCAGAGCTGACTGTAGAGGGCCGCATTACAACAACCTATCGGCGCACGCCCCGATTAGAGCAGACAGAACAAGTGTGGATTAATAGAATTTCAACACTTCAGGATGACAAGAAACACTAAAATCCCTACTGAACCCGACCTTTGAAAAAGCTGTAGGTTCTTTGGCAGCTGAGGATGAGCCGTTTTTATCAACATCCTGGTGGGAAAATGTCCTGGGTAGCACTGGTGAAAGTAGATGCAGCACATGCTCCACAATCATGCAAGGTCCCAGCTTAAGCTAGCAACACCTTACTCAGAAAATATAATATACTGTGACACCTGCCAGATTTTAATTGGATGAAGGAGTATACAGTTTTATACATGGATGTATTACATTGGGTTTTATATCACACCCCTGGCAAAATAAACATATTTAAGCCCAAAATCAATTTCAAATGATAATTATTGATTTTATGGTCACAAATGCTTTGCAGATATAACAAAAGCGAAATTTGCTCCTGTATTTCTCATACAGTATCACAACAGTTAAGGTATGTTCTAGTGAATGAGCAAAGAGAATCTAGGTACATTTGTGCATACGTTTGTATGATTGTCGCTGCTGCACGTGTGTTGTCACAGCGTCACCAGCTCGTTTGGCTTCAGAAATTACGTAGATATCCGTGTTTCTGATTTATTTCAAGCTTATAAACAGGAATCAATTATAGAATTAACATTAATTACATATTATACTTGATCGAAACATACATGCATTCATACATACATTGAAAGATTAATATTTTTCTTGTCTTTTAGCCTTTTTGGCCCATGGGTACTGGTGTAGCTCGAGGTTTTCTTGCAGCCCTAGACACAGCATGGATGATCCGCAGTTGGGCAAATGGAGGTGCTCCTTTAGATGTTCTTGCCATGAGGTAAATATTCATATTTTAACCTATGGAAAGTTATTTGATACAGCTACTCAAGTAGTTGTAGCTGTGGTACCTAACGTTCAAAGTGTTCATGTTTCTCACTCTCAAAACAGTTTCAGCCCAAAGCTTCAACTAGTGAATCTTTTCTTTTTCTGCTGGGACAAACAAATTATAGTATACATAATATTATTTATGATTAGGTATGATTAGATAAGTTAGGAACCCCAGCTTTAAGGGTTATAAACAGATGTCTGTGTCACTTAAATACTGCACTTATGTGTCATCCATCTCAACAGCATTTATTTTTTAACAGAGAAAGTTTATACCGTATCCTGCCTCAGACAACTCCAGAAAACATGCAAAAAAACATCAGTCTATACACTTTGGATCCAACCACAAGATATGTCAACGTCAACACCCAACTCACTCCTGCTCAGGTACACAGTACTAAAGTAACCACACCCCTATCACAGAGCCCATCCTTATCAGACCTCCAGGACTAAGCAAGCCTAACCCAGTACGAACCACTGTGTTCTTAAAAAAGACATTCACGCACTACACCCAGCATGAATTAATTAATTTTCTGATTGAATGAGTGACGCTTGAGCGTGGGGGCCAATAGCTCCAATGGAACAATGAGGAGAGCAAAAACCTAGCTAAAAAAATATAAGTCATTGTAAAAAAAAAAAAAAAAATGCAAATAAATAAGGCCACATCTGATGTGTTAATGAATGGTGTCTCAAAATGTATGATATTTTTAACTTTTGCTGATGACAAATGTCTTTTCTTCTGGAGAGGATTGGTAGCAGAAATTCGATCTGGTCATACAGGCTTACCACCAAATGAATATACACATCTGTCACCGTTATGGTTAAAGGTCATTGCAAGTGCAAGACATAACATTGATGAGAAAAGTGCTGTTTGCATTTTCAGGTGAGACATTTGGTGAACACGAGTCACGAGACGGGGGACAGCGCACACGACTTGGAGTCTGTCAGAGCGCCGTTTGTTAGACCGGGTGAGTTGGCTGCAAACACTTCACTGTCTCTTTGGATCAATCATTGGTTTGCCTGTAATGAGAACTGTACTAGATTCATCCTTTTATATACAGTACTAGCTTTGGAACGTTCATCTTCTCTTAGACTTTGTTGATTCTTCTATATCAGACAAATTATCCAAGAATGGGTCTTTTCTATATCCCACAGTATTTTCACACTCTGCTCTATGTGAAATGCTAAAGACATTTGTTTTAAAATTCTGTTTCCAGATTCTTTCTCTCACTGCGATAAGCTGCTCACTTGGTGCCAGGAGCGGACGCGAGGTTACTCTGGAGTTGTAATCCATGACCTCACCACTTCCTGGAAGAATGGCCTTGCGTTGTGTGCCCTTATTCACAGCTACTGTCCTGAACTGATGTAAGCAATTAGTGAGCTATTTATAATGTATCTGCATATGTAAACATACAGTCTCTGCTGTTTTTGGCCATTATTTGAAAATTATTTGTTATAACACAAAAACTTTATTTTCTCTCATTGTTAGTGGTTGTGTTTATTTTACAATAAATGGCTTCAATTTATAATCAATCAATCAATCAATCACTTTGTTTATCCCCAAGGGGCCATTAAAAAGCATGGAGAGTTGCAAGTTACATGCTAAAAATCTCAATAAATATTACATGAATACATACACACAAAAGCTCCAAAAAATGTTTGGAGCTTTTAAACCCTGTGCTGGGGTAATGACAGGTCCGAGTTCAGCAGCTGAATCACTGTTGGAACAAAAGTGGATTTCCTCCTCTGCGTGCTACATCCCACCGAGCGCAGCCTCCTCCCTGAAGGCAGCCACTCAAACACAGGGAAGAGAACATGAGCAGGGTCTCCCAGAAACCTACAGGCCACTCTCATGGTCTGCTGATCACACAGGGCAGCAAGGGATCTGACTGGCTGGCCAATAATCTTAGAGCAGACATTTGTTACTCTGATTAACTGAGCCCTGTTTTGTGCAGTGACAAAGTAAAACCAGCAAACGCATGAAAAAGAAAGAACACTTTCAATAAAGGCATGGTAAAAGGTCATCATGATGTTTGGACTGACATCAAACGCCCTTAATTTCCCTAAAAGATAGTGTTTCTGATGGCATTTTTTCAGGAGTTCCTCAGTGTTACTGGAGAATTTGAGCATGACATCAAAGATGGTTCCTAGATATTTGTACTCGTGAATCACCTCCACAAGCTCTCCCCTGATAGCAGAAGATTCAACCTCTGCAAGCTGTCTCTGCTTATAATGACACAGTAACAGTAAATTACCCTGATCAGAGGTTTATGTCCCCCAGTTTTCAATATTTTCCCCTTAGGGGAAGGGGATTTCCCCTTTAACACTTATGACATTGTGGCTGAGGTTCTTTGTTTATTGATGGTAAAGCTGCCCATTCTTCTTTGCAAAGCGCAAAGAGCGGATCAATTAGGTTTTAATATGATAATAGAAGAAAGCTTCCAGGACATTCTTGCCGTGAAGAAGGTCCTGGGTTCAATTCCACCTCCTTTGTGTGTGGGGTTTGAATGTTATACCCCTGCCTGCGTAGGTTTCCTCCGGGTTCTCCAGTTTCTCTTACCACTAAAACATGCACAATAGGTCTGAATGTAATGAGTGAGTGAATGTATGGCGTCTCGCTTCTGTCATCGCTGTTTGTGGAGTGACTGGAGATATGTTGGTGCTCCAAAAACATTGTGAAGCTCTTTGTGTGACTTTGGTCTGTGAAATTTGTCATATCAATGTATAATACTTACTTTTATTTAAAACTCTATATAATGAATGTACAATGTTATGTTAATCCTTTTGTCTTACCAAAGTCTTGCCAAAGTTAACCCTAACCCTCATATATGATAATGAGTGAGCCTACACTTAAATTTACTGGACATTCACTGTTATATGTTGTTTTCTTTGTGGTCTGTTAGTGATTTTCAGTCTTTGGATAAATCAGAGGAGGAAGACAACATACAGCTTGCTTTTGATGTGGCTGAGCGAGCATTTGGTATCTCCCCTCTGATGACTGTAGAAGAGATGCTGTCCATGGCAGAACTCGACTCTCTGTCGATGGTGATGTATTTGAGTCAGTTCTACCAGCTGCTCGGCACCACACATCCAGCAGGTGAGACCACTATTACCATTACACTGCTCTTTGAGGCTCTACAATCATTCATGTTTGTTTTGATTTTATATTTTTGCAGGTTCCCTTTCTCAGTTTGCAGAATTGCGAGGAGCCCTCATTACTTCAGTTACACTTTTAAGTAGACTAGGATACAGTCCATCCAGAAAAAGAACCACACATTTAAGGACCTTAGAAGTAAATTTGTTTTGGAGTTGCATCTTTTTGTTCTTTGATTATTGTCAACCATAATATTAAACCGCAATGTATTTGTTTCATATTTTGTAAAGGAGAAAAAGGATAACCTTACAAAAATTAGACGAGAAAGTCAACCACAAGATGAACCAGGTTTGGAAGTAGATATTGAGGAACCTTTATCTGACCCCAATGCAAGTGGTCCACCGTATGACCAGTACAAGACCAAAGTGCGCTTAATGGCAAGCAAGCTTCAAGGAAAACAAGAATTCACCTCTCAACCAAGAATCCATAACAAGAGACCAACGACTTTGGACTCACAGCAAGAAGTAAGGTCCAGTTAGATCTACTGTAGAATGTGTTTGCTTTATTACTCAAACACGTCACACTATTTGAGTACATATTCAATGATAATGATTGGGGACTGTTTTGTCCAGCAGGGGGAGATATTGTCCCCATCTGTTCCAGAGAGTAGAACCCCTTCAGAAGCCTCTGCTCCACTGCCGGCGTGGAGACTGGTAAGTTCTGAATGTTCAGTCAACCCTAACACCGACGACATTCTTATTGTTGACCAATCTTCTATTTTGATAGAAAAAACGAACACAGCAACAAGAAATGATGAGTTTTCGTTTCAAAGAGCGAATCAAGTCACAGCAGGTTGGGAAAGTATTAGTTTGTTTGTGTGTTATGCATGGATCAATTATACATAGATGTTTAGGAGTAGTTTTTTGTAATTTAGGAATCCCACATTTCTTCTTTTCAGCTCCATACTCACAATATCAGCGAGTAATAATATCACAGTTTTAGGTCCTATTATTATTATCAAACTGTTGTTGTGTCCTTAGGCAAGACACTTCCTCCTCAAATGTGAGACTGATGCGTGTGTGAATGATTAGTGCTGGTCGTCGGGATCGATGGCACAGATTTGTAGCCATGCTTCCATCTGTCTGCTCCACGGCAGCTGTGGCTTCGTAATTCCCCACCACCATGAGTGAATGAACAATGCCTACAGTGTACACAATATAATGATTAATAATGAATTATTCTAATATTTCTGTATACTATTCTTATATACTATTGCATTCAATTCAGTATTTATTTAAGGCCTAAAAAAATCTTCTTGACAAGAGTAAATACAGTCAAAGCTTCCTGTACCGCTGATTGGAAAACACAACCACAATATTTTCAAATGGTGGCATTGATTGAAGCATAATCTGTGATGGGACAGAGAGGGGTTTAGAGCGGTAACGGGGACTGCCTTAAGTCACCAGATCCCCAACATATTCAGCCATGATTGTTTTTTTCCCACAATTCTCTCAAACTGGAAAAAGGTTTTTACGCTGTTATTGATTTGCAGTAGCCGTTTTCCTCTAGGCAGATCCATGTTTGATTTCCCTGCACTATGCTGGCCCTTATCCCGGTCTTTACTCCTGAAGGGGTTGCCGACATGTGATAAAACTATATCTGAATAACAGCTTTCAGCTTTAGTCACATGCAGTGTAACAGCTACTGTGAAGAAACTGCCTTCAGCTTTCTGTTTTAAATGAAAATAATGTCAACATTTGAAAACAAGCAGTGTTCTATGTATTCCTCTAAAGTCATGGCCTGATTTAGCATAATGATTTTTAATTCCAAGATTATAACCGCTACAGTGACCAGTGTATCACACATAAAATCAAAAAGATAATCATGTCTGTAATCCTTTACAATCCAGTTGTGTTTAGGTACAGTATTCACCACGCTGTACCGTCAAGTGTTCTTTTACTGCCCCCTTTATACCCAAGCAGACTTTTGTCTCTGTGTAGTTGTTTTAGGACTCCCAGAATTCTGAAAATACTAGAACTTAGTCATTTTGACGGATCCCATTAAATACGAAAAGTCCCCCAAAAATCAGTTTTAGCTCTATGGATCTTCTATGGATCTTGTGCTTGCATATTAAAATAAACAACTGCAGTACAGCCTCTCTGGTCTCTCTCTCTGGTCTCTCTCTCTGGTCTTTCTCTCTCTGGTCTCTCTCTCTCTCTCTGGTCTCTCTCTCTAGTCTCTCTCTCTCTCTCTGGTCTTTCTCTCTCTGGTCTCTCTCTCTCTCTGGTCGCTCTCTCTGGTCGCTCTCTCTCGTTTCTCTCTCTGGTTTCTCTCTCTGGTCTCTCTCTCTGGTATTTCTCTCTGGTATTTCTCTCTGGTCTCTCTCTCTGGTATTTCTCTCTGGTTTTTCTCTCTCTGGTCTCTCTCTCTGGTATTTCTCTCTGGTCTTTCTCTCTCTGGTCTCTCTCTGGTCTTCCTCTCTCTGGTTTTTCTCTCTGGTCTTTCTCTCTGGTCTTTCTCTCTGGTCTTTCTCTCTCTGCCAAAACTGGTGAATACAAATAAAATACAGCAAAACAAATACTTACTACTGACAGTAAATAGTGTGTTGCTATGGTAACTAGTACTTGCTCCAAGCTGAGATGGTTCTGAATCAGTCTTGGACCAGTTGAGCATCGATATAATTCCATAAACTTAATGACATATATAAACTACATATAGATACCTAAAAAGTCACAAAGTTATGAAGATTGAAAACATACATAGCCGTCAAATTGATGCACCTGCAAGATTTTAGCTTTACATTTCAACAGAACTTTCCCACAGTGGGACAAGTAAACGAACGTCTCTGTGGCACCAGGTAGAATCTGAAAGTTGTCTTCTGGTCTTGCAGGCTGCAGGCACAGCCGGCAGCAGTGAAACGTGCTTCTTCTGTAAGCAGCATGTGTACGTGATGGAGCGGATGAGCGCAGAGGGCCTGTTCTTTCACCGCACCTGTTTTCTGTGTGATAACTGTGGCTGCAGCTTGAGAATCACCACCTACACCTACGACCGGCCCAGTGGTCAGTGCACAGCAGTTTGTCATTGACATTTATTCACTCTTTGTCTCTGAGTGACATGAGATACCTGTGACAGTGATATATAACCACAGCCCCGTTCCCAACTGTCAACTGATCTTGTGTTCTGTGTGGGATGGTTATCGCTGCTGACCTCCCAATTATTACAAAGTGGTGATTGTGTTATTCAGCTCCAGGTCATTCCCAGTCTTTTATGTATTATGAAATGACTTAGCCAATCGCAGATTCACAAACTGTTCACATGATCAGAGAATACAGCTGAGGCGGCAAATATTTTAAAATCTTGTATTCAATGATTGAAAGTCTTCCTTTCCTCTCTTAGGGAAGTTTTTCTGTCCGGAGCATTTTAACTCAGGTTTACAAACCACAGCTGCAAGAAAGAGACGACTTCCTTCAGACAGAGATATCTCTCACCGCACATCTATAGTAAGTGTAAAAGCTTTCTCACTGCAAAACGTGATGAGAAATAAGTAAAAATTGCTAACATTTGGCAAAATGTATATTAATTTGAGCACATTCTGACTGCCTTGAAGAAAGATTTGTCAATGGGACACGCAAAATTATCTTGTTTTAAAAAGATACAAGAAATGTCTACCTTGGAATGAGTATAAAAAGTCAGTCAGAAATTTCTCATATTACACTCATTACACTTGATTCAAGCCATTATTACCTCATGTTTTGTCATTTTTTGCAGTGTATAAAACATAATTTCAAATATTAATTGACATATTTCCTTTTAACAGGTTTCTTTGATTCCATCTTTCACTGGTTCCTCGACTGACTCTTTAATCTCCCTCGCCGCTGAGCGCCGTCGGTCATCAGGTGAGCTTAGTTCTGGGTGTTCCATGTGCATACTGCGCTGCCTTAAACTGGATCAATGTGGCTTTAGTGTGTCTGTGTTTCTGTGTGTGTCTCTGTGTGTGTGCGTGTGTGTGTCTACAGTGGTTTCTCTGATGGAGGCGGCTCTTAACAAAAAGCAGACAGCCACGCCTGAGAGGATCGGGCTGGAGAACTGTCGCCGCTGCTCCACAAATGTTGAGACTAATCTGTTGGACGAAGCCGAGGAGACACACGAGGTGTCTGAGGAGACGCTTAATGACTTTAACCTGAGACTCCAGGACGACACTCAAACCAGCAAGAGCCGGCCGAGGTCAGTGCTATGAGCTTTCAGTATGAAAACACATGCTGTTATGGATTAACATATTTTGTATTTGAAAGATTTGTACTCTCATATTAAGTTTATGTTCGTGATGATAACAGATTGTGTATTGCAGTTCTGAGTCAGATATGGAAGAGAAGACAGGAGCGCAAAGTCATACTTCACGGAGAGATTCCAAACCGCCTCAGACTGATCTGAGAGAGAAATCAAAGGCGATAAAGCTTGAGTTTGATGAAGAAAACAAGGAGGAAGAGATGGATGTCCATGACAGTGAGTCTTAAAGGAGTAGAAAGATGGTCTTTCAATGTGTATTACTTTTCCAGATTTTTCCTTTACCAAAGTACAATATTAAGTTAAGTGCAGTGGTAACTCATGTGACCTGTCTTCTCCCTATGCAGGCATGTCCAAACTAAGGCCCACGGGCCAAATGCGGCCCTCTGTTAACACAAAGTAGTCTTTGAGATCATAAAGTTCACAATGTCATCCAACCAACCAGCGTTGTAAAGATCAGGCCCAGTGGAATCCATTCATTGACTTTCTTTGTATGGACAGACTATTGTTTCTGGTTTGCACAAAATTCAATATGTGTCGCTAATGTCGAGCTATGATGAGATAACATGATAAGCTAAGCAGTTCTGTCAAACATGAATCAGTATGAACATATAGTATAATTTTAAACCTCAAAACAGCCCAATTCCAACAGTTTTCAAATCCGGGTTGGCCACCCCTGCTCTAGTGCAATCCGTCATCTTTCTGTTTTTTACCCTAAGGTAAAAAGGACAAAACTTGTGTCTGTTTCAGTTGCAACTCCTGACTCCCGGATTGAGGCTCTTCTGCGCACCCCCTCCACAGCCTCCCTTGTCACCTCTGCTGGCTCCTCCTCATGTAACTCTCTTGAGTCCGGAGAAAAAGACACAAATACAAGTCATGTTTCTAAGTCACACACAATGTCTTCAGTGAACTTCGGTCCTGCCAGTTCTGTGGAGACTGCGCCTAGACTTACGTATTTGGGAGAGCATCCGAAGCATGGCTCCTTCAGTGACATAAGTCCAGAAATTCCACAAATTCGACCATTGCTTCAGCAGAAGTTGGAAACTGAGCAGGAAATGATTGAGACAAGTGAGTCACTGCTGCTCCATCTGAAAGGGCTGAAGAACACTTCGATGGTGGGACGAATAGATGGGAGCCTGAGCCAAGATTTCCTCAAGACAACTTTATATGGAAATGTGGAGAAGAAAAACTGGAAGAGCAGAGCTTCACTTCTCAGAGGAAAACGGAAGGCAAACGAGGAAAGAAATCGAAGAGGCAAAGGTGATATTTTTACGTTTGTTTTGCATCTTTTGTAACTGAACTTCTAAAGCATTTCAGGCTTTGCTTCATTTTCAGATCATGTTCATTCTACATTTTCCGAGACTGAGCTGGAGAATTCCACTCTGCTCCAGAGATGTTCATTAACGCCAAGAAAAAATGTAAGTATATTCATCAAATCTGTGTTTCACCATCAGTTTGTGACACTGTCACTTTAGTTACAGCTGGATCTTTCTGATCTCACATCCGAAATACAAAGAGTCACATTAAAGGAAGAGGTGGGCATCAGACAGGTATGAGTCAACATCTTAGATGCTATAAATACATTATTTACGTTTAATATTTTAGTACATGATTTTTTGTTTTTTTGTAGCCAGCTTATGTTCCCCACGCTCTGGCTTTTAGACGTTCCTATGGCATAAAGGTAAAGACACTTTATTATGTGATGTCAGTTGTGACATAAAGTACATTTTCAGTATGTTCAGTATGTGGTTTACATGTTATATAACTCCTTTAGTTATTGGCCTATGACAGCAGCAGGTTAAACATTTGTGTATTACATTTTTCAGAAAATCTCTCAAAAGGACAGAACTCTAGTTCAAGACTCAGATGGAGGATCTTCTTGCCCAACAGAAGTGCTGGGAGTTCTTGTACATCCCCAGGAGGCATCCAGCTTAAGCGTGCGGGAAAACTTATTTCAAAAGAAAATTGATGAGGACGAGGAAGACCTGGATGCCAAGATCACTCGACGAGTGCAAAAAGCTGCTCGAAAACAGGCAAAAAAAGAGCAACTGAAAAGACTTCACAAAGCTCAAGTAAATCTCCCTCTTCCTTTAAGTCAAATGATACTTGTGTTTCCTGGGAGTAGTTGCCAAACCGTTTCATAATGTGTAGGTAATTCAGAGACAGTTGCAGCTGCTGGATGAGAAGCAGAGGCTGTTGGAGGCCCGCGGAGTGGCCGTGGAGAAGGCGCTACGAGGAGAAGCCGGTAAAGATGCAGCACAACACACTTCACAGGAATTCAAAAACACTATGAGCATCTATGATTGTCTTTCAGATTATTGGGGAGAATCTGGTGATAGCCAAGACTTTGATCTTTACCTTGGGGGTAGGTTTACACGTTAGTATTGCAAATGTATTCATATCTTAATAAGAAGAGTGTTAAAATATGAATCTACATATTTAGGTTTAGGTAAACTGGAAAACCCAGCGCTCATGCAGCAGTGGTTCCAGCTGGTGCAACAGAAGAACTCTTTAGTCCGCTATGAGTCTGAGCTGATGATATTGTGAGTCCTGTCACTCCATTTGATTCATAGGATATAGTTCTACTGTTAATGCTCCTTTGTTCTGTTAGCGCCCGGGAGTTAGAGCTGGAGGATCGGCAGTGTCGACTACAACAAGAATTGAGAGAAAGAATGGCTGTAGATGGTCAGTCAACACTCAAAATAACTGTCATTGGTGACTATGAAAATGGAGTCAATTATGTGTTTGTGCGTAGACCACCTGAAGGAGACCTCAGAGCTGGAGGAGGAGCGGTTGATTTTGCAGGAGATGCTGGAGGTTGTGGAGCAGAGAGACGCTCTGGTGAGTCTGCTGGAGGAGCAGCGGCTGCAGGAGAAGCAGGAGGAGCAGGACCTGGAGGCTCTGATGCTCTCCAAAGGCTTGGGACTTAACTGGGACTAGCTTCAAGACACAATATACCATCTACAGTCAAAGGCCTTTGTTCTGAATATGCATCACTTTTTTTCTAAACATGCATTTGTTCCATTTCTTGGTCCGTCTCAAATGTGACAGTTTATTAATTATTTTTGGGATCTTTATCTGCTGTTGCCTTTTCAATTTTGTTTTTACTAGTGATGTATGCTCAATATATTTTTTATGTGCCAAAATATGCCTTACACTGTACATGTTCTGAAATTTGAGACTGTATGTAAGATTTCAAAATGCTTTTATCTGTATAACCAGACACAAGGTCAAAAGGACATATGATCATTTACACATGCTTGTTGTGCTTTTCTGGTCAGATTAATTATTTATTCTTTAATACAGAAGGAAAACAATGTCCATATTTGTTAATATCTAGGTTCTCAAGCTGATTTTCTAATCAGTCGGCAGAAGCCATTTTTTTGGTCTGTGCCTAATCCTGAGCTGCATCAGTACTTGGAGCCGGAGGGGCACCAACATGTGTGCTCTACATGCAGGGACACATAACATGACCAAGATTTAAGAAATATTTGAAAACAAGTTCCTGATTTATTAAATACCAACCCTGAGGAAATCATGGTGGAGAAATAAACATTACAGACAACATTTTTCTGTTTCAAATGTTCTATGACTTGACAGGCTGCGATGAGGGTTTGAGGTGTTCACAGACCAGTGCTCTCTACTTTCAGGTCTTTGGCCACCAGTCCCGCTGTGACCGGGTGCATGGCAGCACGATGGCCGATAAACACTTGCACAGCTTCATCACGATACTTCTCAAGGGCGTACACCTCTCTGTAAACAAACAGGATTTTTCAGACAGGATCTTGCTGAAACATCGGAAATAATCAAAATGTTGAAACTACTGCAACGAGAGCATGTGCAACCCTTATCTTGTGCAACAGCAAAGAAACAGGTTATTTCAGAAGACACAACAGACTTGGTTCCCGTTTTGACATTTTAACACAAAGTCCTTCATTTTGGAGCATTTGAGTGTTGGTAAATATACAGAACAATACTTGCCTAAAAAGTGGACGTGTAAACTTAAGCCTGCCCTGTTCTGTTGCCATTTTCAGGGCCACGGGAACCATTTCCTCCCATTTGGAGCGCACACACAAGCGCAGCCATCTGAAAACAGACAATTATTTATAATTTAAATGTATGTCGTTTTGCGAGTCTTTCACTACTCACCTGAAGCGAATTTCTGAGTTCATGAAACTGTTGAGGTTGTAAAGATCCTGCATCTTCTTTACATGAGTCAGCGGTAACGGGCTCTACAGAAAGGTTGAGGTGAAAAGATGCAGATCGAACCACATTTTACACAAGAAAACCAACATTTACCTCTTGAAGCAAAAGTGACAAGAACTCAATGAGCTGGTGAGATGACAAAGCTGTGATGTCCGATACGTTGAAACCCCCCAGGTCCTGTTCTTTGGCCTGAAAAATACACATAAAAGGCTAACTGCTTTTTCTTCAATGTTAGGTAAGTCACATATACCAATTACATTTAAATAATGGTTCTAACAATGCACTTGTTACCCACAAATGATCTAAAACTACAGGGCCTCCGCTTCACTGAGAGTCACATGCACATTGATTTTTACTAATTTTAGAGAAAATGGCTGAAAGGATTAAGCTCAGACCACTTTGAATTCTTCCAACCCACCTTAATCCATTTCTGACTTAAGGTGATGCAGGCATTGGCCAGTGTTGTGTCATACCTAAAAACATACACTAACATCAGAGCTTGTTTCTTTTAAGTTCCTTACTGGCATATGGTCCAAGTATTACAACTCACTGAGGCTTGACAGGAGGCATTCCCGGTGTATACATCCAGGCATTCCAGTCCACTTTCTTTAAAATGTCTACCTGAAGACATGGGACCACCATTTTATTATTTCTTTATGTTAGTAAATACAAATGATGATTATGAACCAGTATTCTATGGTACAGTAGTGGCATTTTAGCCTATACCTTGTCTTTAAAGTACGAAAACAGATAATCCTTCCACTGATCAGTGGTGGCACTGCTGTAAGCAAACATCTGGATATATGACTTCACAAACTCCATGAACACCTCTGCAGAGAAATAACAATCCAAATCATGAATGATCATCAATAGAATGCTTCTCAGTGCAGGATTACCTGGTCCTCCCATCAGCTCCTCCAGATGGTACAACAGAGCAAAGCCCTTCTCATACGGGACAGAGGAGAAGGCATCATCTGGATCTACGTCCTGGAGGCTGGGCACCAGGTTAGTCAGCGGGCTGTTGGCACCAAAAGTGTTCACCTAAATAAATCAAATAAAGACTGATAAAGAAACGTAGCAGTTATGTGGATGAGCGTGAGCTTGTTTAGGTCCTCACAGAGTCCTGCAGATCTTTCCAACCTCCCATGGCCTTAAACTGTCTGAACTGCTCACTTTCCATTTGTCGACCGATCATCCTCTCCAGGTACACAGTGTGGCCCTCGTTCAACCTGGAGGAAAACCTTATATGACCACTGGATTCATTTCCATAGTAATTAGGAAGCGGTATTCACCAAAAATGCTCCCAGGTTTTGTTGGTCACCAAATTCCCCGTCCAACTGTGGGAGATTTCGTGGGCAATTACCTGATCCAAACAAGAGTATGAATTGAAACATTGAAAGCACATCAATTATTTGAAGAAAAATGAACTTACATTAGATAAAGATTTGTCTCCTGCCTATTGAAAAGAAAAACACAATGTTATGTGGCTTATGATGATCAATGACCCATAAAGAAACAATTAGGATCTCTTACCAGAAGAGTAGGTGTGGCAAAGGTCAGACAGGGGTTCTCCATGCCGCCATAAGGGAAAGAAGGCGGCAGAACCAGGATGTCATACTGACCCCACACATATGGGCCGGCCAGCTTTTCAGCGGTCTGCAGCATCATTTCTGTCTGAGATTAAAGATGAAGGTAAAGAGCTATAGACATATAACAACATTTTCACTCATTAATGACAGTCATTTTGTGTCACCTCGGAAAACTCTGAGGCTGCTTGGTCCACAAATTCTTTCTCAGACCAAACTCTAGATCTTGGTCCAATTTCTCTGTCAAAATATGTTTAATCATTAAACTGACATCTCTAACAATAGTTATGTCACAAATTACAGGCACGAACCTGCTTTCAAGTGCTCCCACCACTATGGCAATCAAGTATGAAGGCATGGCCACCTGTAGTTTCAAACTAGTTAATATTTTTGATTACAATAGTATAATTTAATTACAGGACACTCAATACTGACTGGCTGTCTGAAGCGATAGATGATCCGCTGGTTGTCCTGAGGATCAACCTCGTGGCCATCACGAACAGCACTCATTACTGCGACCAGATCTTTTGGGACTGACACCTGTATGACATTTAAGGAGTTGTTTAAGCTGGAGACTTATGAGAAACTGTGAAAAGAGATTTTTTTTTTCTTTGTTTTTTACCTGGGCATAATAGGTGTGCTTGACTGAGGGACTGTCTTGACATGGAACCATGCTTCTGCAATGATGTGCCTAAAAAATAATACTCTGATTATCTTGATTGCTGAACGCCTTGGTAATTACTACATTTCTAGTAGCATGAATGTTCCAACCAACATGACAAAAAGAGGAAACACTGTGGTGTTATTTGTAAGACTGTGGTTTATGTCAAAGTAGTTGCAAAACACTTTTGTAACAGTTTGTGATGGATAATGTAAAGGCCCTATACCTGACATTGGCTGAATAGATAAGGATGCTCCTTGCCCGCTGTCTGCTCAGGTGTAAGCCATTGTAGAGCAGTAGCAGAAGGAGAGGTCTCATATGTCACTTCCACTATAACATGCTGACCCCTGGTACAGGAAGACAAAAATACAGTTATGCAAATCAAATAATACATTCTGCAACCAAAGTGCATTAAACTATTAAACCTTGAGATATGAAAAGGCAAGGTTATTTCCAGAGGGGTGCCTTTGAAGCTGTGCTTGGCCCCGAGGTTGAAGCTGGCATCCTGACCATTTGCACTCACTGAGACAATCTTCAGGTCTCTGGTGTCCAAAGTCTAGAGCAGATAAACAACTATGTTATTAAGGACTATGAGTAATGCAATGCTGAGGCAGCAGTATGTATGACAGCTGTTTATCAGGTGTTTTGATAAACACCAGGTAAATAAAAAAATTAAAGAAAATTAAGTAAATAAATGTACAAGTAAAGTCAAATTGACATTGTAAAGAGCTTAACAGAAGACGCTGGTTGATGTGATATGCTTGAATCAATTAATAAACATACTATAATGCAAAGTAAACTGGACCAGTCTACTTCCAGCTGTTGTTCACCACCTGTTCTACTTACACATCTACACACCCATAAATCAAAGTTCATGCTCCCAACAACAAGTGCCGTTCCTTCTTCACACTACGACCGAAGTAAGAATTAAAATACCAATAAACAGGTTCTTCAAACTATCTATTATTGTAGAGTAATAACGAAACTTTCATTTGGAAAGTGAGATTCCTGTGAATTCAAATGAATATAAAACAAAACTACGTTAAGACCATGTCATGGAATATTATTTACATCTAATAATTTAACCCACACGATGGAAGCTATAGATGAACACTGAATAGAAGGCCTTGCTCCAGACAAGTACAAGTCAGGTTTGTGGAGATGCAAGCCAGTACGAGGCAGGACACATCAGGACCTCCATACATATAAATGCCAGAAAACAACCAAAGTGAAAAACTGCTTTAAATTAGTTTGGATCTCTTTTTTTGTTATTACAAAGTTACGTGGCTGAGATTCAGTGTTAAGAGGAGAGTAGCAGCGGTACCAGAGTGGAGAAGCGGTCCTCCAGAGCCTCCACGGTGAGTGTCGCACGGCCCCTGAGCACTCGTTGGGGGAAGTCCACAGTCAGACACAGGCTCAGGTGTCTGGTGGTGCAGCTGCTGATGGAGGAGAGGGAGCACGGGTCTGCAGACATGATGGCAGCCAGGAGAGAAGAACGCACTCACGCACAATCAGCTGCAGGTCTGCTCTTTTTGACGATGACTTGAACTGAACACGCGCTTCAAACTTCCGCCGCCGCTTGCGTTTTCAAAATAAAGCTCCGTGTCAAAATAAAAGCTTGTGAAAGCTAGTTTAACTCTTTCCTTTCCCAAAATATACTTGAATTACTTGCGTCTGTTGATGGTGGTAGTAGTAGTACTAGTAGTAGTAGTGGAGAGGGTGATAGTGGTTGTAGTAATAATAATGATAATAACATTATTATTTATTCACTCCATACACGTTGGTGATAAACTACTGTAGTCACAGCTGCCCTGGGGCAGACTGACAGAAGCGAGGCAAACGTTATGTGCCATCAGTTCCTCAACCATCCACACACACCCCATCACATCCCAACTCATTCTAGGCAATGTGAAGTGTCTTGCCTAAGAAAACAACGACAGTTTGGCACTTTACAGTCTCAGCCGCCCTCTACGGCACCTGGTGTTCCATCACTTGTCTGTTTCTTGTGTTTAATACTTTTTCACTCACAATGACTTAATCTGTTGCATAGCTTCTAGTCACTATTATCACTAATATTATTTCAGTTGCTGATGATAATGAAAATAACAAAACATTAGAACAGGAAAATCATGATTAATTTAATAACAATAACTATACTTTATTGTACTATAATACTATAATAACGATAAATCTTCATCATAATCTTTTTTTTATCCACAGCAATTTACAAGATGGCCGCGCAGTGGACTCTAGTCAATATAACACCACCATTACTCTAGTAGTAGAGGAAATATACAACCCATAGATGATGCAAACGTAAAGATGTTCGTGTTATTCCATATGTGCCTATTTAATGGAATATATATTACTGTGCTTCATTATCTATTATGTGTTCTGCTTTTAACTAAACGCGGTTGTGTCGAAGCGCTTGCACAATGTGTTTCTATCCAGTAGGGGGCGACTGTGAAAACAAACCGCAGCATACAGTCTCTGGTCCCGGAGAGATGGAGGCTGTGATTGTGCCATGATGAACCCGTTTGAAGGCTCTGTTTGCCCGCGGCAGGAGGGGGCTGAGGAGGCGGATGGACGGTGCCGCTGGGCTCGGTTCTCCTCCTGGCTGGAGTGTGTCTGTGTGGTCACCTTTGATCTGGAGCTCGGACAAGCCTTGGAGGTATGAATTCATCTGGAACTAAGCTAGAGCAGGCAGCATCCCACATCCCAGGCGTGACGAACTGACCAAAAACATTATATGTACACAATAACACCGCAGCAGGACCTAGCAGCTTCCAAAATCTCTTATCAATGGATAGCTATTAGATTACATTTCAATAATTCAAACTATTACAACCAATTACTTGAAAATGTCATGTTTAAATTGTAGGTGATATTCTATGCTAACATAAATAAAGGTAAATAATGTGAATTTCCTGTATAAATCTGCAGACATTAAACATTTGTTGGCAAAACTGTGATCAATCTAAGGACACAGTGCAGTGGATTAGAAGGCCGCCATATCAAAGAATACAGGTTATACATCAAATAATCCTGGCCTTAGTTGTCAGGATTGTTTCATGTAGTATGAAATAAACGTGTTAGGCTTTAATTTATTCTTTTCTAGGCAGTCCATTGTTTTAATTGCTACATTTGGGATACAATAGATATGTTTGGTTTGTGTCTAATTCCCTGTTATATTTTTGGTCATTTACTGCCAGTTGGTCTATCCTGAAGATGCAAAACTTACAGAAAAAGAAGTAAGTACTTTGTGCTATTGTCTGCTTGGCCTTATGTGTTCGCAAAATGTCATTGGTTATTCCTGTTTTAGAAAACCAGCATTTGTTACCTGTCCTTTCCTGATTCATATTCCGGTAAAAAAAACAAAACTAAAAAGATAAACCTTAGACTTACATTTGGGCACTGCTCACATTTGTAATTCATGTTTCAGGATGCCTTGGGGATACTCAGTTCAGTTTCAGGATGCGTCAGTCTGTTGGACGCCGAGGGTCGAAGGAAGGAGACATTTACAACAGAGATGCCGCGACGACGTTACAGGTATCGTGTCGGTCACAATGTCAACTGTAAAACCCACCTACAGCATAGTGGTAATGAAACCTTTGTGACTTACCCTGTGACAGAAAGAAGTTTGCCATTTTTTTGGCTACGTATATTTTAGACAGGTCAAGGATGTCTCTGTGAGAAGAGGCTACTTTCAGAAGGTTGGTGGCACATTGTCAGACACAGACAGAAGCCTGGACAGAAGACGTTGTAACTCTGTGTTTTTTACAGTCTTTGGTGCTCCTCAGCAGGCTTCCCTATCCAACCTTTTTTCATTCACTGCTGCAGATTATTGCCCCAGAGTACTTTGAGAAGTTAGAGCCTTGTCTTGAAACTGGTATTGCTGATATAAAGAATCACATCACAATTGTATTCCTGTGCATCAATATGATAATCTTATTATTTCGAATCTATTGTAGTTTGTAACGAGATTGACCGGTGGTCCAAACCCTTACCAGGAATGACACTCAATTTACCAGTGATGGGTCTAGTTTTACAGGTTAGACCTTGTTCATTGATTTATGTTTAACCAACATTTACAAAAACAAGTATCCATTATCTGGTTCATACATGTTTCTAATTTCGTCTAGATAAGAATTCCTTCCAAATCTGACAAACCCGGTGGCAGCCCAATTCGAAGCATAGTCAAAGAGGTGAGGGAGCCTAATGTTTACAAAATTCACAAAACTGATTTGACAAACTGTTGCTTCTCCTCAGAATCTATTACCAGCTCCAATGGTATTGCCAACAATCCATGAACTGGACCTGTTCAAGTGAGATATTTTTGTGTGTCTACTGTTTTATCAGATAAGAAATGAGTTGTTTATATTATTTTCATTTTTGTAGATGTTTCCAGCCAGTTTTGATTCACCTGCAGATGCTCTGGGAACTTGTTCTGCTTGGTGAACCGCTGATTATTATTGCTCCCTCTCCTACAGTCTCTTCAGAAACAGTATTGGCTCTTGTGAGGTAGTTCGTTTTAAACCAGAATATTCAACATATGATTTGAATGCAATATTAAAACACCAATTTTCTTCAGCTCAATCTGTCCCTTAAAGTTCTGTTGTGATTTCCGTCCATACTTTACCATTCATGACAGCGAGTTCAGAGAATACACGACTCGCACCCAGGCTCCGTGAGTGATCCACTACTTACATTATACATGTGTGAATATTCATCACATTCTAAGCAAACTGTGTGTCTCCTGTCATTTAGCCCGAACGTGGTGCTCGGTGTTACAAATCCTTTTTTTATCAAGACCTTTCAGAGTTGGCCCCACATCATAAGACTTGGTGACCTCAAGATGACTGGTAGGTGTTGAAGTGTTTCTGTTTTTCATGTTATTTTCAGCATGTGTTTCCTACCTTTCCAACATTGGACTCTCATTAGGGGATCTACCCAAACAAGTTAAGGTGAAGAAACTAGTCAAACTGAAGACACTTGATACGAAACCAGGTTGGTTGAAAAAAAAAATGTATTGATTCTAACAATAGTGGCACACGTTATAATTATATTGTCTTAGGAATCTACACAACGTATAAGACATTTTTACACAAAGATAAAATTCTTATTAAAAGGCTACTCAAGGTAATGTCACCAATGTGCAATTTTAGTGTATTTTTAACTAAAATAAAACGCATCTGTGAATTTATTTCAGGGTATTCAGAGGAAGAGGCCGTCTGAGGCACAAAGTGCCATATTAAGAAGACACATGTTAGAGCTCACACAGAGCTTCATCATTCCCCTGGTAACTACATTCAACATCGTCGTCGCATAGAATGTAACTATTTTATTTAATGTTTGTATTTTTTTATTTGTGGCTAGGAGCGATACATGGCAGGCTTGATGCCGCTGCAGAGATCAGTGACTCCCTGGAAGGTAAACTTAATATATACAGTCTATGGGTAAACTGTGTAATGATTTACATATATAATTATGGTTTTTCATACTGCACTGTTATTTTGTCAGAGTCCTCCCCAGATTCGTCCTTTCAACCAGGATGAGTTTATTGCTACACTGGACCACAGTGGACCACAGCTTACCTCCATGTTGAAAGGGGATTGGATAGGATTGTACAGGTGCGCTTGAATTACATCATTAGAATCACATGAATATGGGAGTAGATTATCATACATTACTGGACTGATTGTGATATCAAAGTTACTTCCCTGTTATCTGAAATGGGATAACAACAGCTTAACTTCTCCAATTATAATTTATTATAAACAGGAAATTCTTCAGATCTCCCAATTTTGATGGATGGTACCGTCAAAGGCACAAGGAGATGACCCAGAAGCTGGAGTGTCTGCATCTGGAGGTCATTTGTGACGCTGTAAGTAACACCCCCATCACCAGCCGCAGTATGGGCCCGAGTCAGGTATAAAGTCACGTTTACCTCATTTTCTGTTGCAGGATTTGATTGGTTGGACTAGAGACAAGTCTGAGGTGGAAATTGTGGATGTTGTTCTTAAACTCAGAGAGAAAATGGTATGACAATTCACAAGTTTGTTGTTTTATCAAGCAACTAATTATTCAATGTTACTTTGTAAACTCAACTTCTACACTTCTCACTTCTGTCTTAGACTAAAGCACGACAACAGCAGCTGCTGGTCAGAGACGATGTTGTCGACAAATTAGAGACATTTATTATGTCCACAATCGCTGCAATGCCAGGGGATCTCCAGACTTTACTCAACACACAAGCAGACATGCAACTATGAAAGAAGAAAATGTTACCATTCCCACTTCTGCTTTGTTTGTGTGAGTGAAAAGTAAAAGGCTCAATGCAGCATTCATCTGTTCACTTGTAAAAGAGCCGATAAGTGTCTACTTCCAGATGGATCCACTGGATAATGGTTTACATGTTAGTTTTACAATCATTATTCATATCACTCTGTTAAAAAGGATCAATTGGAGTCTTAACTATGAAAAGACATTGGACATTTATGATTTGTTTCCAGAAACATGTACAATGTTTTGAGGCCGAGTAGGAATATGACAAAATTGTGGATTTTTCAAATACTATTTCAAACGTATAGTTTATAAATGGCATAAAACAAGGTCTATAAATAATCAGAAGTCAGTAAAGTATTTATTGGAACTATGCAGTTTATAATCTCATACAAAAGTAGACATAATGATTCAGATGATTTGTTTTAAATATAGTATGCTAATAAAGCTTTGATACATTTTTACACATGGATTGTTTATAAATGACTATCTCTTTGCAGTGCTCCACCAGGGCCCCGTCTGCAGCCTTAACACGGTCTGCTTCTCTTGGGGACTGAAGTGCAGGATAGTGAGGATGGCAACAAGTGTCTGGTGTCGTCCACTTGCATCTTGCAGAGTTAGAAACTTAAAGATAACATTTTTCAAATACTCCAGATTGGCGCCCTCTCGACTTTGGTCCCTCAGAAGTTTGTCAAGTTGATCCCTCAGATCGGCCACCTCCTCGTCATGGCGCTCTCCGTTAGCGATGAGCCTGGCCTGTAGCTGGTGCACGTCCTCCTCCAGCTGGTGCTTCTGTCGACGCAGCCCTCCTGTCTCCACTTCTTTTCGGGCCAGTTGCTCTGCGTACAGAAGTATGGTGGGTTCATTGGGTGTGGCTCGCATCAAGGCCTGGCTGATGATGTCCTCCTCACTGTATCCTTCCGTCAGGTCCTGGTTGTCCGCTGGACGTGTGGGATCGTTGCTGTGACATCCTCTTGAAGACAGGCTGTAGCTCAGAGCCAGTGCCCTCAGGGTTTCCAACTCTTTCTCCTTCTCATCTAACAGTGCCATGGTCCGCTCTCTCTGTTTGTGGAGCTCTGCCTCTAGTTTAAGGAGGTTTTCTCGATGCAAAGCTTCTAGGCGCTCTACTTCATGTTTATGACTGTGCTGTAGTGACATCGATTGTTGCTGCTGTTCTTCCAGATGTTTGCGGTGTTTGACCTCAGCCTCGTCACTTTGAATTCGCAGATTAATGTACTTCTCTTTGAGCTCCGCAAGCTGGTCTTTCACCTCCTCCAGCTCTTTAGTCTGGGAGCCATCCTTAGCGTTCTTGTTCTTTAACACCACCTGTGCCCGCACCTTGTACCGTTCAAACTCTTCCTTCAACTGTCTGAGCTCCTGCTGGTATTGCTTTTCTATGCACACATCAGTATCTGTATCTGAAAGGGCTTCTATATTTGTAGACTGCTCTGGATTCAGCTGGCCTGCAAGCACAAGCAGCTTTTTTACCTTCTCCAGCTTCTCCTTCAGCGCTGTCACATCCAGCTGGGTCCCATCTACAACGATATCTGAGGTCACCCTGCTGGAAGCAGCAATAGCCAGTGTCTTGTTCTCTGTATCCAACTGAAGTATCCTGTCTCTCAGTCTCTGAATGGTCTGCTGGTCCCTTTGCTTCGCCTTCTCACAGGAGCCGAGCAGCTCTGACAGCTCAGACACCTGTTGCTCGAGTGCGGCCACTCGCTGCTCCTCTGCCTGGGCATGCTCGCGCTCACGCTCTTCTGCCTCACACACCTAAGGAACATAAAATAAGGTACATAAAATGTAGGCTTCCTTAATCCATGTTACAATAAAGTAGAGCTGCCCAATATTGGAAATTAGAGCGATATTCGATGAGTGTTTTGTATTGCGATAACGATATTATTGCGATATTTTTTTTTTCACCTAAAATTGCAATCTGTTATTTGTCTCTTGCGTTTCAATGCAAAGACATTAATGATATTCAAATGCATATTTTTATATACTTGTTTGTTGTATTTGTTGAATGTTGTTTTGTGGATATTGCACGCACCAATATCGCGATAACAATATTATTCGATATATTGTGCAGCCCTACAATAAAGGACATTAAATTAAAAAATGATAAGTTCTATTATTGACCTTTTAATTTTATTTCCTCACTGGATCCTCTGCTAAACTACATCAGACTAGTTGTTTCAACAGTAAAATAATGTAATAGAACAGATAAAAATCTAGAAATAAATCATGAGTACAAAAACATACTTTTCTGTTCTCAAACTGCATCTGCTGCTGATAATGCTTTTTGAGCTGTGTCAACTCTTGTTGAAGTTCTTCCACTCTAGGATCAGGTTTCTTTTTGATCTCCTCCGCTGCTTGAAGCCTTCTCTCCAGCTCGACTCTCTCCTCTTTTAACAGGTTTAAGTGAGCCTCAGATTCTGCACCTCTGTCTATCGCCTGAGACGAAAGAGCTAATGCAGCTGTGGCCTCCTGGAGACGCAACTCAGAGTCTTGGCGCCGCAGTTCTGCATCCTGTCTCAAGGCTCTCTCCTGCTGCAGGAGCCTCTGCAGCTCTCGAAGCTGCTGAGCATGGTCTCCCTGCTCCAGACCCCTTTCATGCTGCTGTGTGATAATGCGAGCGCGGCTCTCTGCCAGCTGCTCCTGCAGAGTCTGAAGCTCAGATTCATGTTGCTTCTTCAAACTCTGGAGCTGCTCTTGCAAGTCGTCCACTTCCTGCTTTAGCAGTCGTTTGTCAGCCAAAAAGTTGGCCTCCATGCGGGACTTCTCTTGTGTCACTGTTGCTAATGAACTGGTGAGTGTGTTCAGTTGTGCTTTTAGTTGAGCCACGCGGCGATCGGCCTCAGTGCCTGGTGGGGGAGTGGCTCTCTGCTTCTCCATAATTCCACTGCTGCTGGTTGGAATTACTCCACTCTCTGCTCCACCCTCAGCAGGAGGCTCTGCCTGCTCCTCTTCACTTTGGTCCTCTCTGAAACCATCACTTGTGATATTGATAGATATGTCCATAGATGCTGCTGTATCAACACTGTCTTCACTGTGCAGAGAACAGCGATCATCCGAAAGTTCAGCCCTGATGTCAGGATTTTGTAGAGTTTGATACGAATCTTGAGAAACTGACAAGACTTTGAGGCTTGCTTCCAATGCCTCTTTTTCTTTTAGCAGGCTCTTGTATGCACGCACTACATCTCGAAAACGGGTCTGATACTGTACAAGCTGTTTTTTCTGAGACTCTACATTTTCAAGGAGCTCCTTCCTGCTGGGACCACCTCCAAAATTCATTCCAAACTTTTCCATGGCTCTATCAAATGATTATATTTCTTGTTTAAAAATGACTGAACATCTTAAACGATCAGCTGGTGACACCATCTGAAACAAACACATTCAACCGGTCAGATAAGGCAGTCACACAGATTAACATTAAAGTGATAATGAGAATACTGGCGTAATAACGTTAGTGAAACTATTGTAGCTGCTCAAATATTTGTAGAAGTAACGCTAGTCTAAAGCAACGTGTCAGTGATCTTACCAAAGCTTGTAGATGGTGTCAGTGTAACGCAGGAGCTTAATTCTGCTAAACACAACTTAAATATTGCGTAGTAATGATGCAACTAATCATATACAACACAATTATAGCAGAGATGTGAACACTGGGTCAGACGGCTGCCATGACACCGCGAAGGCGGAAGTGAGGAACGCGGATGGTGCGTTCAGGACAGCTGGGAAGTGGGAGAAATCTTAATTATAAAATGTTCATCTACAATGTTGGAACGGTAACTTTGAAAACCTGGGAAATACTAGGTGCGTTTTAAAATCATCATAAGCCATTTTCAAAAAGGCTTCTATTGTCTGTGTTTCAAGCAGACGGAATAGCATGAATACTATTAAAAATACTTCTACTTGTAAATTTTTATTATTGATTAAAAGATGTTCAAATAGAAATTACTCAATTGGTTTCCCATCGTCATATGGTTAACAGCACCTTCCAAACACTTGAGAAAGATTGACCAACTAAAACAAATTTTTTGACATTGAGTATTTAATGTGTATGGATCAGCAGTTTTATGTACCGATAGGGTTTCTCTATTGTTACATGCATGTTCAGTCTGTATATTGTGCAAAAAAAATCACCTGCCTGAAAGATTTCTGTTGCTCCAGTGGGTGTCCACTAATCATTGATCCTATGTCCCTAATGCTCTCAAAATTTTCTTGAAACAAGTCACAAACCCAAGAGTGGCAAGTGAAAGCTGTAATTATTTTTAACTGTTGAAATATTGTTTCTTTTGTATTAAGTAGTTTATTAATTTTTTTTTTTTTACTTCCCTAACACAACTTCAAAGATTAAGCGTTTAGTGTTATTTAGCATTAGTAATACACATATACTTGGATGGATACATTTACATTTATTCAAATAAAGCATTTTATAATACAAAACACATTAAATACAAAATAGCTAGTCTGCAACACTTCAAACAGTCTACTGCTCCCAGTACTTATTCATACATTGACTGGTTCTCGCTGGTTTTGTTGCCGTTTGACCACAAAAACTTTCTGAGCAGAAACGGTCACTGTGTAAACAAAGTCATCCATGATCACTGTGGAAAAGAAACAACAATTATAATGAATTGTTATAGACATGGGTGATTACACATTACATTTCGTACTAAGTGAAATGATGATTGAACGGAGTGTACGGATGGTTAAGGATGCTGAGCTGGATGAGTTCAGGGCTAACATTTAGGCAAACTAGTTACAGGTAAGTTAATTTAAGTATTTGTCTTTTTGACTATGGTGAAAGCTGTGTAATTTGAAAGTAGCCCAGTGCTTCCAGAGGAACACTAGCGGCACACACAATCCAGATTGAGAAAATTGCACTTCACCTGACATGCGTTTAAAGGGAACATCCACTGATCCCGAGAGCATAAAGCGGCTTGCTGTTCGCACCATCTGCATCATCACACTAGCTGTGTGTTCGTCATTCTCAAGCTCACCTGCAGACTGCGGGAAAAAAGAAAAGATGTAACATGCTGAATTATATTATCTGATAATTATGATTAACTATGAATACATATTCAGATTACTTCTAGTTTTTCACTCTTTCCATTCTATTTTCACTATATTAAAGGTAAGCAAGTGCTTTCACTCAGCCTTTCATATGCATGTCTGGTTGTTCAGGTGGGAGATTTCTCGAAGGGCTGATCTTTTTGTTCACCCTTTTCCCGACTGTGCCGTAGTGGTGTCAAATGAACGGTTAAGAAATGTCTGAACTACCCGACATGAACAAGAAGTGGCAAGACATACAGGTCATATCTGTAGAGAGGAGAGCCAATATAATGATGGCCTTCAAGTTTTTGGAAAAAAAAAAAATTCAGTTTTATATCTACGGAAGCTTGTTAGGTTCACTTGTGAGTGTGTTTTTTTCCGCTGGTATCATGTTATTTCATGATACTTTCATGAAATAACATGATAAATATCATGTTATTTCATGATACACAACTATCCTGTTATTTCATGATACACAACTATCATGTTATTTCATGATACACAACTATCATGTTATTTCATGATACACAACTATCATGTTATTTCATGATACACAACTATCATGTTATTTCATGATACACAACTATCATGTTATTTCATGATACACAACTATCATGTTATTTCATGATACACAACTATCATGTTATTTCATGATACACAACTATCATGTTATTTCATGATACACAACTATCATGTTATTTCATGATACACAACTATCATGTTATTTCATGATACACAACTATCATGTTATTTCATGATACACAACTATCATGTTATTTCATGATACCAGTTTATCATGAAATAACATGATACTGTAGATACAGAAGAAGCTGTCAGCTTCTGATAAATTGGTATCATGAAATAACATGATAGTTGTGTTTCATGAAATAACATGATATTTATCATGTTATTTCATGAAAGTATCATGAAATAACATGATACCAGTGGAAAAAAAACACACTCACAAGTGAACCTAACAAGCTTCTGTATATATCAGACTAAAAAACATTTAAAAATAAATAAATAAAAAACTGCAGCTTTATGTGCAGCTAAGAAAACTACATCATAAAAGTAGCGGGATGGATATATAAGGCTCATAAATATAGACTAAAATAGAGCTGGATGATTTTAAATGTCATACAGCTCTGGAAGCATAGCAGGAGTTTACACCCAAAAGATATAATCTACAAAACCAAATGTCTTTTGGTACTGATAATGATATCCCATTTCATATGCAGTTTCCAAGACACACATTGTAAGCAAGTGTAAAATAAAGATATTGTTTACAAATCCATGTGTCTTACAGCTAGAACTCCGTCCTCACTGATAACCAAGTAGCCGAGCTGGTCCGGGATACGCTCCAGTCCAGCTGTCAGAGCCGCCGTGGTCTGAAAACAACAGAAAAGTCATTACGCACCAAGCAAAACAAATGCACAGCGTATACATCATGCAAATCCATCACGTTATTGAAGTGAACTAATTCTATGAACGCATAAAACCACCTCACTGTACCATGTTTTTTTCAGTAGGATTCAGAAGTTGTTGGTCCTTGGCTTCATTTCCGGTTTGTCCGTGTGACGTTCACGTGACTATAATGACGCATTCGACCTTAATATTTACATATTCGACCTGATAGTTTATTCGATGGTGCTGTTTTTAGTGAATTTGATCAGAAAGCGCAGATTGTAATCCAGATAATTTGATCTTGTTGTATTATTCTTATGTTTGAATTCTTTTTGTCTACACATGGAGGCTGAATATCAAAGCGGAAGTGATGCTCTATCAGCTGATCTACTCACATGACCAGGAGGATCTGTAGCTGAACGTCATCTTGTTCGTCTCCGTTCTCATAGAAATTACCAATGGCTGGTCGAGGAAAGCTCATTGCCGTTATTGGCGACGAAGACACTTGCACTGGCTTCCTCCTCGGCGGCATCGGTGAACTCAACAAGAACCGAAAGCCCAATTTTCTGGTGGTGGAGAAGGACACGAGCATTACCGAGATCGAAGAGACGTTCAAGTGAGTTAGGCCCATTTGTGGAATCTGTACGCTCATATAGTCCCTTTTTACTTACCTAGCAAAAGAACATATGCACTGTTTTTTGGAGTAGGTTATATGAATGATAGGAAAGTCATCTGAAGGCCTGCTCATCCACTGCGCAGTGCTCTTTACCCAATTCAACCACTAGGTGATGCCAATTGATGGTTGTGCAAGATTCAGAATTATTTAAATCAGGAGTCCCACGTTAGATTTAAAAAATAAATATCAAAAACAAGAATAAAATGACAGTTGCACGCATACAACATTATGGTCTGCCTTTCATTGTCTGTTTTATGTATTAATTTTATTGTTAAACTTTGTTCCCAACAGGAGTTTCTTGGCTCGTAACGACATTGGAATTATCCTTATCAACCAATTTATTGCGGAGATGATTCGTCATGCTATCGATGCTCACATGGAGTCCATCCCAGCCGTTCTGGAAATCCCTTCGAAAGAGCACCCATATGATGCATCCAAGGACTCCATCCTACGCAGGGCCAAGGGCATGTTTTCTGCTGAGGACTTCCGATGAACAGTTATATGTGTGATTTGTCCTCGATGTAAATAATGTTGTGTTAATGTATTACTGTGGTTGAATATCTTCCCTCCCTCTCCTCAAGACCTAATGAAACTGCTCTTGTGAAATTTGTGACTGGAAAAATATGTAAAATATGTTCTATGGGTTTACCAAATGACCATTTCAACAGTTTCGACTGATAATAAACTGTGTGACGTTCTCTTTTTTTATTCCTATGTTTATTTCCATTTAATTTGAGATTATACACATCAACCCACAAATGTGTAGACTTCTGGTATGGGTCCATTTCTCACGCAGTGAGCTGATAGCCTGGGCAGTGATTCAGCTCCCAGGGTCGGCATCACTCACTGCTGCCTGCACAACCTTCACTCTGACCTTGGCTGGAGGACAGCCAAACATGTTATTGTGTTATTTGAGGTGCAGCCGTAGTTTTGGGTATAAAACCTCTGAGCTGCTGTCCATGCCTCAGTTTCAATATTCCAGCCAAGATGTTCCTGACAATGACCATGGCACTCACAGCGACTGTGATGATTGGATTTGGACATCCTTTTCCTCTGATGAATCACTCAAAGTAGGTTGATCTGCCTTGAATTAAATGTATATTTTTGCAACTTTATTGTTGGGCTGAGGCATTTGTAACTCTTTTGCAGCTGAACTTCATTAATATTGAAAAAAAAATTCCCCTTTTTATTTTAGACTTGAGTTAGAAAGCAGCATTCCCGTTAATGCATCATTATGGTTTGTTAGATGCATTTAATTTATTCATAGAATACTTTTGTTGTCTAATACTTTTTTGTTCCACTCAGGAACAAGACTTTAGACACTTCAAACTATACTGACGTGTACATGTGAGTCAACACATTTTTATTATAACCCAGTTGTATGTATACCTACTGTATACCATTCCTCCCAAAGGAACAATGTCACAAGCAACGAAACGGAGACTACATCCTCGCAAGAGACGGTGGACAGGAACGAAACTCTTGTTTTGTAAGTGATACAAATTACAACTTTGTATCTCTTGTTTTTTTATCAGGGGTTTTCTCCCACAAATGTACGTTTTTTCTTGTTTTAAAAAGTTACATTCTACGTTTATTTAATGATTATATGTTTAATTTTTGGAGGCCTTCCAGGGTAAGTACACTATACCTTTCACACAGGTCTGTTCCGTGCTTATGTGTTTCTGAAACTCTTTTGACTTCAGTATGTTTTCGCCGGATGGCTGCCCCCTCCCCACCTGCCTGACTGTCAACCTGGTGTCTTCTCTTCAAACTGGAGATGAGAGGGCTGGCAAAGCCACGTCTGACCCCTTAGGAATTGGAAAAAAATGACCCCTCAAGACTATAATAGCACTTCTTTGTTTTAAGTGGCCTTTGTTTATTTTGGTTTCATTAACATAATTCTGTTATTCATTTCATCTAAAACTATAAAGATAAACATATTACATATTACATATACAATTCAAAAATAATCAAATCACAAGTTTATAATTTTTTTCTGATTATTATATAAGCTTTTTTTTGTGACAAAACTTTAACTTTAGGGCAAAGATGTGAAAGTCTGGGTTTGGGTTCCTGTACTGATTATTGAAGATATGTATTTAGAATAAATCATTTTTGACATGACTGATAGTTTGTTTTCATTTGGTCTCTTTCAGGGACAATATTCAAACAAAGTAGGTTATTTTTGTTTGTCTAAAACAATATAAATTTCTTAAATATTTCTTTGATATTGCTAAAAATTGTGCTGTATTGGTTTTATAGAGTGGTCTTCGCCTGTTCCTACAGTCTGTGTGCAGTTGTTGAACTGGTCGATAGGCTCAACGAAGGAGGGGATGAAGTGGCAGGACACACCGCCAGACATTCTCTGGGTCCTGGAAAGTAACAAAAATCATCAGTAATCATATACACATAAAACTTTGCTATTAATTATCACAACCCAGAACCCTTTTTGTTCAAATTCTCATTATAATTCACAATGTGTTTGTTCAATGTAAATATAACTTGTAATAAAGTTATAATAAAAGCTAATGTCAGGTTGACTTTGGCCTCATGCCGTTTTATGTATCTTTTATTTTACCAGGAACAACTTCATGAATATTCTTAGTGAGCTATTTGTGATTTATTCTCCAAGGCCATACATGTTTTTGCTTTGTTTTTTTGTCTTATTGGCCATCATTTTGTATGTTAAAAGTTTACATAGGTTTTACGTACACATAAAAGGTAGGTTAATATTTTGTAGTGTTCATAATAAAAGCAGTAAACATTAAATAGCATATATTTAGGGGGTGACAGTGGCTCAGTTGGTAGAGCATTGGCCTTTGGGCCTGAAGATTGTGGGTTCGAGCCCACCGTAAGACCTACTTCACGACTCCCAGTGATGACTGCTGTAGTTGTGTCCTTGGGCGAGACACTTAACCCCACTTTGCCTGAAGCCCTGAAAGATCTGAGCTCCTGTGGAGTCACCACCTGCAGGAGGATCAGTGAGGGGCGTGGTGCTCTGTGTACTGGGTGCAGCTCTGACTGCCACCCCCCGACCCAGAAATTGATTAAGGGGAAGAAGATGGATGGATGAAATATTTTTTCTTTACTTCAAATATGTTATGTTTATCCAAACAGAAAGATTGCGTGTGAATGAATGAATGAATGAATAATTTTATTTCAAGCATGAGCATGACACAATAACAAAACTTCCTAAACATTATGGTAAACAATATATATTAACACAGATTTCCTTCTTTTTTTTCTTAACAATAAAGTAATGCTCTTTGCTTGAAAGGGAGTGAGAAGAAGTGAAATACTTGTTTACTCCCACCCCCAACTACAAAATAAAACTAAATACTGGATACTGTCCTGGACAACATAAAAGTACAACAAAGTTTCACATTATACTCTATTATACAGATAAATGCTTAAACACGCGCAAATGCACACACACATACATACACACATACATACAAATATACATAAGTACACATATATACATAAATATAAATACACACACCTGTACACATACATACATACGAACAAATATACACTACACACACACATAATACTTGTATAAGACAATAAAATACACTTACTTACATTCTCTTTGTCGATTTCTGTTTTTAAGTAGGAACATAACACTATTTAGATCGTTTCATCTCATCAACATCATTTCTTTGTATTTAGATTTGAATTTCCAAAGGACTGTGCACTGCTTGAGGTCGTCCCCCAAACCATTCCAGAGCCGGTCCTCACATACAGACACACACATACTCTTCCGTGTCGTTCTCACGGCTGGAACTTTAAAGATATTAGAACCCCTTAAATTGTGTTTTCCTGTCTTATTTGAAAAAGTAATAGAATTTTGGTTGGCTTTTTTTTTTTTACTTGCTTTGTACAATAACTGTGCTGTATAAAACTCAACCAGGTCATAACATTTTAAGTGTCTGGACTGCAGAAACAGTATGTTAGTGTGATCATAGTAGCCGGCTCTATGAATGGTTCTTATTGCTCGTTTTTGGAGTTTCCAGAGCGATTGTAGAGAAGTATTGTAATTGTTACCCCAGACTTCAATACCGTATATTAAGTAGGGCTGAGCAAGGGAACAATACAATAAATTAAGGGCTTTATGGTTTAAAACATATCAAGGATATATTCTTAGAAATCTTGTTTTGTATATATTTGATGTGTGATTTCCAATCTAGCTTACTGTCAATCATCATTCCTAAAAATGTTATTTCAGACACTTTTTGTCAGTTAATTGTTGTTCCTTCTATATTTATCTTGAGTTCTGGGTCTCTATAATTCCCACACAAAAAAAAACATTTCTCCAAGTTAAGAGATAACTTATTCATATCCATCCATATTTTGATTTTCTGTAATTCGTCATTTACTAGACAAATTATTTATTAGAGTGTTCAGATTGTCATGACAATAAAATATATTGGTATGATCAGCAAATAAATTCATCTTCAATATATTGGATATGATTTCGGAACCGAAAGCAAATTCCTGGATATTGGATATTGGATGTGTCCAGTGTTGGCTGCAGTGGGAGCAGCTGGAGAACCCTGATAACACGGTATATAAAGAACAAATAGTTTTGGCCCCACTATAGATCCCTGTGGAACTCCACAAGCAATGCCTCTACGCTCTGATTCAATATCACCCATCCTCACAAACTGTGTTCTCTCTGATAGGTAGCTCTTGATCCAATTCCATGACACCCCCCTAATACCAAACCTTTCTACTTTTTTAAGTAAAATGGAATGATGGATAGTGTCAAAAGCTTTTTTTAAATCTATACAAATTCCAACTGCATGTTTCTTTTTGTCTAAAGCGCTTGTAATTTCTTCAACCGCTTCTAGAATTGCCAATGTTGTGGATCTGTTTGATCTAAAACCGTATTGTCCTTCACTTAAAATCACATGTGTCCAAGAAATGTTCTAGTCGTTTGTTAAACAGCTTTTCTAGAATTTTGGAAAATTGAGGGAGCAGAGAGATGGGTCTGTAGTTGGTGAAGATGTGATTATCTCCATTTTTGAATAGAAGTATGACTTTGGCTGTGTTCATGTTTTTAGGAAATGTTCCAGTCTGAAATGAAAGATTGCTGTATGTGGGTCAAAAGCTTTTCGATACCTTCAATTACTTTTAATTACAATAAACATATCTATACCATAACAATCAGTAGATGTCTTGCTTTTACAACTATTGACAACATTTTTTATTTCAACCCCACTCACATCAGAGAGAAACATGGTTTTTGTGTTTCTTTGAATCAGATTATAATCATCCATATTATTGTCCATCCATCCATCCATCCATTTCCTTCCGCTTTATCCGTTGTCGGGTCGCGGGGGCAGCAGTCTAAGCAGAGACGCCCAGACTTCCCTATCCACACACACTTCCTCCAGCTCGTCCGGGGGGACCCCAAGGCGTTCCCAGGCCAGCTGAGAGACATAGTCCCTCCAGCGTGTCCTAGGTCTTCCGCGGGGCCGCCTCCCGGTGGGACGTGCCCGGAACACCTCCCCAGGGAGGCGTCCAGGAGGCATCCGGAACAGATGCCCGAGCCACCTCAACTGGTTCCTCTCGACGTGGAGAAGCAGTGGCTCTACTCCGAGCTCCTCCCGTGTGACTGAGCTCCTCACCCTATCTCTAAGGGAGCGCCCAGCCACTCTGCGGAGGAAGCTCATTTCGACCGCTTGTATCCGCGATCTCGTTCTTTCGGTCATTACCCAAAGCTCATGACCATAGGTGAGGGAGGGAACGAAGATTGACCGGTAAATCGAGAGCTTTGCCTTTCGGCTCAGCTCCCTCTTTACCACAACGGTCCGATACCGCGACCGCATCACTGCGCACGCTGCACCGATCCGCCTGTCAATCTCACGCTCCATTCTTCCCTCACTCGTGAACAAGACCCCGAGATACTTGAACTCCTCCACTTGAGGAAGGACCTCTCCACCCACCTGCAGAGGGCAAGGCACCTTTTTCCGGTCGAGCACCATGGCCTCAGATTTGGAGGTGCTGATTCTCATCCCAGCCGCTTCACACTCGGCTGCAAACCGCCCCAGTGCATGTTGCAGGTCCTGGTTCGTTGGAGCCAACAGGACAACATCGTCCGCAAACAGCAGAGATGAAATCCTGTGGTCTCCGAACCGGACCCCCTCCGACCCCTGGCTGCGCCTAGATATTCTGTCCATAAATACAGTGAACAGAACCGGTGACAAAGGGCAGCCCTGTCGGAGGCCAACATTCACCGGGAACAGGTCTGACTTACTGCCGGCAATGCGAACACAGCTCTGGCTCCGGTCATACAGGGATCGAATGGCCCTCAGCAGAGGACCCCCGACCCCGTACTCCCGGAGAACCCCCCAAAGGACACCCCGGGGAACACAGTCGAACGCCTTCTCCAAATCCACAAAACACATGTGGACAGGTTGGGCGAACTCCCATGAACCCTCGAGTATCCGATGGAGAGTATAGAGCTGGTCCAGTGTTCCGCGACCGGGACGAAAACCACACTGCTCCTCCTGGATCCGAGATTCGACCATCGGCCGTAACCTCCTCTCCAGTACCCTGGAGTAGACCTTACCGGGGAGGCTGAGGAGTGTGATCCCACGATAATTGGAACACACCCTCCGGTCCCCCTTCTTGTAGAGAGGGACCACCACCCCGGTCTGCCACTCCATTGGCACTGCCCCCGATCGCCACGCGATGTTGCAGAGACGTGTCAGCCAAGACAGTCCTACAACATCCAGAGACTTTAGATAATCAGGGCGGATCTCATCCACACCCGGAGCCTTGCCACCATGGAGGCTACCAACCACCTTGGTGACCTCAGCCAGGGAGATAGATGTATCCGCCCCAACATCCTCAGCCTCTGCCTCTGTAACAGAGGACGTGACGGGGGGATTGAGGAGAACCTCAAAGTATTCCTTCCACCGCCCGACAATATCCCCAGTCGAGGTCAGCAGCTCTCCACCCGCACCGTACATGGTGTTGGCAAAGAACTGCTTCCCCCTCCTGAGGCGCCGGATGGTTTGCCAGAATCTCTTCGAGGCCGACCGATAGTCATGCTCCATGGACTCTCCGAACTCCTCCCAGTCCCGGGTTTTTGCCTCTGCAACAGCCCGGGCCGCGGCACGCTTGGCCTGCCGGTACTGGACAGCTGCCTCAGGAGTCCCCCGAACCATCATGGCTCGATAGGACTCCTTCTTCAGCCTGACAGCATCCCTTACTGCCGGTGTCCACCACCGGGTTCGGGGGTTGCCGCCGGGACCAGCACCAGAGACCTTGCGACCACAGCTACGAGCCGCCGCATCGGCGATTGAGGCAGAGAACATGGTCCACTCGGACTCCATGTCTCCCTCCTCCGCCGGGACCTGGGAGAAACTCTCCCGGAGGTGCGAGTTGAAAGTCCGTCTGACAGGGGGCTCAGCGAGACGTTCCCAGCAGACCCTCACTATACGCTTGGGTCTGCCAGGTCTGACCGGCTTCTTCCCCTGCCAGCGGATCCAACTCACGACCAGGTGATGATCGGTTGACAGCTCCGCCCCTCTCTTTACCCGAGTGTCCGAGACACGCGGTCGAAGGTCAGATGATACGACAACAAAGTCGATCATCGACCTCCGGCCTAGGGTGTCCTGGTGCCACGTGCACTGGTGGACACCCTTGTGCTCGAACATGGTGTTCGTGATGGACAAACTGTGACTGGCACAGAAGTCCAACAACTGAACACCGCTCGGGTTCAAATCAGGGGGGCCGTTCTTTCCGATCACCCCTCTCCAAGTGTCACTGGCGCCTCCCACATGGGCGTTGAAGTCCCCCAGGAGAATGACGGAGTCCCCGGGCGGTGCACCGTCCAGTACCCCTCCCAAGGACTCCAAGAAGGCCGGGTACTCTGCACTGCTGTTAGGCCCGTAGGCCGTCACAACAATGAGAGACTTGTCCCCCACCCGGAGGCGGAGGGACGCGACCCTCTCATTCACCGGGGAGAACTCCAACACATGGCGGCTGAGATGGGGGGCAATGAGAATGGCCACCCCAGCTCGCCGCCTCTCCCCGCGGGAAACTCCAGAAAAGTGGAGCGTCCAACCCCTCTCAAGGAGTTGGGTTCCAGAGCCCAAGCTGTGTGTGGAGGTGAGGCCGACTATCTCTAGTCGGTATCGCTCAACCTCCCCCACGAGCTCGGGCTCCTTCCCCCCCAGTGAGGTGACGTTCCACGTCCCAAGAGCCAGATGTTGTGTGTGCGGACTGGGTCGCCGAGGTCTCCGCCTTCGACTGCTGCCCAGTCCTCTCAGCACCGCGCCACCACGGACCCCTCTGCAGGTGGTGGGCCCACAGGAGGGACTGCCCACGTCATCCCTTCGGGCTGAGCCCGGCCGGGCCCCGTGGGCTAAGGCCCGGCCACCAGGCGCTCGCATACGAGCCCCGACCCCAGGCCTGGCTCCAGGGTGGGGCCCCGGCTGCGCCATGCCGGGCGACGTCACTGCTCTCGTTATAGTGCGATCCATGGTGCACTATAACGATCCATGGTGGATCCATATTATTGTGTTCAGGGATTTTTTCTGCCAGTTCTGGGCCTATGCCTACTAAACAATCATTAAACTTATTCGCTATGTTATGCATGTTTGTGACGGTGGTTCTCCCCTCAAGGAAACAATTTGGATATGGATCCTTCTTAGTTCCCCCTTTTAATATCTTATTTAGTACGCTCCAAATACCTTTAATATTATTTTTATTTTTATGCTGTAATTATGTTGTTAATTTATTTTTGTGTTGTTTGTTTTGGCTTTCAGCCTCTTCTGTTCTTAATTTGATTGATTGCCTGTAAATAGTTTTTCTTTTTGCATGCATTAAGTAGGCCTTTGGTTATCAGGACTGTTAGTTGTGTTTTTAGTTTTTCTTTAGTGTGTATATACATATACATGGTGCTGTATTGTATAGTATCTGTATGTTTTTTTGTTGTTGTTTTCTTTAAATCCAAAGGGCATGAATTACTAGAAATGGTACAATGGCTGAAGCCATTGTGAGTGGCTGCATAGATGTTGGAAGGGTTAGGGATGAAGAAGGAAGAGGAAGGGGAAGAAGAAGGAAGAAGAAAGAAAAGGGAAGAAGAGGAAAGAAGAAGGAAGGGGAGGAGGAAGAAGAAGGGGAAGCAGAGGAAGAAGGGGAAGAAGAGGAAGAAGGGAAAGAAGGGGAAGAAGAGGAAGAGGAAGAAGAGGAAGAAGGGGAAAGAGGGGAAGAAGAGAAAGAAGAGAAAGAAGAGAAAGAAGAGAAAGAAGGGGAAGAAGAGGAAGAAGTGAAAAAGATGAAGTAAGAAGAATGTGTTCTAAGGTGCTGAAAGTGTTGTAAAGTGCTGAATGTGTTGTAAGGCGTTGAATGTGTGGTAAAGTGCTAAATGTGTTGTAAAGTGTTGAATTTGTTGTAAAGTGCTAAATGTGTTGTAAAGTGCTAAATGTTTTGTAAGGTGTTGAATGTGTTGTAAAGTGCTAAATGTGTTGTAAGGTGCTGTAAGTGTTGTAAAGTGCTGTAAGTGTTGTAAGGTGCTGTAAGTGTTGTAAGGTGCTGTAAGTGTTGTAAGGTGCTGTAAGTGTTGTAAGATGTTGTAATGTATTGTATGTGTGGTAATGAATTGTTAGTGTGGTAATGTGTTGTATGGGGAGTAATCTGTTGTACTGGTCCAATGTAAGTCTATGGGAAAAAGTGCTTGAACTTGTGTAAATATCTGAAAAAGTGCTAAAGGTGGAAGTGTGAAAAGTAATAGCAATATTGAGACGGTGAAGCCGGTCGTAACGATGTATAATTTGTTGAATTTGGTGAAAGCGTTGAAGAGTTGAAAAGTGCCAAAATCTGGCGGAAGTGGAAGAAGAATAAACAGTAGGAGAGCATATAGTGGCTGCATAGTCTATGCAGCCACTCAATTACAGGGATATGGTGTACATACTAATATTACATGACTGGTCTTTTGGATTCAGTTTACGGCATCATATTATTATTATTATTATAATCATTATATAAGCATATCAAAGCATTTCATTCATGTCGTAGTAATATATAATATTTGTTATATCATTAAGAAGACAGTAATTTGTTAACATTTTGTGTTGTTTTTATACTTTTTAATTCTTCTGTTTATGTGATACTTTTGTATGAGTATGTACGCACGTACGCGTGTATATAGTATGTATGTATGTATGTATGTACGTACATGTGTCTACAGTATATATATATGTAGGTATTTACATGTATATATGTCTCATCTCGTCTCTGCATTTCATCAGTCTCGTGCTGCTCGACGACGTGGCACAGTTCACACATTCTTCTGAGTTCTTATTGGCCTGCTGGGGACCAATCACAAGTGACGATCCGTTGGAGATGGGCGCTGATTGGCTAAGACGGAGTCAAGCCGCAGTCCTGAGTATGTGTGTGGATAAAGACTTCAGAAGTAGAAGTAAAAGTCAGCGGTGAGAGACAATCAGGTCGATCAGTCAGTGAGGTAAGCTCAACCCATTATCATTTTATCTGTTTCATTGAATCTTTGGAACCTGAGACTGAGACTGACCCTGTGGGCAACCACGTTGTTTTCTAATAGTTTAGAGCTGGAAGTTCCAACACTCCCTAAAAATGGCAACCAGTGATGGGAAGAATGCTTTATATAGAATGCATATTTATATTTAGAACAGAATCTTGAATACTTGCTTGAAAATGCATTATCCAAGTTTGCACCTTTTGTGTCCAGTGAAAGTACTGTTTTCCTCATACGTTTACAATGACCAAATACCATATGTGCGTGATTTGCATCAAGTGTAAAAATGCATCATAGAATTTAAATAATTTAAAGAAAACTTCACAAGTATGCATAGTTGAGAGAATTGTTTATTAATTGTTTTATATTATTTATTATGTTATTATCATTTAATTATGATGCTATGGCCATCAAAAAACTAAACTGGAGGATCAAGTAATAATACATACTGTATGCATGTTTTTCTGTATACTATAGAATACAGTACAATACAGTAGTAGAATACAGTATTCTCGGTGCATTTTTATTTCTCCAACATGAGGCATCTCCCAAATTGTTAGATGTTTGCTGAAAAGTGTCCAATTTTTATTTAAGAAAAGCTGACATATGTCTGTCTTTTACAGAATGACGCGATTTCTGTCGATCTTCATCTCCATTTGTGTTGTCTACTGCCATAGTAAACCTACGGACAAAAAAGAGCGGGTCCATCACGGTGAACCACTGAGTAATCTTAAACACGATGACAGCCAGAACTTTGACTATGACCATGAAGCCTTTCTGGGCCACGATCAGGCTAAAACCTTTGAACACCTCTCTCCTGAGGAAAGCAAACGGAGGCTGGGGTTGGTATAACGACTAGCAATAATTTGGTTTCTGTAACAATATATTTGAATTAACCAAAAATAATCCACCATCCGCAGCATAATTGTTGGAAAAATAGATGATAACAAAGATGGCTATGTCACTGAAGAAGAGCTCAAAATTTGGATAAAAAAGGCTCAACAAAAATACATTTTTGATAATGTACAAACTCAGTGGAATGACTTTGACACCAACAATGATGGATACATTGGATGGGAGGAGTATAAAAATGTGACCTATGGAAGCTATCTAGGTAGTAAAACTGTCTCAATCCTCTCACTGTTTATTGTCGTCTTGTGAAGTAAAAGTGTAAATTTATTGAACAAATTGTGCACATCAGACAGTCCTCAGGAAGACGGGGACTTTAACTATGGCCAAATGATGCAGAGGGATGAGCGGCGCTTCCGGATGGCTGACAAAAACAATGATCTATATGTCAATAAAGAAGAATTCACGGCTTTCCTCCACCCGGAGGAGTTCTCTCACATGAGGGACATTGTGCTTCAAGTAAGATTTGGTCTATACCTTTAATAATGCAGTGTGCATGAGTACAGTAGATAAAATGTGAGCGCCTGTTTCACCAGGAAACGATTGAGGATATTGACAAGGATGGAGATGGCTATATTAACCTGCAAGAGTACATAGGTAAATAAACACTTCACTTCCTTGGTTTGCAAGACTGATTTCAAATATAATTCTGAAAGTGTTTTCCCTGTACTTCAGCAACTGTTAAAATTACAATAATGTGATGCTTACAATTATCAATGCTTTAATTTTCTGCAGTGGGGGTTTAATTGATGTTATTTATATTTTGGGGGTCTCTCACTGAAACGTTTGAGAGCTATAGTTCATATTTGAAGCTCTAATAATAATAATCCCAGACCCTATAGATGACTTCAGTACCGTGTGTAATTCTGTGATATTTTTCCTATAAAATATATTTCGACTGTAGCACATATTTGTGTTCACTTCTAGGTGACATGTACTCACCAGAGAAGGGAGAAGAAGAACCTGACTGGGTAAAATCCGAGCGAGAACAGTTTGCAGAATTTAGAGACAAAAATAATGATGGGAAAATGGATAGGCAAGAGACGCTTGATTGGATACTGCCTGAAGACTATGATCATGCCGAAGCAGAGGCCAAGCATTTGGTGCATGAAGCAGATATGGACCGGGTATGATTGAAATGTCTTATCCATGCAACATGCTTTTGATTAATAATATTTTATTTTTGTGTTTTTAGGATGGCAAATTGACAAAAGAGGAAATTTTAGAGAAGCATGAAGTTTTTGTTGGTAGCCAGGTAACAAACTTTGGGGAAGCCTTGATGAGACATGATGAATTTTAGCCGGGATGTGTTTCCTTTTTTCCATGTCTTGATCTACCGTGGCTTTTTTCCCCTGAATTTTGTCAATATTCAGTGTTCACAGTTCGCAGTATAAACATTTAAGAAACACTATATATATATATATATATATATATATATATAGTGTTTCTTAAATGTTTATACTATATATATTAGTTTGTGTGCATGTATGTATCATATTTATTTCTTGTGTTGTATGCCTTTCAAAATATTTGTATGCATTAAAGCAACATGCATTGTCTATCTCGGACAATATTTTTTTAATATGTGTATAGATTTTAATAAATTATTTACACTCTTTGACATGTATCTTTAAATAATTTGAAAACTGCGTTATTATTGATCATATCATAATACACCAAAAATCATTGATTGAACAGTTTATAAAAGCCTAGATTTTTTCACTGTACTTTATACATGCAATTTTGCTCGGCTTCCAGAGCCCGTTATTTTTGCTAACCAATCACGTTCTCCTATTATTTTAATATTTATAGTTATATATATATATACATGTATATTTACATGTATATATACATGTATATATATATATATATACACATATATATATATATATATATATACACATATATATATATATATATATATATATATATATATATATATATATATATTGAAAACTGCGTTATTATATATATTAATATATATATATATATATGCATATATATATATTTTTTTTTTTTTTCAAAAAATGTATTATTTTCAATTTACAACAATCGTCAAAGACGGGACATCTGAAAATAGAGAGCTCATATGAAAACAGCACAATACAATATATGAAATACAAATACAAATAAATTAATAAAACAAAAAAAGTTAATTTAGTTCGTGTCAGGGTCTTTGTAACAGTCTTGGAGTCGTTTGCTTTTCTTATTCATTATATATAACAGTGAGTTCATTACATTTTTTCATCACTTAAATTTAGGGGGAAATACAACTGTGATTCCAAAAAAATTTGCTTGTGAATAAAAAATTACAAAACAGAATGAAATAATTAACTACATAGTTAAATGATTTCGTGGTTGTGTTATCGTCAAAATAACATATAATATCTTTAAAAATGTGAAACAATGACTCTTTGGACAATTTTTGAAAATATAGTCACTCAATTCAGCCCAAAATGTTTGAACAATGTTACAATAGAAAAACAAGTGCTCGAGAGTTTCTTCCTGTGTTTGACAGAATGTACAGTTTTCATCAACATCTGCAAACCTTGAGACAACCGAGTTGACAGGGTAGATTTTATGAACGATCTTTTAGCGCAGTGAATTGTTCTGATGACGTAGAGCAGTCATGCAGGTGTTTTTAGCACTGACTCCAGCAGAGGCAGCTTGAATGATACAAAACTCAAATGTATGTTTTCTGATGTTTGTATAAGAACAACAAGAATAGTATGGCATGGTAAATTGTTCAATTTCGGAAATCATGATATACGTCCTTTAAGACAAGCGGAACTCATGTCGACGTCTTTGTTTCTGTCCGAACAGAGTCGTGGATGCACAGGGGAAGTCAGTGTGAGATGGCGGTCGACTGTGGGACCGATTAGAGACTGTGCTGTGGCGTGTTAGTTTCGTTTTTGCCTTACCGTACGCCTCTCTTGCGGCCCCAGAGATGGAGGGCGGAAAGCCAAATCTGTCCTTGGTCTACCAGGCCGTCCAGGCTCTCTACCACGACCCGGATCCTTCGGGGAAAGAGCGAGCCTCGGTGTGGCTCGGGGAGCTTCAGAGATCGGTAAGAAACTGAGACGGCCAGTTCCTTAGCGAGCACAACATACCAGAGACCGGCTAGACGACAGGCAATGTGTTGTGCAGTCAATTTGTGCCCCATTATCTGTGCGATTTAGTTCCTTAAAACCACGCAGATCTCACTGCGAAGCAGAATTGCAATGCTAGCATTCACGTGTAGCTAAGCTACTAATGAATGGACCAAAACACAAACACAATTTGACGTGCAATTGTCCCTCCTCATTTTTATGGGTAATCTACTGTATATGTTTACATTTGTTAAATAGCGTATTTTTTTCCTGCGGTGTTAACGTCAGTGTTGTTAGACGACATTCTCATGCTTAGGTCCCAGTGGACACACCGGTCTGACATGGTGCTCAACAATCATACAATTTAGGCCATTGGCCGAAATGACACATGCAGCTCTAGCACTGTAAGATGCATTGTGGGGTTTCGAAATATTATTATTGTTCCAGCTTTACATTTTTAAATTAATTGTTTTGTTTTTCCTAGATGTACGCTTGGGAAATCTCAGATCAACTGCTTCAACTCAAACAGGATGTTGAGTCCTGCTACTTTGCAGCTCAAACCATGAAAATGAAGATCCAGACTTCATTCTTCGAACTCCCCCCTGAGACTCACAATGCACTGCGTGACTCACTTCTGACACATATCCAAAGTCTGAAAGACCTTTCACCCATAATTGTCACCCAGGTAATTTTAGTGTTACAATTTCAAATATTATGGGCCAATACAATTTTTCTAAAGACTATATCTATTTTCAGCTGGCCTTAGCCATTGCAGATCTTGCTCTTCAAATGGCTACATGGAAAGGATGTGTTCACACACTAATAGAAAAGTAAATATTTGCTTTTTTCCTTTCAAGTTTACTAAAGTGGCACAAGCTTTGGAAAAACAAGTTTTTTTGTTTGTCTTTTTAGGTATAACAACGACATCAGCTCAATGCCCTTTCTGATAGAGATTCTCACTGTGCTCCCTGAGGAAGTACACAGTCGCTCTTTAAGAATTGGGGCCAATCGTAGGGCAGAGATCATTGAAGATTTAGCATATTATTCAAGCACCGTTGTTACTTTGCTGGTGAGTGTCCAGTCTGGTTTACAAATCTTATGTTGCCTTTTTATTTTCTTAAATTAATCTCAATGTAATAAGTGAAATATTAGACCCAGGCCTTGACAACGGTTAACTATGTTTAACATTTCAGACTTCGTGTGTGGAGAAGAGTGGTAATGATGAGAAATTGTTAATAAAAGTGTTCCGCTGCTTGGGGAGCTGGTTTAACCTTGGTGTTCTTGATAGCAACTTTATGGCCTCTAATCAACTGTTGATGGTGCTCTTCCAAGTGCTGGTGAGAATACATTTCATCATTATTTTATTGTAATGTAGTATGTGCATATGTTTAAAATTGTGACCCATTTGCAGCAGAGGGATGAGACTCCAACCAACCTGCATGAGGCAGCATCCGACTGTGTTTGTTCTGCCCTCTATGCTATTGAGAATGTGGACACAAATATGGCTCTTGCCCTACAGCTTTTTCAGGGCGTTCTTACTCTTGAAACAGCCTATCACATGGCAGTGGCCAGAGAGGATCTTGACAAGTAGGTTATGCCAATAATACAATTTCTCTGCAGGAGCTTTACTTTAATTTGAACATGGACTTGTGTTTTCAGGGTGTTAAACTACTGCCGGATTTTTACTGAGCTCTGTGAGACATTTTTGGAAACGACAGTCAGGAGTCCAGGCCAGGGAATGGGGGACCTGAGGACCTTGGAACTGCTTCTGATTTGTGCTGGGCACCCACAATATGAGGTAAAAGTTGTGCATTAGTTTTTTATTGTAATTGTTTCTTGTTTTTCCTATTGTCATTGTTTTGTCTTCTCTAACTCCAGCCTATGTTTATTTCATATGTTCATTATGAAATTGTTCCTGTTGGAACTATGTTTAATAGATCAAATTTAGAAGGCGTTTAAAGGTATTTGGAGAGACGTTTGATTTTAAAAATGACCAATTACTGTACAACAATGTGTGCCAGTGATTGATCTGGCTCACTGACTGTCATAGTGATCAGCCCCATTCACCTTTTCCTTTGCTAGCACAAGTTTGTTTATGTAGCAGCTAACGTTGGTTCTTTGTGGTTTCGGAAAGTTTCAAAAAACCCTGGGAAAGTTGGTAGAGGATCTAAATAAAACTAGAGTGGTCCTGTGAGCATGCACATTCTGCAATTACAACTAAACCGTGTTTTGTCTTTACCTGCTAGCAGAGGACACGAGCTATAGGTGTTTAGGTTTCTAGAGAGGTTGTCCCAAACTCCTAGTGTCAGGTAAATAAAAAGTGCTAACCAAAATGAGGGGTTTGTTTTGCTTAATGTTTGGAATACTCAGTTGCTCAAATCTGTCGGGACCATAAATCGTTCAAGTTCAGTTTTCTTTTAGTTTTGCTGTCCTCCAATCCCTCAAAAATTAATCTTTTAAGTAGGTTGGGACGTAGGTAAAAGTGATTTTTATTTTATTTTAGCAAGGCATGTCAATTTGAAACACATTTTTGTTTCAGGTGGTGGAGATCTCCTTTAACTTTTGGTACCGCCTTGGAGAACATCTATACAAGATCAATGATGTGGCCCTTCACAGTATTTTTAGGCCTTATATTCAAAGATTGTTGCACTGTTTAGCACGACACTGTCAGCTGGACCCTGATCACGTAAGAGGCAAACAGCCAAATCACAGCACATTCTACCTTTTTCACTTGCAATAATGCGTTTGTCCCCCACAGGAAGGAATCCCTGAAGACACTGATGACTTTGGGGAGTTCAGAATGAGGGTCTCTGATTTGGTTAAAGATGTTATTTTTCTTGTGGGGTCTTTGGAATGCTTTGCACAGGTTTGTGCAAGTTCATTGCATTATTATTGTTTTTATTACCAGTTGCTTTATTTAATTGCATTTTTAATTGAATCTTTTTAGTTATATTCCACACTAAAACAAGGAAATCCACCCTGGGAAGTAACTGAGGCTGTTCTTTTCATAATGGCTTCAATTGCCAAAAGTGTAGATCCGTGAGTGAAACAACGTCAACATAATTCTAACATAAACGGCATTAACAATATCTTAATTTTTCGCTTTAGAGAAAACAATCCTACTTTGACGGAAGTCCTTGAGCAAGTGGTATTGCTTCCAGAAAACGTCCATATGGCAGTACGCTATACAAGCATAGAGCTGGTTGGAGAAATGAGTGAAGTGGTGGACAGGAACCCTCGATTCCTTGGTAAATGTTCCTTCTAATAGTTAAAGAAATATGCCATTTTGTTGTATTCAAATTCAGAGTACGATTTTATTTGTCTTTGTCACAGACTCGGTCTTAAACTACCTAATGAAGGGTCTAAGAGAAAAACCTCTAGCCTCAGCTGCAGCCAAGGCAATCCACAATATCTGCTCAGTGTGCAGGGATCACATGGCTCAACACTTCCAAGGACTGCTGGAAATAGCACGATCTCTTGACTCTTTTGCTTTGTCAACAGAAGCTGCAGTTGGCCTGCTCAAGGGTACAAATATTATATCTTCCTCAAGTGGACATGAGTATACTTAAGTGTGCAGCAAAACTACTCGGTTACTAATTTGTTAACGATATGAAATCTTCCACACGAACAGGCACTGCTCTTGTTTTGGCTCGTCTTCCGTTAGAGAAAATTGCAGAGTGTCTCAGTGATTTGTGCACTGTTCAGGTCATGGCGCTGAAAAAGGTGGGCCTCTTCCGTGTTCACACAGTTTGATTTACCCGTCAATCCATTATTATTATTTATGTTTATTTTATTAGCTTCTAGTAGAGGGATCAGCAAATGGTAAATCAGCAGATCCTACGGTGTGGCTGGACAGACTTGCTGTTATATTCAGGTAAAGTCACAAATGTTTTTGCTTGGAAGATTTGCATACAACTTTTCATAACGGACCTACTTTGTTTCTTTCCAGGCACACAAACCCCATAGTGGAAAATGGGCAAACACATCCCTGTCAGAAAGTTATCCAAGAGGTTAATCTTTTCTCTAATGCAACTTTTGTCTTGGTTTGTATAAAAAGTCGCTTACTCTGTCCTGCTGACCCCTTTTTATTTTAGATCTGGCCTGTTCTGTCTGAAACCCTCAACACACATCAGGGAGATAATAGAATAGTGGAACGATGCTGTCGATGTCTCCGGTTCGCCGTTCGATGCGTTGGGAAAGGTTCTGCGTCTCTGCTGCAGCCCCTTGTCACGCAGGTATAATCCACAATGAAAGCAGTAATGTGCCGTTGTGGCGTTTGTGTCAAGTGGCGAGTCTTTTGTGCAGATGGTGAGCGTGTATCAGGTGCATCCACATTCCTGCTTCCTGTACCTCGGAAGTATCTTGGTGGATGAGTATGGCATGGAGCAGGGATGCAGACAGGGCTTGCTTGATATGCTGCAGGTGAACAGAACGAGTCCCACAAAATCTGGCCACACACTTTGGCAAGAGCTCAATGTAATTTTGTTTATGTCGCTTTACCTTTCAGGCGCTGTGCATGCCGACGTTTCAGCTGTTGGAGCAGCCGAACGGTTTACGAAATCACCCAGATACAGTAGATGACCTGTTCAGACTGGCGACAAGGCAAGTTTTGTTAAATTTGTGCTACCAGACTTTTTTGTTGTTGCATAAATACATTGTTTAACTCGGCGGAAAGTCTTGTAAAATGCGGTGAACAAATCGGACTAGAACATGATTCATCTTAATACAAAACATGTTTTTATGAGTCATGATTTGATGCTTTGTTTACACGGCTAAGGTTTATTTTTGCTGTGTTTCCAGGTTCGTCCAGAGAAGTCCTGTCACTTTACTTGGTAGTAGTATAGTGGTCCACATTATTCAATGTGCCATTGCAGCCACTTCCTTGGATCATAGAGATGCCAACTGCAGTGTCATGAAGTTTGTTCGGGACTTTGTACATAGTGGCGTAGCAAATGATGTGAGTGTTTGAATGTGCATTTCATGAAGTTATTAGAATAGACCATTTACAGATTTACAGATCACATTTTCTCTTGGACTCATAAACAAACCTTTTCTTAGCATGAAGAAGATTTTGAAGTAAGGAAGCAGCTGATTCGTCAGGCCATGGAGCAGCATGGTCAGCAGCTCGTCACTCAGCTCGTGCACTCGTGTTGTTTCTGTCTACCCCCGTACACGCTGCCAGACGTCGCAGAAGTGCTATGGGAAATCATGTTTTTTGACCGGCCGGTGAGTTACAAGAATTGCTGAACTAAAACTGCATCTGAAATTGTAAAACCACAGACAACCCCTCTCCTTATCCTTCCTTGTACATTAATAGGTTTTTTCAAGGGTTCTTTGAACCTTGTGGTTTATATGGCAATGCGGCCAGTGTATGTATTATCATTGTGGTAGAGTTAGGCTGTTGTCAGAGCAGAAATTATGGACTTCTATTTATTATTTTAGTAGCTATATATAACATGCAAACAGTGCGTGAAAACCATCATTAATTCATGTCCAGTTCAGTCGTCCATCGGCTTTGTTTGTTACAGTCAAAGTGTTTCATAACATGAAAACCTGTGGCCTAAAATTTGATTTAAGAACATCTGTTTCTGAAGCGCATCAGCTATGTACTGTATTCATAAGGCAGGGTAGCTCCAGGTTGACTCGGGTGAATCTTTAATGCTGCTATGGTCAAATTCGATGCCATCAAGGTCAATTAAATGAGAAGAAACGATGAGGAAGGGGCTGATATTATTCGGGTGCACCCAAGCCTTAATGTTGCAATGAATAAAATATTTGTTTGTGGATTAGACGTTCTGCCGTTGGCTGGAAAACGCTTTGAAGGGTTTACCAAAAGAGACAGCAGGAGGAGCTGTGACAGTCACGCACAAACAACTTACTGATTTTCATAAACAAGTCACCAGGTAAGCGCCCAAATACTTAATGTTCAATGAGTCAATAAAGTGTGCTGTGTACGCAGATATTTTCTCCTAAGACATGTTACAACAGTGTCACGTTCAGCTTGGGGTGGTTTCTGTTGAGGCAGGTTCACCTTCGGGTGGAATGTAGAAAAAGGAAATCCCTGATATGATCCATTTAGTCACGATGGCTGCTGTTTGATTTTTGAATACAGTATTTGATGTAAATCCGTGTGAATGTAAACTACTTTTCTCTTGCATAGTGCTGAGGAATGTAAACAGGTGTGCTGGGCCATCAGAGAGTTCACCCGGCTCTTCCGATAGCCAAGTCGATAACATCAGGTAATGTTTACAGATCCATCATGATGTATGCTTATCACAAATGAAAAATATGAAACGGCAAATCAACATTTTTTATTTGAAGTGTTTATCCCCTTCTAGGTTATTTTTTCGTGTTGCTGACACTAAGTGAGCATAATTCTGCTAAAGCAGAGGAGAACCCAAAGGGACCCAGTCACAAGGGAGGTTGGACATTGAATGTGACGTCAATGAATCGCTCTCAAATGGACTAAATGGGTGATGGTCAGCCCCCTGTCTCCACTAACACCACCTCTCGCTCAAGCCTCCACTGCAGCTGGCGCTTAAGTGGGTTGGACTCAAAGTCGACACGGTTAAGTTCAGTGGGCAGAGAACTGATTAAACAGGATGTGCCTGTCTACAGTTTTTAAAAAAATAGATGATTTATTTTTGTCTTATAAACTTGTTAAGTTGTTTATGTTGTGCCATATTGAAAGAGCCAAATCAATCCCCTAATGCTCTTTGGCTAATCAGGTGATGTTCACCTGGAGATGAGAATCCCAGAACAGCTCACTGTTCATTCGGCGTCACCTTTGACCTTTTTAAAGTTCTTATTTTAGTTTTATCACAAAGTAAAGCCGTGACAGCGTGAAACCGAGAAAATAACATCACTGGTGATTTAATCTTGTTATCAACAATAAAAACAAGTGAAACAAGATGCAAATAACCCTTTTGTTTAGGTGTTTCATTGATGAATCCTTTGAGCTCAAAGCAACCACTCCTGTTATTTCAGTGAGAAGCATCTGTGTCAGACTAATCTGTATCCAAAGTTCATATCTGAGCAACTAAGTGTTTATGAACTCTCCCTGAGTTTAGTAGTAACCACAACTTCTGTATTTCACATTTGAATAAGCCCTTAGGTAATTACAAAGAATGAGAACCTTTGACGTTGCACAATACTGTTTCTTCCACAGGAACATTAAGTCAAACAATAATCTATATACTATTCACAGTGAATGTTAATAGGATAGAGTGGAGTGGAACTAAATTGACAGAATACAGTTTAGTGTCCTGTCGGTAACTAAGGGTTTGTTACTTGATTTCAATTCCTTTTTTTCTTAAATAAAAATATGTACATCTGGGAAAAAGTGAATTATCATTCACGCTCTGTATTGTGCTGTGTCTGCAGCTGTGAGCTCTGATGTCTGTTCAGTCTGGATGTTAGAATGTTTGTTTGCACAATAAACATTCTACAATCTAAGCACTTGGACCTGATAGCAGTGTAAAATGATATAAAATATTTATTGATGCATGCTTTTTTTACATGAAATGTTTGATATGGCTTTGGTGTTTAGACCCCAGCAGAGCAGTGAGCAGGAAACAGAAGAGATTATTAAAATAAAAAGTGTGATGGGGAGGAGCAGCTGGAGACTGATTATCAAAGGCACAAGTGTAAAAGGACTGGAGTGATGGAACTCAGTACAATAGTGGCCTCTGCATTTAAGCCAAACACTGATATGAGGTCTCTTGTCAGAAATGTCAAAACCACAGTGCTTTAGTTTTTTACTTTTTGAGCAGAGAGTATGTTCTTGCATGATGGTTTTCTCAAAGGGCTGGTGTGGTTCCCGGTTTTCATTCCAACCAAGCAGCACACCAGAATCCACCCATTTCATCAAGTCTTCCAAGCAGACGACACACACGCACTCTGGTTTGAAGACTGCAGAATCCAGTGTTGCCTCAAAGGAACTAAAGCCGTTTAATATGAGAGTCATTCTTCCAATTGATGGAGATCAGGGGCCAGCGGGGGCCCATGGGCTGTGGCTGTGCTGGCTCTGCAGGAGTCTCTGCAGCTCCTTGAACTGCTGCACCGTCTGGTCCTTCACATCCGGGTTCGAGATCTGGAGTCGAATGCTATCTGTAGACCAACTCAGCTCTCCAGAGAACATCTCTGTCAGGATGCGGGCCACTACAGGTACAACCTGTAAACACGAAAGTCTCCATGTGCACTGCAGAAGAACGTCCATTTGAACAAGAACAATAGTAACACACCTGGACAATAATGAGCTTCTTTTCTTTAGGCTTTCTGTCAGGCCAGTCCTCTCCAAAACAGAATGTGATTTCGAATGGTGGAGGGTTTTCCGCTTCACCTTTCTGAAATGTAATCAGTCCTGGAAAAAACGTTAAAATGCACTTAGTGTATATTTAGACAATTGTGTTCTTGCACATAATAGAGGCTCCTCAACGTTTGCTACAGTGGAAGTGATTTAGCTTTTCCATATGTAGTTAAAGTGCCTATGTATTAACGGAAACCATCATTACCCTGCAAAAAGTCATTGAGGCTGAAGACTTTGATCTTCTTCTCTCGCTCCATTGGATTCGGTGCCGCCCGTTCAGGGACTCCTGGACTGGACCAGAATACTTTACATTGGCACAGGCGGATGGCATAAATGTCCTGTTGCCAGATTTCGAGTATAAGGCCACGGTCCATAACATCCAAGAGGGCTGTAGTGTAAAAACGCTGCTTCTGGTTCTGGATCAACTCTGTGGCAGGAAACTGCACCTGCTGCAGATTGACCGGGCCAAACAGATCCACCTGCTCTGGGGTGGGCTCCAGGTGCCCCGAGTACAGACGACAGCCCTGAGGGTTACTCACAGTCAATGAGCCTGTGGTGCGGCCACGGTACAGGAACTTCAAGTCAAGGTCTGTTACTGCAGGAGACAAGTATTTCTTTAGCATTTAGAGAACCCAATATAAAGGATTTGCATTGAGTCACATACAATCAATACGTACATGGGACACTGTTGAGCAGGTCATATTTGCAATTTTGTGATTGAGAATCATTCTCTGTGTGGACCACTCCCACAGTGTTGGTTTCCATTATTGAACCAGACAGGGAGTTCAGGTCTGGGAGGCCCACAAAAGACTGCTGGTCCACTATGTGACCAGATGCCTGGAAATTCTCCTGCGGAAGGCTGCAGGGCACAGGTGGGGTGGGATGCATTGCGTCTTGTAATAGGGGCATGGATATTATTTGTGGTAAATTCTCGGACGATTGGCTGAAGGGATTTACTTCAGTGCGAACTGAGAAGGTGCTGTAGGAATGTGGGTCACTGAGACGTGGATCTGAGGAACCAAGGAACAGTGAGAACAATATAGAAACAGTGTTGATAACACTGCATTTACAGAAAGAGTACGGGGACTTACTGATACTAAGGTCCATTAAATTTGGCATCTTGAAATAAAGCGATTGAGAAAAAGTTGTTAAATAAGAACGAAACAATATATATTTGAAATATGAGAAATTTTACCTCTTCCTCTTCATTATCATCACCAAAATCTGAAAAACAAAAAAAGTCCAAACCTAGTTATATGGCCTATCAGATCTCAGAAGCAACAGTGCAGTGAGTTATGTAGGGAAAGGAAAGTGATGCCCTTAGCACAGAGCGAGGTGTGAGTGTGTGAAGGGTATTGTATCTGGTTTTTATATTGTATGTGTCTGAATGGCTGGGAAGGGATTTTTGTGTGTGAATAATTGTATTTCTTGTGTATTTAAAAAAAAAACAAATGAAATGAAGTGTAAACAGTTTACGGCTTTCTCACCTGAACAGCCCATGGTGTCGCACACTTCGTATATTTTGAATGGTTGAACTGGGGTCTCTTTGGTCCCATCGTATTTCAACTGAAATTCACGGCTCTTGTTGAGTGCACAACGAAGATTTGCTTTCCACTTTGCCGGATCAGGCTCATCTACACCTTCTTGGTATTTGCCGGTTTCAAGAGCCCATGCCTTGCACACACACACAAAGTATACCTTCAGATGTATTATAAATCCAGAGCTACATTATTGTTACCTCTCTCCCATCTCTCATGCCCACAACAATTGTAGAGCGCTTTGTGTTTTTTGTGATGTCTGTGAAAGGCGCTATATAAATAAAGATGGCTTTCTTACTTATTTATAATAATCATTAATGCTGTAATTTTTTTGGTAGTAGGCATGCCATTTCTTGACTGCAAATGAATCACAATTCAACTATTTATAATCCAAATTCCATATGGGTGGTCAATATGTTACGTCACCTCTGTATCCTTGTTATGAGCCCATTCCATTCGACTTTCAGAGATGCACTGAGCCAACTGGACAAGCAGGTGTCACCTGATCCTGGGGACAGAGCCCTGATCCTGGGGGGCTGCTCACCTTGAAAATGGTGTTTTCCTCTTCTGATGAGGGCAGGTGTCGTGTTGCATGTTTCCACGGGATCTGAAAGAGGCGGCGGTCCGTGCAGAGCCACTGCAGACCCGGGTATCTGCCGCTGCTCACCTGCGTCAGGAGCCAGGGCTTGAGCCGCACTCGTCTGGGCTGAAGGGCGCTCATACTGAGGGGTACACACCAGCGGACACGGATCATACAACCTCAGCAGCACTTTACTCAACACACATGACCTTAAAGAAGCGCACTGAGCAGTCTGGGAAGTTTGGGGAAGTTGATCACGAGGTCACTTAGAAGAGAGACTTTTCTATGATTGATCAAACAGAGAAACAGTGAAATGAACCGCTTACCTCAGTCTGGACCTGGACTAGTCTGGACCTGAACCAGTCTGGACCTGAACCAGGTGCAGCGTGGACAAGATGCTCCTTTCAGAACTGTCTCAAATCCAGAAAACACTCAATCACGCAATAGTCCTGATAGTTCAGGATCCTAAGTAAAAGTTTACATCATTGATATCCCAAGAAAAAAAAATAGGGTTGTCCACACAAACACCCGAGCTATTTATTTCTTTTCATCGATACCAAGCAGAGACCGAAGAGCACTTTCTTCCGGATTGACTGGTTCATTAGAAAGCAGAAGCAGGTAGCCCGTGGTCCCTCCTTCTTCCGCTTGGCATTAGGGCAAATGAACACTACAATTGTAACCAATTTTAGATACTTTTTATTTATAAGTCCATTCATAAATTGCCATTAGCCTCTATAGTATCTGTGCCGAGACTGTGAAAAGGTTAAGTTTTAAGGCTGTATAAAGATGAGTATGATTGAAGTGATGGGAAAAGGCGCTGTCGTTGCTTCTGTCCGCCACACGAGGGCAATGTTTTCCAAGAGTCTGTTTGTTATTCTCAAGAACAGCCACTTTAGCAGACCTTTAGTAGACATTGAGTAAAAATTAAAATATTGTTCAATAGTCAATTTACTTCTGTAATTCACCTACTTAGTGACACTTATAGGACTCATTACACGCACAGTGAGATGTATCAAGCCGACATGTGTAAACATTTTGATAATTGCCTTGCAGCTTGTAAAAACTCAAAAATAAAACTCAAAAAAATCTGAAAACTATCTGATTATTTTGTAAATGGACTGTAAATATGCAAAATTATAGCAAAATATAGGCTTGGCATTTGTCACTTTGCATGTAATGAGTCTGTATCATGTGTAGAATTATCTTTTAGGTGAATTACAGAAATCATTTTGAACAATTTTCTCATTCTCTGAGCTTCACCTGTATACTTGTGCTTGCACTTCACATCAAGAAGGTCCTGGGTTAGATTCCATGTGTATGTGTAGGTTTCCTCCTGGTGCTCCGGTTCCCCCTACCACTAAAAATATGTACAATAGTTCAGAGTGAATGAGTGTGTTTGTGAGTGTGACTTTGGGATAATGACTGCAAATTAGGTCAAGGCTACAATCCAGAGAGGTGTGTTCATCAAGATGCACTGTACCCACCAAACAAATAAATGAATAAAAATAAAATAAAGAAACAGCGCTCTTTTGGACACTCAGACGCATCTTATGGCATTAGTCATACACGCACACGCACGCAGGCCCAGACACACACACACACAGACATGGATAGTGTGTAGGAGACGTTCCACAGCTCAGTCCTTCCTGCTGCTGTCAGACTGTACAACGAAAACTACTGAGCCTGTACATGTCATTCATCTGCAAATCGTAAATACAGTAATCATGTATAATGTGTAATACTGCAACTTTAGAATGTCACTTTATCTACTTAATATCTCACACTACTTTATATGAGAGAGAGAGCGAGAGATGTTGATACTGTAGCATTCTCAGAAACATAGACAGTATATTTTGTGTGCTTCCTGTATGCTCTTAACACTGTTCTATATGTGCGCTGCAACATTGAAATTTCCTCACTGTGGGATGAATAAAGCATCTCTTATCTTAGTTTAGGACCTTACGGCTGCTCCACTGGGACACCTGGAAATATCAAAGGTCTCCCATCACAGCTCTAACCAGGCCCTACCCTTCGTGGCTTTAGCGATTTAACAGGATCAGGTTTTCACAACACACATTCACCAAAGAAACAAAAGTAAAGCAAATTAATTTACTTCTAGTCCGTGCAGTGATGTCTTTGTTGCCAAATATAATCAGAATATATTTGCAATTACGTATATCCAATACATTTGTCATTTGGGTTGAATAGGTTTTGCCTTATTTAATCAATATTCAGGAATCAGAACTCAATACCTTTTGTTTTGTTGTTTCCACGATCGTTTTAAAATCCTGAAGGTAATTTTGAACCGTGCACATTTTTGAGTTGCCTTTTGAAATGACTGTTGTTGTGTTTTTGGGAAAATACGAACATACATTGATTCTATTTGGATTGACTTCTGGGTACTGGCTCCAAACATGCTCCGATATCTTATTTCCATTGTCCATCCTCTGGCCACTGATTGCTTCTCCCTGCTCCTTGGGCTGCCTTTGATCATGTCTCTGGTTTTAGTGCGTTTCTTTTGTTTTCTATCTTCAGTAGATGTTGAAGAAAGTATGGACTGTTTCCTGGTATAGAGCCCGCGATGTCCATGGAGACCTGAGATGGATGCTTCGCCGCTCAATACTGTCCGACTGGTGACCTATCCAGCAGATAATCCTGTTTTAGCATGACTTGGATGGGCGTGTAGAAAGATACAAGAACCAGCCACAACATTCAGACTTTTCTATACATAAATTTCACACAACGATTCAGACCTTCACACTTTATGAGTCTGTGGGAAAGGGAAACGCATGCAGGAAGTACAGATGGGCAAGTCCACAAATCATGACAAGAGACTGAAATCAGATCCACTCAAAACGTTGATATTTATTCAAGGCCATTAGGCTGTGTTTTTACATGGTTGTGGAAAAAAACAAAAAACATTTAAAAGACAAAAGAATAAAAATTTTGCAATATTTTACTGGCAAATGTGGATTTCTTTCAAAGGATGTTGTTACAAACTTATCTAGGTGTTTTGGTTGTGTGGGTCAAATATGTTTTCCTCAGGGAGTTGGTACAGTTAAAATTTCCGACCTCCCTTAGTTCTCCTAATATTGTATGCAGAGTGTGGGTGAGGCCTGATGGCAGCACTATCTAACGCCTGCTTTTAGTGAATGGATAATGCAATGTACTTTGAATGTCCAATTAATTACATCTGATGCATTCACTCTTATTAAATCGTGGTCAGGAGGTTTAAAGTGGTCACCATTACACACACAGCAGTGAGCACCCACTGTAAACATCTATTTTAAAGTCACATTTCAATTATGTTATGTCTAAGTGTGTACGATTACGTTGCTCAACATGCCAAATATCTATTATTAAATGTAGGAAAACTTATCCTTTTCTCCTTTGTGTGACTGTGTCCACATTTTGGTCATGGCATAAAGTAGTTCCTCTCCTCAAAAGGTAGAGATCCACACTGCTCCACATTGTTTAATCCTTACTGAACTCACATTAAATGACAACAACAATGACCGCCACGTTACACGGCTCTTCAAGGGCCATGTTTTATACACAGGGTGCTACAATTAGATATATGACGCAAGGCTTAGTGAGATCAGACTAGTTAAAAGCTGATCCTAGTCTGTTTAGGGATCATTTTTTGACTAGTTGAACCTTGCTCACTCACTGAGCCAGGCACTCTGCGGTGCAAGACCGACCTCCTAACTTTTCAATGTGCAGTCTCCGCTCTGCATCGATGCAATTAAACAAGAGATCTCCTCTTGTTTAATTGATTCATTTTCAGGACAACACGTGGTTTCACAAGCGCGACTTCAAAGGACAACAGCTGACAGAGCCTCAGCACAGCAGCAACACAAGAGCAACAAGTACAGATAATTATATATTGTTGTGAAAACAATTATTCAAAGTAGAATCAACACATTCTGCTTGATTGTGTGATTATAGGCCCATATTAATATATAACACATCTGCATTCACACCAATCACCAGCAGATAGCCTGGCCATCCGTAAACTCCGGTCAATAATTATTTCCCTGAGTACGAAATGAAATGAGTACGATGGTATGGTAAGACCAGGCTAGCAGATAACTGGTGCAGTGAGTCTTTTTATACCTCTGTAGGCTGCTCGGCTTTAGCGTCTCTTTGTCTTTCCAGATGTTTTCTGCTGTGCTTTCGTCTGATGAGTCGTAACAGCAGAAACAGTGCAGCTATGAGTAGGAGCAGTAAGATGGAAGCTGATATAATTGAAGTTAGATGGGTCTCAATATTTCGCACAAACTGCTCCTCTGTGAACGGCCCACGGGGAACTGCAACATCAAACAAAGCATCATGAACTGTGAACATGGGGTTTTAGCATCAAACTTAATCTTTAAACAATATAACAATAATTCTCGACTATAGCTCTATGACCACATGGCAGTTGAATGGACTGGATTGGATGGTTGAATTTGTGTTTGTGATACTAACAATCGAGCTCAGTGTTTGTAGGACTGCACATGAATAAATCTGGTGTAGCCATCTTTTCAATGCACAAAAAAAAAAAAAAAAAAAAAAAAAGGAGTCTGTCCTAATTGAAATTCACCTGCTGAGGACATTTGGAAAGAACACCCTGCTATCCATTACCTTTGCTTCGTCAGCTGAAAGTGCATTTACACAACATAAATATTTATAGAGGTCATAGTATGTGCTCACTGGCTTGTCCTCTCTGCAGGACTTCAATGTCCGCTGAAGCCGACACTTCCTCTCCTGATTCTTCATCTCTGGCAATTACCTGCAGAAACATCACATGGCAAAACATACTGAGCATTGGAGAAGGATGAAGGACAAGGTCAGTGAAGGTGATGGAGCAGTGGTTTGCAAATAGATACAAGTGTTACTTTTATTAAACGTATATAGGAAGATTTTCTACTTCCGGGGGGGGGACATCAAAACTATTGGTCCACCCATATGTCAATCATTCTGGTGATACGTACTCGTCAAATAAGTCCAGAGTTTTGTTCAAACCGTGAAAAGAACAATTCTCCCCTAAAATTTGGGAAAATCCTCCTATATACATCTAAATTAAAATTTGATAACCAATGCACGTCCATTAACACTGAGTAGCCATGTCTGCTAAAATCTAACAGCAGCTGCATTGTTCCGCGGTCCAGACGGCGCTTTTCTGTGTGGAGTTTGCATATTTTCCCCACGTCTTCGTTGGTTTCCTCCAGGTGCTCCAGTGTCCTCTACCTTTAAAAACATGCATAACAGTTCTAGCATGCGCCTCCTGTATGGCGACCCCACTCCCATCTCTGTGGGTAGTGAGAGCGGACAAATGCCCACCACGATTGTAAAGTGCTTTGTGACTATGTCTGTGAAGGCACAATAAGAATAAACAGAACTTCTTATTTGTCTGCATTGAGCATCAGAGCAGCAGTGAAGGTCAGAAGACTTCTCAATCGTACTAGAATTACTAGCTGGACGTATCATGACCTACAGTATACTCATTTATGCATGAATTAACCAAAATTCATCTCTCATTTGGTGGATGCTGGTCTGCTGTTGTCAAATATGCTGCTATGTGATGATTTGGTGAGTTATGACATAATTCGATTCTTTTTCAATGTGTGAAGATTTATGTTTTTGTTTTGGCACATTACAAACCAATGTTATAATCTGGGATCTGCTTTTGGTGTGTATTAACTCTGATGAGATGATCCAGATGGTGATGGTAACATTTTGTATACATTTCCCGTAACCTTTTGTGTTATGTTGCAAACTAATGAACGAACCAACAGACGGAGAAGCACAGACGGAGGTAATAATGTAAAGGTAAATGAGGTAAACAAAACTATACTTCTGTTAATCTGTTGTAATGTTTTTTTATGGCTTTCCCAGACACGGCAGAGCTTTAGTCCACCGATAACATTCTCCAACATATTTTCAGGCCTTAGGATTTAAAATTATTCAACAATGCATCTACACGGGGGAAATTTTGGGACACAATTGAAAAAAAAAGACAGTATGTGAAAATAAAATGAATGGCGGAATTCCAAAGCTTTATAACAAGGTGCAGCATGACTATATTGGTGGAGCTGAAGTTGGCTGGATGACTCTGAGGTGGAGTTTACGCGGAAACGAAGCAACAGTAAAACCTTAGAGTTGGGTTATCGGATCGGCCTTTTGTTATGTATGCTTCGAGCGCTCCACAGAGTGAGAATTCTACTTCTTCGTTCGTTCAAACAAAATCACGCAAAGCTGTAGTTTCAGATTCCCTTTTCACTGCTACTGTTCAATGCAAAATGACATCGGTGCATTCTTGTTGAGGAAGCGATAATACCGGTGGGGGTCGTCGTTCCACTGCCCACTACTGACCGGGTACTGAACTACATTGTATTCTGTCGTCATGTAAAAGCTGTGCACTTCGAATACGGAGCATGAAAGCGCCTCAATGGATAGTGTATATTAGCAAGACAGAGGGCCACATAAAATGAAACAGTGGGCCGCATTTGGCTCTCGGGCCTTGGTTTGGACATGCCGGCGGCAGAGACTAAAGCAGTGTAGAGATGCCCACCTGTATGACGTGTCTATCAAAGGCCACCAGGTTGTCTGTTCTGGCGATGAGCACTCCCCCTCGTGTGATATGATACAGACCCTCCGTGACTGATGGGCTGAAGAGGGAGTATTGCATATTTGGGTTCAGCCCCTGGTGGTAAAGGACAAATGTTGCATAATAACATTCCCATTTTGCAGCTGATAACGTAAACATTACACGACTTGCTCACATGGGGAAAGTCCTGGTCCGACACCTGTATCTGCAACACCATGTTCCCATAAGTCGAGACAATGGTAGCAGGGCTCGCACTTTGAATCACAAATCCTTTATATGTCGATTGGTTAAAAACAGGGGGAAACTTGTTTTCCACCAGGACTCTGACCAGCACTGTTGCAATGCTGTGTTTTAAAGGGTCGTCGAGCTGCGAGGCCTAGTGGTGAGAACAAGACAAGATAAGATCAATACAATAAGCCAGAGTGGAGACCTACTGTATAGTCTATGAGCTAAAGCAGCTTCCTGGGAGTTCCATTTTACAAAGCATTTACAAACTTTACAAATTACAATGTGTATGACTTGTATTACTATGAAGTTTTGTTGATGAAGATCGAACTCATGTTGCACACATCAAACCGGATCTACTATCTATTTATAATCTATATCTACGATTATAGATAATAGAATAAAATGATAAGTCAAACTCTGGAGCTATAATTGCACTTGGTGAAGTATACACTGTAGTTAGCAGCATCAGGAGGTATTTACAGATGTTTGTGTAGTTACAGTTGTAGTGTAACAGCAGAGAATGTGACCAGAATAAACAGTGGTTATAATAATAGCACCGAGTAAAATACACTAACTAGTGAATTATCAGATGAATGGAATATGTTATAATGTAGTACTAAATGTTTTTAGATAGATACATGAGACAGTGAAATATCCACACAGTAGTTAGTCACAGTACCATGATGCTGAGTCTGAAGAATGGAGTCTGGCGCCGGTCATCCACAGCTCGAGTTAATGTGATCTGACCTGTGGTGTTGTTGATCACAAATCTGTCCTGGTCGCTGCCTGTGTTCAAACCCTCGATTATCACAATAGGACAACAACCTCTCCATACTGTCACAAAAGGAAGATGACAATGCACCTGACAGGATGCTGTAGTTTAGGGCAGTGTCCAGTCCTCGGTCTCCATCTTCAGCCTTTATCGGACCAGGGGAAAAGTCCAATGCAATGTTCTGAATGAGAACAAAATAACAAATTTTTATGAAGAATATTATTCATATTTTATTGTCTTTTTTTTGGGCAATAAAATTCTGTGGTTGGCATGTTACTTGCTTTCTCTTTCTCAGTGACATTGGCGCTGTAGGAGGGGTTGGTGCAGACTGGGAGATCTGGCCACAGCGGCACACAGGGCAGAAAGTGAGGATTCTGGTCGTCTTCATCCTGGATACTAATTGTCAAATCAGTGGAGGTATTGAACATTTCTGCTGTATTGGTTTCCTGTTGAAAAAAGAGTAACTGTTACATGTGGTTCGCTATGAAACTGAAAATCTAGATTATTTTTTGGGGATAATTATTGGGTTAAGGGGATTACCGTGGCCCAGATCAACAGTTTCAGGCTTGTTTTGGCTTCATAGTCCAGCGGTTTGCTCAGAACTACATTTCCACTGTTTTGTTGATCAATCCTAAAGAAGGAGGAGTCTAGCTGTTGGTAAAACAGGAATTATCGTACACCAGAAAATAAGCATAAAACCTAATTGAATAATTTAGATGAAATTAGTGCCACAATAATCTGACTATGACAGACTATCTTTCATCATGGGGTTATATGATGATCACAATCATTAAGGTTGTTTTTGCAGTATCAAGACTTTGTCTTACTGTTGCTGGGTCAATAGAGTATCGAATCAGATCTCCATCAGCGTCAATTGCGTTCACAGAGAAAACAATAGTGTTCACCGCAGTAAGCTGTGGAAATATGATATTTTAGGAAATCGTTTTCTCAAGACTATATGCAGTAAGCTTTGTTGTTTACCTCGCTGATGGTGAGGGCTTTTGCGGATTCTGGTGAGAATTTTGGTTTGTTGTCATTTTCATTCAGAATCTCAATCTGGATGCTGTAGTGTTTCTGTTATGAAATGTGAGAGTTACATTTCTCTGCAGTAAATGTAAAAATATATGTTTTCATCTGAACACTCACGTGTACAACATTATCATGGCAGATGAGCTGTGCAATCAGTAGAGGACCTTGGACCTGTGGGATATGGACAATGAGACTGAGTACTTCTGCAGAAGTCCAGGATGGGAGGTACCTCTCTGTCCAGGACTCTGGAGTGGGAGGTGTTGAGGCGGATGATGGGTCCGTCCAAAAACAGCCAGTTTACATTTGGTTCTTCCAGACACAGACGGAGGCCATAGGACCCAGGCTCTGCAGCGAGGTTGGTGTTTGCTATGAACTGTCCCATTGGGCTATTTTCTGTGATGGCTGCAAATATGTCAGAACCTCCCTGACAGGGACTCCCTAATGAGACAAAAAACAGACCTTATTCTGTTTTAAGTGGTTCTCTGAGTAACTGTGTCACTTACCGCCGACAACACGGATCATCAGCGTTACCCGCAGCAGCGGCAGCAGCAGCAGCAGCAGTCTGCTCCTGTTCAGCATTCTCTTGTTTCAACCTCTGTTCAGGAGACCAATAAGAACTGTGCTTATCACTGAGCCTTTGCTCTGAAAAGATCAATGACCTTTTCTCAACTTACATTTGGATGTATAATATTATTATAATATGATGTCATTATTTAGCGTCCTCGAACATGTGTCAAAGTAAATGCTCACTCACCTGTGTGTTTGGTGGGCGGATCCATTGAGCTGGTGTCCTTCCATGATCCGTGTCTCTGTTCTGGTCATGCTTTCATTTTCTAAACTTTCAGACGTGTCTCTGCAACCTTTGTGTGTGTGTGTGTGTGTGCGCGCGCACGTGTGTGTGTATTAACAGCTCATAAGGCTTAGCAATATTGAGCTCATAAGTAGGTCAGGGACCCTTTCAATATAATTGCACACTCAAGAGTAGTAAATTATTACTGGTGCATCTCAAACCTAAGCATCTTAAACATCTTACACTTAATTTCTAAATATTTCATTTCATAATATCTCAAATGATCTGTAATCTTGTTTCCATTTTAAATTGGAACCAAACAGCTGCTGGATTTTCCACTTGTTTAAAATGGCAATACTAAAAATAGAAGTTAATTGAAGCTGCCTCAATTGATAATTATTCCAATCTCACATGTCAAAATAATTAGTTGAGAAGATGTCATTGTTGCTTAGTAACAGTAAGTGTACATTGTTGTCTTGTTGTATCCATCTTCAAGGTGTTGGTGTTAATCCATTCTAACTTCTGTTCTTCTCGATGATTGGTTTAATTGAGCTCATAACAGAGTGAGTTATTGCATTTGGATCTATGCACATGTGAGCTCAGCACCAGGTGTTTCAGTAGCACAGAATTAAAGTGCATTAATTACAGTCTCTGGATCTTCCTCCCCCTCAGCTTGAGCCGCTGTCTTTCTCTCTGTCCAATGCGTTTCTGTCTGAGCCATGATGCGACTGCCAGTGATCCACTTATCAAAGAACAGAGAGGCGATCAAAGCAAGCAACTCTGTATAGGTCACAATCTAACCATTTTTATTTTTTGCAAATCTTCTCATGAATGTAGGACCAAAGACAGTCAGCATGCATAATAATAACACTATTATATCACACTATCAGAATTTAAACACGCACCGCTTTTTAATTTTTTACATGTAAAAGGATAGGAATTTGCATATTTTAGACATGATACACTCAAGTGTTCACAGGCAGGAGTGTGCGGCGACTTGGGAGGTCAGAATAGAGAAGTGTGCTCAGCGTGGGGATGTTGTTTATCTTGTGTAAGAGTGTAAACGCTAATTAAGACCAGGGAATTCTTAAATTCTCTAAAGAAAATATTCCACTAAATGTTTGGGGCACACACAGTCCTGCACAGATGGTTCCCTCTTTGCTTAAGGGACGGTATGTAATATTTCAATTTTAAATTACATCTTCACCGTTACACACAGTGTCACCAGGAAACAGGTGTACATGTAAAAATCATATTTAACCATTCTGAACGAAAGTAGTAGAGTCATTATGAAATCAATACACAATGTTCATGATGTCTGAGACATGTACATTTCCAAGCTACGAAAAACACCTACACACAGTTATAAGTGTTTCTAGCTACACCACAGCCGGTAGATTGCATCTCTAATCAGTACTTGGATGCTAGATGTGTCACATTCTGATTCTGATAACAAAAGTTGGACTGTAATTATAATGTCTTTCTTAGATCACTAACAAAGAGTGCATAGCACACTGTCCTTTTAACGAGACATACAGTTTTTGTGTTGCTGTGGTTGCTCCACTTTTAATGACATGGCCCCAATAATAGAATCAAACACTTTGCCAATGTCTACAGTGTGTGGAAAAGGCCAGACTGTGGGCGGCTGCTGTCCAAAGAACCACACATCATTGTAACCCTGACCCTTTAGCAAAATGTCTGGAGCTAATTTTTTCAGAAATAGTTTACTTACAAGCAATTAGAATTAAAGTAGTTTGATTCCTGTCAAAGTCCAAAAAGTAAAACATTCTACATAATTTATTAAATGAATCCCAAATGTTGCTCCTAAATTCCCATTAAAATTAGATAAATTGTGATGACAATAAAAGCTATCGTGAGATCAATAAAAAAAAAAAAACATATCTTGGATAAATAACACTGTCGTCATTTTTACCCAGATTTACAGTGTTTGCAGCTGCATTAAACAAATTACTTTGTAATGGATTGTGTTTCAAATTTTAATTAATATATGGATACATAATATCCCTAAAGGACTCCCAGGACTCGATAATCAGATTAAATAATTATCACTGTCATAAGAATTGATGCATTAGATTTGAAGTCTTTTCTGATGATTTTAATACATTTATTTCAAAACAGTTTGGATTTGTGCTTTTATTACACAGTCACTTTACAAATAATAATACAGTTCCAATGGCTAACAAGTATATTGTATCATCCATAGTTCAAAATAAACATTAAAAGTGTCAGGTCTGGCAGCAAAGCAGTTTATGAAAGACATTTCTGAATTCTGGGTTAAACACTGTGTAAATGATGGGGTTCACTGCACTGTTCACATAACCCAGCCATGTTACCACTGAAATGAGAGAGGGGCTGATTTGGCAGGATTCACATGACACATTTGTGACATGAACCACAAAGAAAGGTGTCCAGCAGGCCAGGAACACAACTGCGGGAGAGATAAAGAATTATTCATCAACTTGAAACTTGTAATCTGCTTTTAAAATGCAACTTTGTGGTGGATGATCTCCACATGTTGTTTTGGAAAGTGTAGCTTATTGGATCCGTGCTAACAATGCGGTTTTCAATCTCCAGAGCTGATGACGTAGCACACATTCCTGCTTCAGTGTGTTTATGTGAACACCAGAGAGATGCAAGGAAGTGCAGGGTAAAATGATAGACTGTAAATATTAACAGACGTATTCACGCCTATCTCCGCCATTGAAACTATGTGCCACCACTTTTGGCTTCTGGTCCGTTTTAAAAAGGCCATGGGGGCAGGAAATTGTGAAAAAACGCATATGCACATGCGTCAGCCAGCACTAGCCCCATTCATTTGACGAGTGTCTCCTGAAGTCCACAGAAGCTAAACTAGACTGGTTAAAAAAAAAGAAAGTGGAACGTAGTGTTGGACCAAGAGATGACTTTTGGAACATCCAATAAAGACGTTTTAGAGTGGAAAGGAGACAACATGCAAAAGCATTGAGTAATTCTTATTCCGGGTACACCCCCACTGGCTTGGAGTGGTATTGCAAGCATGTCAGCACACATACTCATGGACCTTTTGAAGCCCGGACCCGCCCATGTCACTCCCGGATTAGTCCCCGAAACCGGATTCGTCCGGAAGTTCAGTTTGACCATACACAGCACTAGATCCATGATCACGTCACGGAATCGGGACGGAAGCGGAAGTAAATATAACAAACTATCTATCCATGCCTAAACTTAACCAGCCATTCCCATAAAATAACCCTAAACTTAAGCATCTTACTTAGACACCTAAACTTAACCAGTCACCACTTAAGGACTTATTAACTGAACTTTCGGACGGATCCTGTTTCCGGGACGAATCCAGTTGGCTCTAGTCACAACAATGCTAATAGACTTCCTATTTATTTTGACTCCATCAAGTTTTAGTAGGAATGTCAGTGTGAAAATAGATGGGATTTTCCAGAGAGCTTTGATCATCATGAGTCAACAGTGCGTTAACACCTCGTCATGTTGTGACCCGTTAAACAGCTCCATCAGCTGTTGATTAAGTGTTACATTACAAAACAAAAACCTGTAGCCCAGTTTACATGGAGAGGCTACGAAGCAATTAGCAAAAAAAAAACCACTCCGGATTTAAAGTATGGCGATGGAAAACAATGTAGTTCTAGTGCCCGGCCAGTAGGAGTCAGTGGAACATTACAAAACAACACATGCGACCCCCTCCAGGCTAACCACATCCTCCTCAGGCCACCCTAAAGCTGGGGAAGAATGCCCCAACATCATTCTGTATTTAACAGCAGCAGCAAAAATGGAAACTGTAGCTACAGCTTTGTGTGGTTTCATTTGGATGAAAGAAGGAGTAGAATTTCTCCTTCGTGTAGCGCTCGAAGCACACATAACATTGTTGATCTGCTGAGAGACAGCTCCCCTCCGCACAGCTCATCCGTTTTTTTCCACTCTGGAGGTTTATAATGCTTGCGTTTTCATCCCCCTGAAACCCCGTCGCTGTGTCGATAAAAGGCCAATCCGATACCCAACTCTATCATATTACTGTTGCAGCGTTTCCTTGTAAACGGGACCCGAGGCTTGTTTTCGTGCAGCCTACGTGTGGATAAATGTCCTTTCTTTCTAAAATGTAGCTGGTTTGCTTCATATACAGGTGCGCTTGATAGTCCAGAAAGTATTGTAGTGACAGATGTTTTAATTGTAATGCCAAACATTACACACATCTTTCCATTGAGACCAGACAATGAATGGTGCTTGGTTTGTATTTTAAATCTCATAAAGTTTCATCTCAAGATTTACTGTGAACTACCAACACAATTGTGAGATGTATGTTGAAAAATGTCAACGTGATTAACACTTTTCACAAAGTGTTTTCTGAATGTGAGGATTGGGATTAAATTTAGCTCTTGTGTGAAGCTTCTGGGTTTCCAGGGAGATGGTTTCTATTTTGATTGTGAAGCTTGCAAGCGTCTCTGTTGCAAAGACCGCAAACTCCAACTGAGCGGCACATTGTCTCATCTACTCAGATAGTGTTGAACGTGGGCTTATCACAGACTACACCAACAGAACCGCACTGCAGCTCAATCCTCATGTTTCTTACATTGTCCTTTTGTGTCCGATGTGGTTAATTCTGTCAACAAACGGAATGTTTCAGGCAATACATTTTCTACAGTCTCTAATCTGTGTAGATGCGAGTGCTTAGAACATAATGTGTCGTTAGTTGAAGTTCTTCTTTAGAATTCTCTTGTTATTGTGTAATATTGTATTTCCTGATTGCGTTTACATTTGTTGATGCACATCTGCTTTACTTGCGATTAAAACAAATTCAGTGATGACTATCATATACACAGCTTGCAACCCGCTGCTACATTTCAAGCGACAGAAGAATATGGTAAATTCTCTCCCACTCAAGCATTCAAGACAAATACTCTTTTAGAAGAGGTTTAACTTGGCCATATTTCAAAAAGGTACACCAGGCAAGGATAAGCCAAATGAAGTGGTACGAGACCTTAGTACAGGACTAGTGTGCTCATACTCCCTGGTTCTAGCCAGGACTCAAGCGGCAAGATTTTGATTATACTGCAGTTTGTTTTAGAAAGCCCATTGACAGCAGTCCTGTAATCAACTGGAGACAAATGCATTAGTCTGAATTAGACATTTTTATTCTGTTTTTAGATTAGAGCTAGAAAGCTGCAGAAGGAAAGCTGCAAACAAACAAAGACAATGACAATTGACCAGCAACACATGGAGAGGGGCACAGGGTACAAATGGACACATAGAGACACAGAGGAAACACATTCGTTCTGGGCAGACAATCAAACAGGGGGACAAGACAGGAAGTCAAACTAAAACAAAACCACAAGAGAACTAATGTCACAATAAAACCAAATTACAAAAATCCCCATCACAACACCAGGTCTGTCCATACTGAGGCACATCTAACTTATTTGGGACATTTAATACTTTTTTTTTTTTTTTGCGTATTGGTTCTCATATTAGCAGGAGTATTTTTTACCATTGTTTTATTTATGTACTGGTGCACACTGGGGACTTTTGCAAATGTATTCCAATGTGGTTTTACTGCAAATGGCACATAAAATGAAACTGAATCTGAATCGAACACAAGCAATTTCACTCACCGACCACCACTGGCAGGACCTTCATGGCTTTGCGCTCGCGGCCGCTCACTCTGCTGCTTTTGCTGTTTCTTCTGCCTCTTTTCACGGCATTACTTTTGGAGGAGTATTGTCCTCGTCTGCTGCCATCTCTCCTCTCTGTCAGGTCCGACACGCTGTCATTCTGCATGGTCATAGGGTCACTCTCCATCACCACCGCCTCCCCGTCCCGCTCATCGCTCACAGGGGTAACAGACGGAGTTATCTGGGACATAGTGGAGGGCGATGTCGGGCTGAGGCCAGGTGCAACAGCATACACAACCTTCTCTTGACTTCCTGTCTTAGAGGCCTTGGCGTGGCGGAAAGCAGAGTTCAAGTGTAAGGAGAGGGTGTGGCGGTTTTCTCGTCCTGCTTGAGAGCGCGAGCGTCCACTCCAGCGTTTCAGTCCACGAAACATCCAGTAATACAAGAAGAGCATGACGGGACACGGCACAAAGAAGGAGCAGACAGAGGAGTATACCACGAAGCGATCATCCTCTAGTTTGCACACTCTGGGGTCTCGTCCAGGGACCCGGTTCAGGCCGAAGATGACGGGACTAGCCACGCCTAAAGACAAAACCCAGGTGGCAGTGATGAGGGCCAGCTGCCGCATGCTGAACTGGTTTCTGTTGTATTTGAGGGGCACCACCACTGCAATGTACCTGCAACAATAAACATGCTATGGGTCTTTGGAGTGTAACAATAATAAATGGGTGATGTAAGTGTAGGCCTACCAATTTCATCACTTAGTGGAGCACTGGATGTTTACATGTGTACAATGTAAATTCAATCAGTTTGTATGTAAATCAAATCATAGTGTTTCATTCTCCAAGTAGTTATGCAATGGTTAAATAAAGCGCTTTGTGACGCTCTCATTATTCTTTCAATACATACACGGTAGTGATAGACTACTGCTGTAGCCACAGCTGCCCTGGGGCACTCTAACAGAAGCGAGCCATTCATGCACAAAAACCAGACTCATTCTATGTGGGTGAAGTGACACACACAACTACAGTTTGGCTCTTTACAGCCACAGTGGCCCCACAATGTCACCTGGAGTTCTCCCATCACAGTACTAACCAGGCCCTGCTCTGCTTAGCTTCAGTGGTCTGACAGTGTCTGGCTTTTACATGCAACTATGAACAAGCACACCCCATATGTAATGCAGCACAAAATGGTGCCCTGGACTCTATGTTGTGAAAACGAAATTAGAAAGTGTGTGTGAGGATCATTTTTATAGATTTGTATGAGAAATGTATGTCTACAATCGTCTTTGCACCAAATCTGTTTTAGATTATTCTAAGACAGTAAAAATAGTTTAAAGGGCATTTCAATTTCAAGTATATAAGGGAATAAAGTCATTGACCTGACCAAATGACCAAATGGTGTCTGTATTAGCTACCTCTAACACACTTGTTTTCAAAGCATCCATCGTCCCATTTTCCATATTATTTTTTGAGCAGAGCCGCCCAGATTTCTCTACCCATGCATACCTCCTCCAGCTCATCTGGGGGAATCTTTAGATGCTCCCTTGCTAGCTTTGAGGCCTCCTTCCAGTTGAACACGACTAGAAATGTCTATTGGGTCTCACCTGTCCACGCTGATGGCACACAGGTTGAGGATTGAGGCAGTGCATAACATCACGTCCATCGTCATCAGCGTGTCGCAGATGGAAGTGCTCAGTGTCCATATTCCTCCCATGAACTACACAAATACAAGATAGAAACTGGTGAACATGTAGCAACGTTTAGATGTGCATCGAAACATCATAAATGGTCTTAAATAATATAATGACAATATTGTATAACTCTGTTGGAGATCATAATGATACAATTTTTATCAAATTAGATAAAAATTAGATACAGTAGATAGATACTTTATTGATCCCCCGAAGGAGAAATTCAACGAAATTCAAATTCAATTATTGCACGGTTCCAGTAATGTGCCCTTCCTGTTCAGTCTATTGTTGCAAGAAATCTTCTTCAGCCTTCTTTGGGAAATTAATAATTACATTATGAGATCTGATCAGCTGAACACTCGCCTAAGAACAATAGACTGCCTAATAAAAAATGCAATCTTTATGGAGTTTAATTATATTGCTGTACCAATGTTGGTGAGTTAATGAACTTTACTGGATATCATTTTAAATGAACAGTCCTTATGTGCATCAGGGTTGTGTAATTGGATCTCATTAAGGATAGTGAGGTTAATGAGTATTTCATTTATTTCTCTGATCAATGAAGAAAAACGTCTCATCGTAAATACAGTAAATTACCAATTGTTCAAGATACAATCATTTCAGTTGAATTGCTCAAAACACGGCTCATACTTTCACTGCAGATTAATCCCCGTAGGGCAATTCATCTTCTGCATTTGACCCATCCTGATACCGCTAAGGCTTACGTCAGGAGCAGTGGTCACCGTGGTTTAGCGCCTGGGAACCCATCTCCTGATGTTGATGCTTGGCTTGGTCAGGAGTACCGCAGCTGGAGGATTTTACCTAGTGTGCATGTTTTTTAGAAGTCATCAATGTAATTTCATTTATCACTCAGTCCCACTTGACTTGAAACAATGGGATGCTGCAGGGTCAACTGCTGAGTTTAGGCCTTTGTTCCCATTGTTCATCTAAACAAAAACATAAATGCATACAAATTCTATGTATCCGCAGGAAACCCATTTCATTCACATATTGTTCTCAAATATCTCCAAGTCTGCTTCAGTGAGCACTTCTCCTTTTGCTGAAAGAATCCACCTTTACAGCTGCTGGTTACAGCGGAGTACTGCACAGATGTGCCACAATGTGAACTTTGAAATTTTCAATTTAATCATAGAGAGCACAGTGCTGCTGAAGTGATGACGGCAAGAATGTCCAGAGCTGTTGCTCATGAACAAATATTCATTTCTCTACCGTGATCTCTGAAGGAGTCTGAGAGACTTTGGCAGAATCCACTGATGCCCACAACCACAAAGCACTGCTGCAACAACAACATTTTTGTTCCTAAACTGTCTGCAAGTGTCTCATGAAACTTGTTTATAACTTGTTGTGGTCTACATCTGACTACAGTGTGTTGTTGTGATTGTCTTGTGTGGCCAAATGCTCACACTGCACCAGGGATGAAACAATTAGCGGATTTTCTTTGAACTCAATTACAAAAATGCTTCCGTTACATTTTGGTTCCTTGAATATTCTGATGTTTCACATTCAAATGCACAGAACAGAGACAGAGACACAGCGATGAGCTCCTGGGGCTCAGTCTTGTGCTATGCATCTGCTCATGTAATGGCTCCATATTCCTGGGAACAGGGAACTTCCAGTTCTTGAATAACCAGCAACCGACAGCATGTGTCCAGATCTGCCAACTTCACAAAACCTTTGAAGAGTATTAAAACGACATTCACAAACCTTAATCAGCATGTGCTTGGTGTGTGAACAAAGTGTTCATTTGATATATCATATTCCTGTGTCATGTTACCGCAAGTGTTTTCTCGATATTTTGTTAGATGCCAGGGTAGCAATTTAATTTTGGAGGTATGCACAATGATGGTCATTCGACACCATAAAAACACAAAATAGATATATACAATAGTACATAGATGCTCTGACCTCAGAGTAGACAAAGAGGGGAAGCACCAGCACAGCCAGCAGCAGGTCGGCCACAGCCAGACTGAAGATGAAGTAGTTAGTTGCCGTTTTGAGAGAGCGCTCCGTCAGCACGCTTAGACAAACTAGGACGTTTCCCAGGATTATGATCAATATGAGAGGCACTCCCAAGATCAGGGCCAGATAGTTGTAGTCCACCAGGCCCATGTCATCTGGGAGGCTCCCCGGGGTCACATTGTCCATGATGGGGGGCAGTCACACATTAGCATCTGTTGCACAGCACTTTTGAATTCAATGCCACAAACACGGGGTGGTGCAACTGTTGCTACATGTTCTAGAGTCGGTGCATCTCCAGGGAACCAGCTGTGTCTTTTGAAGTCTTTGCAATGCAGGTAGTCTTTAGGATATTGAAGATTTGAGTTCACCTGAATGCACCTGCAATGACAAGTATTTGAACAGACAGATGGTATTAGTTAGTGTTTGGTGCCTTGTCAATAAAAAACACTCCACTGAGAAAAAGAGGGAAAGTGTCACTTCAGAACCCTACATTTACCCCTTTGATGGAATAATGTTATTTCGCAAAGACAAGTCCTGCTATTGTAGATTATTCTTATTTTTGATAATACAGAAAGTATTCTAACCATTAAAAATTATATGCCTGTAGTTGTTAACACATAAACAGAGGTTTTCATTCATTTATGTATTATTGTTAAGTAACTAGTAAGTTTACAAAGTTACTCATGAATCCTTCTCCAATCTTGTATATGGACCTGTAATCACGCAAAACGTTTTATTTTTTAAAGTACCTAAGGTTTTGGGGTTTTTTGCGCTGTGGTCCTGCCTCTGCTGGTAGGAAGATAGCAACAACAACTGTCACCTCGTGACCACTCTGTACGCCTCTAATCGGCATCGGCATTTAACTATGCTTCTTTGTTTTGACAAACATGTCTATATTTAGGAGACACACACATCATTTAGATTGTAAGTGCATTTGAATTGTATATCTACTGTCACCAGTTAGGATTACACCTCAATGCCAGCTCTCAGAGAGACTGGCAGATAGAGCCTGAGATGTCACAATGTGGCAGCGAAACGGCCTAAGTGTGTGTGGTAAATGAAGCTTAAATAACACAGCTGCTCCACGTCTTGCCTTCAAGTGTCACTGATCCAGGTACAAAACAAGCCTTTTTCTTTGGATTTAATGCAGAGCTGCATGAAGTCAGTGGGCGGGTAGTGGTCGAGGTGTTGTTAGATGTTTGAAATCAAAGCTGGGATAGCTGAATGTGACAATAATTGTTGGGGGGAGGGGGGAGGGGGCGATGCCTCAGCCAGTAATGGTTTTATAACGAGCAGGTTCCCACAGACAAGTACAGCTTTCATTGCACACTAATGCACAAATACATAAGTACAAATACATGCTTAAATTCTTGCGTTTTATACATATGTAGTTATTTTTATTTCTATATGGAGAGGTAAAAAAGAGAATTTGTGATTGTCTGGCATCAATTGCATTGTACTGTTGTGCTGGTGCGTCTGCTGTGTATTTTGAGGGTAATGTTGAGTAATGAGAAACAGCTTGTTTTGCTGTCAGACAGAGCCTGTACCCGAAGACACTGACAAGGAAAATTATGGTATAAATGTCACAAGTGATAATTGTTCAAAGTGGTTTTCAGGAAAATTACAAATGAAAACAGCTATATACTTACTCTAACTGTGATCTCACTCACTTTTACTCGAGAAGTTTTAAAATGGGACAGTCACAGATTTGTGGCAGGTAATCCACCATGTTTTTTCTTTATTTTCTACAATACAGGTATTATAATTGAAGCATTGAGGGTCTGCATAACATGTCACCCTGGAACAGTAGCAGCAGCTATGCTGTTGCTAATGGGGATCCAAACAAATTTATAAATATAAATATAACATTTTTACTGTCACACTGTTTAGAGTCATTTTAAATCTTATATATATGAATAAGAGCGTGTTTCATTTTTTATCATTCAAAAAGATAAAAGTGTTTTCTATTTATTATATCAGATACAGATATTGCATTGGTTTAATTTTCCTATACTGTAATCCAAAAATCTGTATGAGATCAGAAATTTTGTTGAATTGTCTTATTCTTAAATGTCCCAAATCAACCCTAAATATGACTTTACAAAAGTGTGACATCATAACAGCATTGCATCATCTGGGATTTTATGTATAGAATAATTTTGCATACACATTTCCAAGCAGGAAAAGTTCATATAAACTATTAGACCCCATGTAGTGAACTCCAGCTGTCTCTGTTTGTGGCTAAAAGGGGCAATCGAGAGCCTTCAGTTCTGAAATAACAAGCTTCATCTCGAGACAGCAAAAGATATACACGTTAAACAACGTTAAACCTTCTTCACAGAGAAACCATAGCAACTGACCATAGGAGATGTGCCACTGTTGAATCATGGGTCCTCATCAGAGCTTTCCACCTGGAGCAGCGTGTCGGCAAATAAACCAAGTTAATTATATCACTAAATATTGTAGAATTACTTAACTGTTCATCTTTCAAAAAGTGGTGGGTCTAAGTTTCATGTCATTTATATTCCAAAAGTTCCATTAAGTGTACTTTCTTCACTGGAAGTCAGAGGACCCTAGCTGAGCCAATGAATAATGACAATATGATACCAATGAGCTGTTTCCTGATTAACCATGGATTGTACTGCTGAGCCAGGTGTCGGGGCTGGTTGTGAGGGCAACAGGTCAACGTGACTGAGATCACATCACCAAAGATCATGTAGTTTGGATCAGGCAATGAGGAGAATAGCAAATACATGATGTGGAAATGTAGGTTCACGTCAACATATTATTGTGTGTTAACATTGTATTTCTCATCCATGAAACCAGCTGTTTTATCCACACCAGATTTACTTGCAAACATTGATAGTAAAGCAAAAAACAAAACAAAAAATAAACAGCTTTTCACAGCTTGACAGGCTTTTTTTCCAAATCAATCAGGAGTGGAAATGAAATCAGACCTACCTACACTTGTGGAAAGAACAAATCCATGATCCCTGCATCAGCTAGTGTGCTGTTTCCAGTTCTCCACCACCAGCTAATTATTATCCAATGTGGACCGAATTAAATCCAGCAACTCTCTGTGTCTGCCTCTGATCTTTTCCAAACTTTTTAATGGACTGACACGATGCAACATGCCCAATATGCTTCTGTGCCCGCCCCCCACATTTGTGCTGGCCTATGATTGGCTGATGATTCCACTGATGTGAAATCTCTCTCTCCTCCAGCTGGGTGTGTGTGTGTGACGATTACGTGTTTTACTATAAGTGGTGAATCGGGTGAGGATTTCAACAGATGCTGGATTTCTAAAAGAGACATAACCCCATCCTGTTCTCTATAATATGATATATGACTCTTAATTATTTTTGCGGTACGGTGGCTGAGTGGATAGCACTCTCGCCTCTCAGCAAGAAGGTCCTGGGTTCGAATCCCGGTCGGACCAGGGCCTTTCTGAGTGGAGTTTGCATGTTCTCCCCGTGTCTGCGTAGGTTTCCTCCGGGTACTCCGGTTTCCCCTACCACTAAAAATATGTACAATAGTTCTGGCATATGCCTCCTGTACTGGCGACCCCGCTCCCATCTCTGTGTGGAGTGAGAGACAAATGCCCAAAATTAACAATTGTAAACCGCTTTGAGACTCTGATCTGCAGTGAAAAGGCGGTATATAAATAAAAACTTACTTACTACTTACTTACTTACTTTTGTAGTTTTATGAAATTTCAGTGTTGAGCTAAAACCTTTTCACTCTTTTGTGTTAACACAGGTGGGACGAAGGACAGTGATGATCCAGGAAATTATAAACATTTATTAAACATAATGGACATTTGTCATCCCGCTCCCTATGGGCCAATGACACCTATGTGTTTGGTTTTATTGCATTTCCAGTGTTCAAACTATGGAAAATCGAAAAGACTTCCAAGACGACTGCTGTTGTTATTTAGGAGGACTATTAAAAAATAAATTGAATTGGATAAAGTATAAGAAACATTTTGTGTACCTGACCGCACGGATTTAGAAAAGAAAATTGGCAAACAAAGTAAGGAAAGTCTGGTGTCGATAATCAAAAGTCTAGGATCAATGTAAAAGTTGTTTGCCCAGGATAATTTTTCCATCGGGTTAGGGCGAGACTGGGGTTTGGAGTCAGAGGTTAGGGTTAGGGCTAAAGTTCACTATGGTTCAGGTTGGGGTTAGGATTAGGATTAGGTTTAGTAAAGAATAGGGTAAAGGTTAGGGTTATGAGTCCAGGATCGACTGTTAATTATTAGGTGAAATCAGATCACCCATGTAAGTAAGAGGACTGACTGGAGAGCAATGGTGGCGCATATGAGGATATAAATAGCTCAAACATGCATAAATTGTGTTAAAACTGATAAAAGTCGATTTTTGTGTCCACAAGATAATAACATCTCAACCAGTGTAAGCAGTGAGAAGTCTAACTGGGTCCAAGACAGGACTAAGACTAAGACTGGTGTCAGGGATGAATCAGACAGAGACGGATCGTGGTGTGCCAAACTCTGGAAGTTTATTTAAGTTTCTCTCAAGTTCCACTGGTTTACTCTGTTTCTTTCTCTCAGACAGAATAAAGGCAGTACACAGTTTATATAGTCATTGTCACGTCACACATCGAAAGACATACGTGTCACAAAGAGACAGTCACATCATAGTCATAACATGGAGTCCTTGTACAGTCCTGCACGTAGGCCATATTGCTATCTAATACTAACATCAGGTCAGGTCATATTTCGAGAGATGTCATCTTGGACATCAGTAGGGTCCAAGCCATGGTTTTGGTCTCTCCAGTTGGACATCAGAATCTCCAGATACAGTCTTTTCACTTGAAGCACATCAGGTCATTTGCGATGCACTTCTGGTCAATGGTGCAGTGTCACAGTTCCTGTACACAGCTTGTTATGCAGTAGTTACTCTCTATGGTTAAGTCACTTTGATTCTACTTTAACACAATTTCTATTCATGCTGTTGCTAATGTCCCTCAGACAAAAAGCAAGCGCAATGATTCAGTTTACTTCTCTAATTTGTGTTTTTATCAGATCTAATCCTCATCAATGTAATTACTTCACACAGTACAAAATCAACAAATCAAAAGTGTCAGGACAGACGTCAATTAAGTCCATGACAATATAGAATTCAAATGAACATTTCTGGTCTCAAAAAATACTGATTCAAGTGATA